CACACCTTTTTTACCTACGACAATATCGAGATAAATTTTCTCGTGGTAATTATCTTCCTCTCGATATTCAGAGCTCTCTGCCCAACACCATCAAATCCCTTTCGGAATCGCTCAATAAGTGTCGTCAATTCATACATGAGTGGGAATCAAAATCGACTTTTGCCTTTGGACAACACTCATTCCTCATTCCACAGATTGAGACCTGGATCTGGGGGGAAAAGTGGAAGGAGAAAAAAGCCCCAGAGAAATAGATGAACGCGATGGACAATGAAAATAACCATCATTCCCTCCTCAACTTCAGTATCTCTTCTGCTGTGACTTTTCCCTCATATGTCTCCATATACACTCTGTCGTGAAAAAGAGTAGCGCACTGGAGAATGAGGTGGTTGGGATAGTAAATCCGTTTCCGTTTGCATATAAATGCTGGCCCAGAGGCCATACATGGGGATTGCATAGAGTGAGAAAGACACAAAGTATGTGTGCTGAAGCTCCACTTTTTCCCCAACTATGTTGTCCAGGCATTAAAAAATGTACCAAGAGAATCCCAGGCCTTTGACAGTCTCTCTCTATTGCCACCCAACATCCCCAGTTATTGGCACTTTTCACACTCACACTCGCACTCTCACATGGCAGAAAGGGGTGTGAGAGAAGCAATGAATTCAGAGGATATATTGTGAATTCTGGTGGAGATCCAGCGGGAGAGAAAGATTCAGTGAAGGGATGGTAAATGGTGGCAATTCATCCAGTGCAAGTTTAATACATATATAGAATATATGAGGATGTAGCGAGTGAGAAAAAGAGTCACCACGGCCAATCCCTCTGCTCCGGGACACACTGCAAATTTGCTCTTAGAGACGACTCCACCATGCACAGGGTGAACATATTCGACTCTTAATTACCCTTTTGGCCATCCTAATACTCAGTCTCTCTCCACTAGGCAAAAATGCCAATACTGAGAATTCAATTCAATTCAATTTTTCCTCTGTCACCAGAAAATTGTTCCCTATCGACAAAAAAAAATTGGATCTCCTTTACATCCAGAGTCACCCAGTTCTGGATGTGTGAATAAGAGTTGGGTGTCCTGAAATTGACTGGACGAACCCTTGGCCACTTCCGGTCGGCCAATTTTGTCCACATTGATTCACTTCTGAATGATGCCGTAAATATGAAGGAACGACAAAAGTCTCTGCATGCCCCACATCACAACATTTTTCACACTTCCTCTTCTCCATACTGTGGAATAATGTCAAATCAAATACATTCAAACTCTCTTGGCAATTCACTCACTGAATCTCCAACGTTCTCAGAAAATTTTAGGAGAGAGCCGGCGAATATGATCCTTTTTTTCCAACTCTTCGAATCCTCTGAAATGAGAATCTCACGTCCGCCGTGGCTCACTCTTCCCACTACATTATTAATTTGCAGTTCTATTGAGAGAAAAAAATCGTGATGAAGTCTGCCTTAAATTCCAAAGCAATAATACACCATCAAAATCAATACTTCACCAGCCATGCTTTGTTATCAAAAGAATGACTAATCAGCAGAAGGATGTGAATGCGCTGAAAGCAATTCACTGTGAATATATGCACGCAGAAGCCTTTCCCGCCCCGCGAAATCCCAATGTTAGGTAATTCTCTCCCTTCCGATTTTTTCTGCACACCCACCGTGCATACAACGCAAAATAAACCCTGCACAGAGAGGTGAGTTAAATCCAGATTGTTTTGGCTTTATTCTCTCTCCCTCTCGCTCTCCATTTTCTCCCGCCTTGCCAGCCACCCAGCATCCCACCCACCATCTCTGTGATCGCTCACCCAAATCCGGATATATTGCACAAATATGACGTTCCCAAAAACGACTGCAATCGTGGATGGACGGCGTGGAGGGTGAGCGAGAGACACCCATTCATTGGAGTTTGGTGTTTTGTGGATTTTCCTGTGTGCGTTGTTATCCGGATTTAGAGGCTTGGGGAGGGTTTTGGCAGTTATACACGCTATAGTCGTACAGCGATATACTGAAAACTCCATATGCACATATTGTGTGCACCTTTGGCTGGATTAATGCACAAAATCACATATCGCAAATGGTAACAAAAATACCTTTTTCCCGAATATAAAAAGTCACACACATTGCACAAAAAACCTACATCCTCATCGTTTAGACAGGATAAAACATGAGGAATATGTTCCGGTTTTTCAATGCTCGTCATTTTTCCCGTATTACTTTTTTTTTTTTATTAACAGCCCTAATCTATTGCAATAAATAAATTTTGATTCTGAGAAAAAAAATACAGCACAGGCTCCCATTCATGAAAAATTATCCACACTCGAGGCCACGAAAAAACTCACACATTTTGGCGATTTAGTGGAGAACATGTTGGGAAGAGGATATGGCTAAAAAAAAATCAGGGAAGTACAGCAGCCCAGGAAAACGAAGGAATAAAATCGAGATCACATATCAATCGAAATAGATCCGATACCTTGATAAAGTTAATCCCTGTATAGAAATGGACCCTTCTCCAGTTCCCTTTCTCATCCCTCCGTCTTCTCAATTACAGTCCAATATTGTATGATTTTATTGTGTTAAAATACGCTTTTTTCACTCTCTCCTTATCCTCATCCATGTCCTTCAAACTGAGAAATATTGGCCTTGTCATAATATTTTTGTCTCAATTTTTTCTCCTTCTTTATCATGCAAATAAAAAAAGTATTATCGCAAGCATTGAAATACCCTCAACATTTCAGAGACAAATAATTTAAGTATTAAGTCAACCACTTCATAGGTTAAATCCCAATACAGAGACAAGAAAGGATTGGTATAAAACTTATGGTAAATCCTTTTAAGCTCCACCTTCCACCCAAATTCCCTTCCACACATGCCCCGCAATCGACCTCGCCCCAAAGCTAAGCAGTTTAAATCGCAAATTAGCCCTCACCCCGTAATTGTGGAGCCTCTGTGGCCATAAGGTTGGCCTGTGCAGGAATAGATGAGAAAATGCACAGGGGAAAAAGGTCATCGCAACTTGAAACGGATCCCAAGCAGCTCTTTTTTGCGAATGAGCGACAAAAGGGTGGCAGAAAAAGTGGAGGAAAACATGTGATAAAATTACCAACTCCTCTTGAGAATGTATGGAAGGGCTTTTGGCGGAGCGAGAAAGGGTAAAAACATGCTAATATCTTTTGTTAAATACCCCCATTCAAGTAACCTAAGTACACTCAGGTAATGTAAGAACAGTGATATGCCGAGGAGACAAGTGGGACGACGAAGGTGTAAGTACGTCAAAAAACGAGGGCAACACTCGAGCTATCCTCCCACACAATAAAGGGGTAATTCAACCAAAAAGACCTCTTTGTCAAACAGTGGAAAAGGGGCGAACACTATGAGGATTTAGATGGAAAATCGTGCGCAGAAAAGACGAATGTAATTTTTGCTGAAAAATAATCACTTTTTAACACGAAGAATCTTTAGAGATATTCCAAACTCTACATTTCCTAAGAACGTAAGCGAGCTTAGAGAATTCTAATTCTATTTCTTCTCAATGAACTGTTTCTGACAGCATATCTCGTGGAAAAGCGACACGAGGATGCTTCAAATTTTCAAAGTAACACTATGCACTGGAAGTTTTCAGCAATCTTCCGGTATTTCTCACACCCACTCTTCCGACTCAACTAACATAGGATGGCAATAGAAGCTTGAGTATCACTGTTACACAATGTGAAAGAGGAGTTCTGTATTTTCTCGAGTGTATTTGAGAAAATTAAATTAAAATACTGTTGCACTCCTGCTCGCAAATCTCTTATTGGCCTGGGGAGGGAAATTAATGACGAAGTGTGCTAAATTATCAATGAGGGTACTTTGGGAATGCCTGTCTTTTTTGTCCATCCGCCTCGAGTTTGCGTGTCAAAGAGGAGCGAAGAATAGAGCGTGAAAGCGACGTTAATAAATTGACACCGTGTCGAACACAGCAGGAGTAACAGGATTAAAAGATAATGACAATCCCTGCGCCTCCTGACCGATGTTTGTTTAATAAAGAGCCAAACACCCGGCGGATTTGAGCGCTGCGAAAGGGCGACGAAGAAATTAATAAGTGATTATTTTGAGAAATCACGAGAAAATTTTCCATTACAGACGCCAATAAATTGACGCGAGGCCCTTGACAAATTTTCACGAATAATTCTCAAATCAAGTTCAACTGGTTTCTGAATCCTCTCTCTCTCACACCTCTTCTGCAGCGATCTTTGTCCGTACAAATGAGGGGTTAAAAATAATGGGATTGTTTGTGATATCATCATCTGAAAATTGTGGAAAAGGGTTGACAAGTCCTTTGTTCGCGCCACTCTGTGCTGGAGGAGCGGAAAGACCCTCGCCCTCCCGGAGGATTCCTTAAGAGTCTGGTGTGGCCACAAAAATCTCTGCCAAACCAAACAACACTTCCGTCCCATTGTCGTCTGTCCTGCCCTCAGAAGCTCCCCTCTTCGTTCCCTCGGCGTTATGGGATCTCTTAGTATAAATTTCTCTTCACCTTTGTCATGCTAAACTGCCGAGAGCAGTTGTTCTTCTGGCCATTCTCCCAAATCTGTCTGGTTTGTGAGCTGAAATTCAGTTGACATCTTAATATCTCCCTCGGCCGTGACCATTGAAGACGCCTAATCCCAGCAGTTCGCAGCAACGCACGGTGATCCTCTTCTGTCTTTATCCGCAGGTGATCAGCGCTTCTTCTGGAAATGGTCAATTAACCACTATTATTGCGTGAAATCATTTTCACGTCTCATTCAAACACAGAACAAGATCAGCAAATCGTATCCTGAATGCGACATGACTTTACATGATTTTAGAACGAGAATCTCTCGTTATAGAATTGTTTTCATGTAATCCGTAGTATCATATGCGAAACGTAAGATTTCTGCTGATTTTCTTCAATTGCACTAGCATTTCTGCACATAAAATGTGTTGTTTTCGATGCTGTTTTCCACGAAACTCCAAATAAAAATCTACCCGACAGCGCCATCTGCGAACTAACATTTTACAGCTCTAAAGGCGAAAAGAGACAATAAAGAGCGAGAGAGAAAGACATCCGGTTACTGACTTCGCTACTGTTATACACTTTATTTACATTTTCTTCCCTCGATTTTCTGGTTTTTCGCAGAAATTTCCCTACAAATTTTATTTGACTCAATGGAAAGCGATACCTGGAGAGTTCTTGAGTTATTCAGTGGCATTGGAGGAATGCATGAAGCGCTCAAAGGTAATTTTCTGGAATCTAACCTCAAAGCGATGGTAAACAAACTAATTTTCCGGGGATTGCTTCTACATTTTCACAGAATCACGTGCCAAGTTCACAGTAATTGCTGCAGTTGACATCAACACGATTGCTAACGATGTCTACCTGGAAAATTATCCAGAAACACAAGTGTGGAACCGCAATATTCAATCTCTGGAAGAGGCAGAGATCGCTTCCTTGGACGTGGACACGATTGTCATGTCTCCTCCCTGTCAGCCCTTCACAAGAGTGGGCAAGAAGCAAGATCTGGACGACCGGAGAACTGATGGCTTCATAGCAGTTTGCGCAAATCTACTGAAGAATCCAAAGATTGAGCGAATCCTTATGGAAAATGTAAAGGGATTTGAAGAGTCTCGAGCAAGGCAGATGTTTATTGAGAAACTAAAGCACCTTGGATTCTTCTGCCGGGAATTCCTGTTGTCGCCACACGCGGTGGGAATTCCCAACTCACGAACAAGATATTACTGCATCGCACGGAAGCGGAAAGACTTTTCAGTGGGTCATGAAAATGAGATCATAACTGAATTGTCTGCGAATGCAATTGAAATGAGAGATTTGAAGGCGTTTATTGATGTAGAAGCTGCTGTGGAGCAGCACCAACTTCCTGTGGAATCGATAGGAAAGAATTGTTGGGTTCTGGATATCGTGACGCCTTCCTCGAAGAATTCCATGTGCTTCACGAAAGCTTACACTCATTTGCTGAGAGGAAGTGGCTCAGTTTTCTGTTCAAAATCTGCAGAAGAGATCCGAGAGACTTTCTCGCGACTAGACAAGATTCCGCCTGATGATAACGAGTATGTGAGGCTTCTGAAGTCCCTGCAGATGAGATTCTTCAGCCCAGACGAGGTGTCAAAACTCATGGGCTTCTCGGAAGGCATCAAGTGGCCAGGAAAAGTCACTGATCGTCAGAAATATAAACTTCTAGGAAATAGTCTCAACGTGGCTGTCGTCCGGGAGTTGATAAACATCCTCGAGGGCCAATAAAAAGCCTGTGATTGGACCCGAACAATAATTTATTGTCCGAGATCCGTTTTTTACAGTTTTTTTTTGTTTACATCTATATGTCTACGAAATATTACTAATTGTACCACACTTATATCTAATGAAAAATAAAGTAGATATATGTAAAATGTTAAATAAGTTGTGTCTTATTATTCAGATTAAATTGAACGAAAGAGTTATCTATAGAAAAGTTATGAAATCCATCTTATTTCTAGAAAAAAGAGTAACATAATCCAAATCTCCACTAAATCTACTTGAAATGATTGCAATAAACGCTTTTCTTGAAATATGTAGAAAATAAATTTTGTGGGGGTTTCGTGAGAAATCAGGGAAAGTATCAAAAGGGCTATCTTGTCTAATGTTTGGGTGATTAATTTCGCAAATGGACATTGAATAATGTAAGAGTGGACTTAAGCGCGCTCGCCGCGGATGCGTCTGGCCAATTGGATGTCCTTTGGCATGATCGTGACGCGCTTGGCGTGGATGGCGCACAAGTTGGTGTCCTCGAACAGACCCACAAGGTACGCCTCGCTGGCCTCCTGCAGCGCCCCAATGGCGGCCGACTGGAAGCGCAAGTCCGTCTTGAAATCCTGGGCGATCTCACGCACCAGACGCTGGAAGGGCAGCTTGCGGATCAGCAACTCAGTGGACTTCTGGTACCGACGAATCTCACGAAGAGCCACGGTTCCGGGGCGGTAACGATGCGGCTTCTTCACGCCTCCGGTGGATGGGGCGCTCTTACGAGCCGCCTTAGTGGCCAACTGCTTCCTCGGAGCCTTTCCTCCGGTTGACTTACGAGCTGTCTGCTTAGTACGAGCCATTGTCACGCGATTCCCTCACTAAAAAGCCAAGCAGAAGACAGAAACATCAATGTTTACAACTTATTGAGCAATAGTGACGTCACGCATGCGTCATCGTCATCAACTGTTATAAGAGAAATAAAATGGCGTCCGTGCAGCTCTGCAGAGGCCAACAAAGAAAGCTCCCATCAAGGGAAACTTTCTCGCCGGATTTCCCGCTCGGCCTCCACAGGCCCACCCCAAAAACACTCAAATACTTTCCCCCACACCCTTAGCCAGACATTGCGAGTAAAATTACCTGTCGCTGATAGGATTTTCCAGTAAGTTTTCACGAAAAATTGAGGAGCGCCTGATTCACAAGTTCTCTGGAGCAAACAAAATTCTAAAATGACTAGATGCGTCAAATTGGAAGCAATTAAGTGCATCCCATACCCAGTGGATGCAAGAAAATTCCATCTCTTTCCATAATTTCCCATCTAGGTCACTTTTAGGTTCATGGCAAAAAATAACTCCCACACGGGGGCACCAAATGAGGTCCCCATTTTAGGGAAATTCCCCGGAATCTCGATGAAATGCGTAAAAATAGCGTTTTGGTGAGGGTTTCATCATAAAAAGTTTACACTCGATTTTCTCAACATCCTCTGGATCCTTACGTGCATTTGAGGTGTCAATAGACAGGAAATCTAATAGAGAGCAGATTGGTATCCATACATCTGGGCCATTGGGTCTGATTTTCTTGAAATTCCCATTTTATTCAAAAATTTTCACCTGGAAAAATTCCCCATAAAAAGTCTTCGTCACAGAGCGCCGCAGTTCGGGTGGTGTATGACAGAAAAGTGTGCTACACTGTTATACACTATAGGTGGCGCTTCGGAGAGTTACCCGGTTGACTCGCCCTACACTTTCGTCGCGTGTACCGATTTTCCATTTCCCTCCAAAATCCGCTAATTCACAGCTAATGTGGCAAATATCGAATAAATTCAAAAATATCATCATTTATTGCAACAATCGTATGTTACATACATGCTATTGCTTTTCATCTATAAAATTACACTTCATATACTGTACCCCGCCCAATTTATATAGTAGTTATTTACGTTAAACATTACAAATGATTTTGAAGCCAGTATTTAACTATTTTTGCGCTATATTACACACGTTACAGTAGTTTTTCCTCAATTTTCTCTCACATTTTCATCGCATTTCGCTCTCTACGGGCTAGAAATAGCTGCTCTAGTCGCAACTATATTTATTAAGAGACAAAAATCACATATAATATAATAATAAATGTCAGTTATGTAGAAACGGTATGAATAAGAAAACATGATTTACAGTAAAATCTTCCTATGCTTTAACGCCTAGTATTGCATCTTATCTTTGATATTCATTACTCTTCTTATATATCTTGTCCACAGCTATAAATCGCCTGCAAATCACAAACTATCCGATTAGACTGAGCCGACTGTTGGTTTTCCTCAGTTGCGCCCGCCAAGGGATGATATTCTCATTCTCGTCCTGCTGTGCCGGCTCCTTGTGCAGATTCTGCTCCACAGATCCATTCATAGACGTCCCATTCACTGGTGATGACTCCTCGTGGCCGTTGGTGTTCTCCTTGTTGGACAGAATTTTCTCCTCGCCACCGCTGGGCAAGAAGCTGATGTTGTCAATGGACATGGCTCTCTGGGCGAGTCTCCAGCTGTTGGACAGGCGGGAGCTCTCTTCCACACGTGGCGTATAAACGGTAGCTCTGAAAGGGATCGAGAGAAATCGTGAGAAAGTGTCTCAACGATAGCATTACAGCCAATCCTTACTTCAGTTTATTCTCCGCTTCCTCTCGTCTGGCTAACAGATCTCTCTTCCACTGTGGAATCGCCTGGAGTCGCCGATCTTCCGCCTCACGAGCCATTCTCTCCTCAAATTCCTTCTTAGCCCTCTCCGCCGCCTTCTTCGCCAGCATCTGTCGCTTCCAGTCCGGAATAATGTTGCCCGCCTGATCCTTATCCGGCACCTGTGAACATTTCTGCGTCAGTAGAACTCACGAGTCCCTGCCAAAGTGTCGAGAAAACAGCCCACCAACCTGTTCTACGAAATTTGAAGCCGTGAACTGCTTAGAAATGTCCATGTACAACTCCTTCTCGTGGCGATTCTCCATCTTGGCACGTTCCACCTTCATCTTCTTGATCCCAGGAATGTCCTTGCTCAGCTTCAACTCCGCTATTAGATCCGTCTTCTGCGACAGGAAGGACTCATTTGTGCTCGACAGACACTGCATGCTCATGCTCCGCGTGGGAGCCGAAAACGTCTTTCCCAGCATTTTGTCCGACGTTCGACGCAACTGTGGCGAAATTGAAATTCACAAGAATTAAGTTAAAATGCATTTCTCAGCGTTTGTCTTTGAGAAATTGTCATGTCGCTCTCAAATAGAAATGTGACATTTTTTTTTTTCATTTAGCAATATTGAAATGGATTGAGAATTTTGGAGTGTTGAAAATTTGCAAAAAAAGGAAAAGCTATGACCTAAAATGTCTCTAAATTTATGTATACTTTTTATCCACCATTAAATTACTGCTGAAATTTCTCCACGAAATCCACTCAATTTTACAGTTTTTTTTTTTATTACTTTTATCTTATCACAAAACTATAAATGCCTCAGTGAGCAAAACCTGCTTTATCACACAGAAAACGCGGCGAAAATGGAAGCAGAATAGGCACGATCAATTGGCAAAATGATTAGCAAAAACAATATGAATTAGATTACATGCAACTTTTGCAAAAATTTCACACCCCACTTTTCACAGAGAGTCAAGAAAAGAAATAAGATCATCTCGATGTGTCCGAAGAGATTGCACAATTAGATTCACTTTTCATGTGAAGAGCGCATAGCGCGAAAAAAAATATGTTACAGCAAATTAATTGTGGCCGTGTTAGCATTTTTCATGGAATCTCTGGATGCATTTCCATGAGATGCACAGAATAGCACTTATGTAAGGAAAGAACTGCATTTTTCACGGTTTTGTTAGCAGCACACAAACATCACAGAGAGTTTCATCTGCTTCGCAGTCCAGAAGAGATAAATATTCTGTGTGCACACACTCTTCTCCAACCTGCCAACGCCTCTCTTCTCTTCTTTACAATGAAAGGCACAACAATTACCGCCCATTTCACCATCTCAAAATGCATAAAATTAACTGTTTTAGGACTTCAGCGATGGCTCTATTGAATATCTTCCTTCATTAGGCAGAATTTATTCCATATACTGGAGCATTCACATCTTATGAGCACGATCAAGAGAAACATGATTGAGAATTTCTTGTGAAATAGAAGCGTGTCTGACGATCATTAGAAATCAACTGGATGATCAAAATATTTTAAATATCTCTTCTATTACACCCATCGTCAATTGAAGACATATCACGAAAAGTGGAGGAGTTCAATGAACAAAATGAGATCTTACTCTCTTTCTCTCAAAAAATATAAAAAAAGAGCAGCGCTGCCAAGAGAAAACTCACGCGATCGTGAAATGACGATCACGGTGATTGTTCCACTGTTTCAACCATTGAATCCCACTTCTTTTGCTCTTCTTCCATACCTGACCAGAGTGGAAAATGCACTGGGAAAATCACTAAGACTGCACAAATTGCTGATCTATTATAAGATACTTAATCAGAGGGAATGTGGCGGAAAATTTTACAGTAAGTGGTGTAAAAATATTTTTTTCCACATCATCCCAAATTTCCTTCCATCGCCACAAGTGATTTTCCATGTTAAATCAATTATCTCGTCAAGGGATCGCACCTCAGTGATTCACGCCTTTCGGCGAGATGCAATACTTAGCAGACAACAAGATTGCAATCGCGATAAAATACTGTGATCATTGTGTGATTGTAGAGCAAGATGATCTTGTTGTGTGATCATAAATGCTTAAAAAGTATTCAATTTAACCACAAAAGATTGTTAATAAGATCATGAGCGACTTTCACCGCAACTTATCAATTCGCTCTGCTGGTATTTTTTTGTTTTTGGAAAATGCCGAATAAAATCACAATTTAAAGTGCTCCACTTTGGGTGAAAGACAATCCACACTCACCTGCACGCTGTTGAGGTCCTGAATGGAGATCGCCGAGAGCGGCTGTTGTTGCTTCCTCGTGGCCGTGTCCTGCGCCGGCGGCTGCGTTGGGGCCTGCTTGGGCGGCACGGCGCACTGCGACGGGGGCGCCGGTGGCGGTGGCGGAGGCCGAGGTGGATCCGGAACGGCGGGTGGAAGCGGTGATGTCGTCTGCGACAACTGCATATAATCCTCCGTGTCCGTGGACCTTGGCATCACACGTAATCCATAATTAATCCTCAATTGACTTTTCATCATCACAGCACACAGTTTATGTATATCACTCGGAAACACCACTCTCAAGGACAATATCGATCACACAAACTGCCAGGAAACTCACCTCGCTGAGGATGCACTGGACCGTTTATCACTGATAGACTTGAGATACTCTGATGGTTTGATCAGGTGATTTGAGCCGTCCAACATTGACCCATTAGGGAAACTGGGCGGCACAAATGGCAGCACAAGCTGTTTATTGACGAGATTCGGTCCACCTGGACGCGAGCTGGGCCGTTCACCGCCAAGGTGTGAATAACACTGACTCTCCTCCAAGTGGCTGCCGCTGCCGTTGATCAATTTGGCTTTCTTATTTGCTGCACACACAGACAATACCACAGTGAGTACTCCCAGTATAGATCAACTACAGTATCTTCATCTCACATATTTTTTTATATATTTCATTGCTATGTGCAAATATCACGACACAATGAGAATAAGAGGGGAAATTGTGGGGCAATTTCCACCACCACACATTGTCTCGCTGGAGAGGCAATCATGGAAATGTTACGTTTGCTAGCAGGAAACAGTGGCACATCACCACAATCAGGAGCTTTTCTGTCTCTTTTCATGTCGAAGACTCCCTCTACTCACGACCAATTATCTACTTTTAGTAATTGTTGCAATCTTATTTTCGACCCTAGAGTTTCTTCTAACTTCTGCAGTACAGAACTTTAGTACCACTAGAGAAGAGAGAGAAATTCTGAGAGACTTCTCAATAAGATCAAAAGTCGGAGTTTTCCCAATTTACAAAAATGCAATGATAACCCTCATGAACTCATGTAACGTATAGATTGTGATTTTCCCAGTTATCACACAGCAGAAATGGCAAATTATGGTGCGACATTGGCCTTTCTTTCCCAGACGTCTTGGCTTACATCTCATCTGCAGAAGCTCACAGACTTGCTCACAGATGGGGAACGGAAAATTTAATGTGAAAATGAAAAGCACCGTTTAGTAAATTTATATATTTCTTTTCCACCATCCATCCATTTTGCATCTTATTCAATCCAATAAATATATTACACCAGTAAACGGTTCAATTAAACACGCGACTTAAGTTATTCTATTTTTTTCGCCATACCATCTCTGCTTTATCGCAAAACCTCCAGAAGCAAGCGAGTAAGAGAAATAAAGGAAGAGAAGCAATCATACAGACTGTAGTTCAACTTAAATTTACAGTAAATTGAATCTACTAATAAATTTTACACAGAATCTCTTTTTCACGATATCTTTTGTGGTGCTCTCTTTCTCCCAACTCTCTGAATATTAAGTAGAGTAAAGGTGTAAAATATTGAGGTGAGTTTTATATGCTAAGCCTTTCTCAAAAAAAAAGCACAACAACTACATTTTATTCTTCATCGCGAATTCGACATGTCAATAAAATGGTATTAAATATTCCTCTTTTCAAAAATATTCTTCACTTTCGCCAATATTCAGAGGAATTTGATGCTTCAGCATGATTCCAAAAAATTAAGACACTCAGTTTAAATTACCATTAAACTTCTTAAGGAAGTATCTCAAGCCTAAAATTTCATATTTCACCGTTTATGAACCACTTATTTCCACTCTGAGTTGGCTTTTAAATACAATCATTTAATTGCAAACAAGAGGAAATGTTATGAAACTTTCCAGACACTTTCTACAGCTCGGTTTTTCAAATGTCTGTGCTGTTGTAGATTTATCGAAAATTGCTCATTAAATGTGTTGATTAACCAATTTGCCGGTGGGAAATTTATGTACTTTTCCCAATCTCACTTTCCCGAGTCAATTGGAAAATGCAAAACACGATGAATTTTCATGTAAAACAGTTCATTCGCCTGAGATTTTTGGTCAAAGCTTTCCTCACACACTTAAGGAAAATCCACACCATAATTCACTTGAGCAGTTCCTCTTTTGTGTGCGCTAAAAGACTTAATACATTTAACAATGTATAAAATATTCCAGCGAGTTATTTTCCTTTTGATTTACGATGCCGATAATGTGAGCAATATTCACTTGTTTTGTCTGACGTTGAACCAACAATATAGAGTTCGCAGTATCGTTAACACGTTGAACTTGCAAAGTTTTCTCAAATTGCTTTCTTATGCCATGCAGAGTGTAAATAACAAAAGAAGTTCAGACAATCCCCCAAAAGAGCAGGTTCATAAATAAAATCTTGATCAGTCTCTCTCATCTGTAACTTGATTTGCATGTGCAGCAAAGATGGTATTTTGCATATAAAGTGGCCGAAGAATGAGAATGCAATTGGAAATTGCAGTACTTGGGTGAGTTTGTTTGTTGTAAAACTCATTTAACATTGTGAATAACACACGTAAGACAATATAAACCACTTGAGCAGTGAGATTTTGATTCATCTTCAAGTGGCCAAGAGACTATAATGAGAGATGAAAACATTTCCATAACGCAGCAAATCTTGTGATTTGCACCAATTGCGATAGAGGTGGGAATTAATTACTGCTCATCAAGCCTTCTTCTCTTCACCACTCGCAACTCCCCTTTGTCTCCCCTCGCCAGTGAGGCTGAGAGGCACAGAGACACCTTCATATTATAACTTCTTAAGCCACAATCATAAATTAACGTGTGAAAACCAACGTGTTTCTTATCAATCAATCAAAAACATCAGAAAATGTGACTGAAATATTTAAACTTCTACCATAGGAGATTGATAAATAGGAGAAATCACAGCCTCAGTCACTGATTCACACCCGCCCCACTCAATTTGGATCAATTACACATCACTTTAACGCGATCTTAATTGTGTTCACACACAAGATGTTGACTTTAATCACCACTAGCATTAACTCTGCCCTGCATCACTGTCACATTCAACTGATTGCCTCTCTCAACATCATAATTACAGTTATTAATGTTATCACAAGAAAAGGACTCACCGGACACTGTCGACATGCTGCGATTGTGATTCCCTCGCACGAGGTCCGAAGGTCTGAGTGTTGGCTCCTCGACAACTTCGAGGCCAGAGTCCGAGTCGGGTGGACTTTCCACCTCATTCTGCGCCACCTGGTTGTCCATGGAGTGCGAGGAGCCAGTGGTGGACATGGTGGATGACTGGGAGTTGTTGCTGCAGCTCGTGGTGTGACTGGGCGCCTTGAGAGGGGGTGGAAGTGGTGGCGGTGGAGGACCAACAACTGAAAGAAAAACATCAACATTTGCGCGCCAATGTTAGATCAAATCGCCCGAAGGTATGCAAAACTGCTGCATTGAAGGGAAATCAATACGAATGCATGTTTGTTTTAATTACGCGTATTTTACATTGCGATGAAAAAATCCAATTTTCTTGCCATAAGTATGTGTTAAGCAAGCTGATAACACTTTTGATAATAGCACTAAATTGGCTCTTGGCATTTGAGGAGTTTCCGTAACTCCCAATTTGACTAATGACTGCTGATTAACATTTCTCAAGATTCAATATTTCACTCACCCTTGGTTTCATTATTGGTAATCGGTGCCGACACGACTCTCTTGAGGAGCTGTCGTGCTCCACAAACACTTCCAGTCCCGCCTGCGGCCGCCCCCTTGGCCGTTGAGTGCCTCTGAGCCACCTTGAGGCGCTCCTGAGTGTCTTCCGGTGCGCAAACGCTTTCGTAAGTATCATTTTTGAGCACCGGAGAGCCACCCTTGCTGCCGGAGAAGTTCTTAGAGTTGTACACCTCGGTGGTCTTGCGTGGCATATCGTACTTGCCCTTGGCCGCCGTGGAGTCCTTGAGGATGTTGCGCTTCTTGAGGAGATTGCTGACGCCACCACTCGAATACTGCACCACGATGTCATTGCTGTGGTTGGAGCTGGCGCTCGCCGAACGACTGTGTGACCCACTGTCGCGCGAGCGACTCCTTCCCTGGGCCCCCTTCGCGACGCCCACCGCCTTCGTGGGCGTCCCGCGGGCCTCCTCTCGCACCAAGTAAATGTCCTCGTAGTCGTGATCGTGATTTGTGGCCGTGTTGTTGGCTCCGCCGGAACGATTCAGCGAAGGAATTGCGGGAGCCGAGTCTGAAGCTGATGACGCCACCGACAGACTCTCCTCGGACCCACTTCCAGCACCGCTGCTGCTGGAGTGGACTTCCACTTGGACTGCAATAGAACAAGCATTTTATGAATGGAACAGAAAATAAACTCATAACGGTTGTCTTTGAAAATTAAGTATGGAAACTAATTCACTGAGAGAATAGAAAACATCTTGTAAGACTCAAATCACGAATTAATACACAGAGAAAATTGTACAATACTGTTAACAATATTTACAATATCATTATGAGCAATTATGTTAAAAGAAGAAGAATACTTTTGTATAATTTCGCGATCATCTGTGTTTTTTTTATGATCTTTGCGAATGATCTCAAGATTCAATTCACTGCTGAACATCGCAGTTTAACTTATCGATAAGTGCATCTTTCTTAGCATGTGCCTAATATAAAAAGAAATTTCCAATTCAAATTTGCCAATTGAGGCAATTGAGTCAATCTAAATGACTCAAGGTGTGTCTTCATTATACGAAATCGAAAGTGCTGAGACATTAATCTAATATAAATGTTATCATTTTCCTCAATTTTAACACAGCTTTCTCTGTCTTTAAATATTCTATATCTAACATGTGAAATATAGAGCTAGTTTACTGCCCATTTGAACCAAAAACCTCCTTGGTCTACTGTCACTCAATTGTAATCCAGCTTAACGTAACACGATCAAGTTGGAACCAACTTTTCTTCACAATTCACAACCTGACAGAACACCGTGAAATTTTCGTTAATTGGCACTTTTCTTGCCTTTTCTGTGTTAATAGATTCACCAAGCTGATTTCAGGGCACAGTCCTCACGCATTTTCTCTCTTGCGGACCTCTCACTCACCTGTCAGGGCGTTCGGATGTGGCCCTCCACCAGTACTGCCGTCTTTGTTGCTGCTGTCCGAGTCAAAGAGGTCCTTCACCCTGTTGTAGATGACTTCTTGGGGATCGTGAAGGTAGAACGACTCACCAGAAATACTGCCGCCCGGACTGGGTGGTGTGAGGGAGCCATTTCGCATGGGGTTCACGTACAGGCCATCATTGGGCACCACTGGGCCATAGACCGACTGATCGGGCGGTGATCGTGATCGCGTGTACACGCCGTCCGGGCGCACAGTAGGCGGATGCAAGTAGAACGGTTCTGTATCCGAGCTGTGTGCTGACGAGGACTTGGATGTGACTTTGTGGCGCTCCGCGTGATTCTGATTGCCCGCCATGTGGTGTGACGACTGTTTGGCACTGTAGTAGCCATTGTTGTATTTCTTGCTGGCCTTCGAGCGATAGTTCCCCTCCGAATTGTGATGATCCGGCGTGGTTCCGTGCTGCACCAGCACATTCAGGCACTACGAGAGAGCAAGAGAGATCATTGCCAAAACGCTAACACATAATAATTGCTTCTGGTGCAAAAGTAGAGGGAGGAAGACTTACTTCAACTTGTTGATTCTCTGCGGCATCGTTAATTGGACTCTTTCCATATTTATCAAGTGACAAGCGAGCGCCGTGATTGAGGAGCCATCGGACAGCGGACAGGTGACCACGAGAGGCGGCAAAGTGGAGTGGTGTGGCTCCGTCACCATCGCGCAGGTTCGGATCAACTCCCTGTTCCTCCACCTGCAAAAAAGAGATATCATTAGAGATAAATTGTCGCCCTGTCAATCTCATCTCTGCTCCAAATCTCATGACATTTGCATTGAATGCATGTGGCAGAAAGGTGAAGATCAATTGCAGCTCGATCGAGCTGATGACCTTCAACGGTCGCAAGGCCTGATCGCAAAGATTTGAGCCGCAAAGAAACGGTGAAGTCTTGGCGCTTCTCCCGTGCCAGCTACAAATCGATAATCCCCGAGACATTCGCTAACGGTCTCAACATCTTCCTCTGCACACATTTCACACACACGAGTCGCTGCATTTTCCTGATCTCTCACGTCTTTCTCTCTCTCCAATTCTCTCGATAGGACATATCGGGGCTGTAATTGTGCCAATAAATGGAGTAAAGCGATCTAGAACGAGTTTTCCGCTCATTCTCCATCTCTAATCAACCACCGATCATTTCATTGTCCGTTATGAGTGCTGAAGGAATTAATGCGATTTTCTTCGTGATCATCAGAAAGGCAAAAACGCGATCACAGCCAAATATGAACATGTTGCACGAGCATCCAATAAGATTATCTCAAAGCGGATTAAATGTCACGTTCAATGTACGATAGGTAATTGAAAATATCACTTTAATTGATGATAATTGTTAATCGAACATATTGCCTCATAGCAGAGGATTTTCTCCACCTCGAGGCAAATATTTCTGCGACTCGGTTAGTAGTGAAGCAGTTTCAAAGGCGGACAAGTGCTAAATTTATGAGCGCCTCAATTAAAATTTCAATCAGGAATGCTTTATGAATATTTTTAACTTCCTTTCACACGATCGACTGAACTCTATTGATCTTCATATATCAATTCACAGTGAATTACTTATTAGCCTCTTCACTTTACTAGTACTCGCTGCATGCAAAATATGCTCACCATCCACTTGAGACAGTCAAGGCAGCCCATCTGAGATGCCGCATGAATGGGCGCCATGCCATCGCGGGCTCGGACATACAGTGACCCTCCGGCTTCGAGAACGAGAAACTTCAGCACCTCCAAGTGTCCCTCCTGGGCGGCCAAATAAACGGGAGTGACGTCGTTGTCCATCTGCGTGTTGGCACTGCAAGAAGAGCAAAGGAATGCTTGAGAGACATCGAGCATTTGGAGCGCAATTGTGGGCTGGCTGCGCTGGTAGAAAAAGCACACATTTCAAATTTGAGAGTCAACCTTTACTTCTAATTATTAGAGCGAGCAAAGAATAAGAGATAAATGATTAATCTCATCTTTTTTTGCTTGTTTCTCTCCCTCTTTCGCCCGTTGACTTTGTCGGTGTTTGTGTAACAGTTTGTAAAGTGTTCAAATGAATCGAAATTTGAACCTTGTTCGGCACAAAACTGAAACAGATCTACCATTCATATAAATTCACAAAATCACTGAGGCGCGCTGCAGAAGAAATAAAAACGTTAAGCATCTCTCGTCTGATATTAGGCATTTCTGTATGATGAGACGAGAAAGGTGAACAGAAAACCGATTATCCACTGATTTGGCATAAAAGAAGAGATTTAGTCAAAAATGATCCAAATCTTGGATATAATTACAATTTTACAAACTTTCACAATCAGAATTCACTTCTCATTTCTCTCTTTCTCTCTGACTCTGCACTAATTTTTCCCGCCCAGTGCATCGTAGTTTCTTCTCAATTAAGTGCCTTAGGAATTACCTCACCTTCTCCCTCTGACTGGCGAAAGAAAAGCACATACAGAGAGGAAGAACATTGCAATAAATCAGTGTCACTGCAGAAGTCTCAAAGTAAGAGTCATGTTTCATCAGCCATATGATTAAGAGATAAATACAGACAGTGGAGCAACTGGATGGCGGCAACCGTTGAACGGTTGAGGAAGAAAAAGAACTCCACAGCACTAACCCACTTTGCGATGGACAGAATTTCTTCCTCCGGTGATCAAACTGGAATTCCCACTTGTCTTGTCTATTCCGCTGCTTTTGCTACAATTCCAAATGGCATGGCAAACATTCACAAATCGAATTTAGCATAGAATCTCATTGCCAACTGTTGCCGCGGAACTTTATGCCATTTTTTGGGGCTCACGAAAAAATCATCAGAGCACGATCCACAAAATTTCTCATGGAGAAAAAAGTACTTTCAGTTTCACGTGTTGTCAATTAAAATTAAGCCATGCAAATTATACAATTTTTATTTCTCTTTCACACGAAATGTGTATTTATTCGAGAGTGTGCAATTGATTTCTTCTGAATTTCTCAATTAATTTCGGGTACTTTAATTCCTCCATTTCATTCAATTTACAACTTTCATCGAAAGTCCCCACGAAAATTTCTGGTCAATTCCACGGATAAAACGATACTTTCGGTCAAACTGACACTCTCGCTCTCCTTGCTCTTGATCCAAATATCATCCCAACAACACTCTTAATTTATTGTCCAGGAAATTCCAATCAAGTATTCAAATCATGAATTTCATGGACTTTTCGAAAAATGTCAATCTTCTCAACTCACGCAATTCTCGTGATCTAAAGTGCTGAATATTGATGCATTTTTTTCCACGATGGAATTCAATTTGTTTGGGCGTTTCATTGTTGTGCGAAAAACCTGCGAAAGTTATGCTCAACTGTAGGTTCGTCGCTTCAGCATTGAAGTCTTTCGTTTCCGCCAAATTGACTTTATACACTAAAAAAGTAAGAGTACGCCTCGTCTTTTCCTGATTTATATGACTTCTCGCTATTTCTTTTCCATAAGACACAATTTTTTAATTACAAATTGTAAAGTGCAGAAGCGCGGTGAAAGTCTTTCTCTCTTTATTTATTTTCCTTCTACACTATTTTATGGGTGGCTCTCCTTCAAAACATGTCTGTATGATTAAAAATCAGGGAGGTTACGGAATTATAGTTTCGTTTAAACTTTTGTGCACTCCAACTAGCAATTTTTTGGTGTACTGCCGCAAGCAGAGAAAAAGAGTTGCACGTGGTATACATAACCGTGAATTGCCTCTTCGCGGTGGCACATCAACACCCCCGCAATCATGGAGTATCTCTTTCGGATCAACAGTGACCACTCAGAAGTGTGGTCTCGCTTTGATAATCACATTAATCGCGTAGTATAATTAAATATAATAAATAATATAAGCAGAAGGAAATTGGTGCGCCGCATGGGTTCAATTATTCCAAATGTTGGGCTTTTTCCACAGATTTCGTGTGTTTGTTTACCCAAAGTGAAACTTTGCACTCATGGAAAGTGTTAAGCAGAATCATTTAAAGAGCCATGCCAAATAATTTTCTATATATGTACATATAATACCTCCTAATGATCAAAACTGCAATGTTGCCTGCAATTTTATTGACAAAATATTAAACTAATACTTTGTTGGGAAATTAAATTGCAAAATAACTGCAGAAAACATGACGTGACTTACTTTCTTTATTCTCACTCTTGTGTATTTCATCGCACTTTGATGAGCAATAAAATCTGCCTCTGTTTCTTCTCTCACACAACACGCTCATCTCCGGAGAAGTGAGTGAAAGATGTGCGAGAAAAAGAGTCATTTATTTGCTTTTTACACGACTCTATATGCGGATTTAACATGGGATTTGCATACTCCCTTAATTCGAGAGAATGTTGCTGAATTGTTGAAAATATTCAGCTCACTTGCTATCACACAATCTCACTTCTTTTCATCTCTATTGAGGACACCTGTGTGCGCCTTTCTTATTTTGCACGATCATTGGGATCATTGCAAGATCGCCGAAGCGTATTCATTAAAATTGTTCTAATGACAGTTTCATCCATTGAACAATTTATCCCACATGATTTGTGACCACCTGAAAAAGGCTCACCTGCGATCATATTGATATCACTACCTTATGGTATTCAATTGATCTTGAGAATCGTGCTCGGAATTAACGAGGCGTGTGTATTTGTACAAAAAAGGACAGCACGGTCGTGTGCTCACGTTGGTAGGCAACACAATTGATAAAAGAAATTGCTTTTCAATTCAATCGTGTTTGTTCTTTGCTCCAAATTGAGCGATCACCATTAATTTCCGCAAATTGCAGCAGTGTTTTTACCCCAGCAAAAGAAATTTGCTTTGACCAAGAAAAAACATCCACATGCTTTATGGAGAAATTCCCAATTAATATTTCATCGACTGTGACTTTTCTCCACTCACAATATAATCCTGTTCATTGGTGCAATATCAAGTGAGAAATTTTTAAAACTCAAATAATGCCCAAAATTGCATAACACCTCTTTTTGTTTACCATCGTAATGAATGGTGGACAAAAAATTCGGCGGAATTTTCCCATGTCGGCATTGCCAAAAAGAAAAACAATTTCGTATCATTTTTGTGTGGTATAAGAAAACATTTGAGGGGTGCACGAGTAATAAGATACTGAGCAAAACACCAACTAAAATTCACTATAAAATACATTATTTTATCGCGCAACTATAAAGTTAACATTTTGGGTATTAAAGAATTAATTCAATGTGAATTTTTGATTGAATTTAAAAACTCATCATTAAAATTTATTGTCATCTACGGAAGTTCCGTTGCTTTCACTTTCAAAAATACATAAATTGCGTAACATTGCGTCAAAATTAATTAAAAATTCCCTTGATATATTCATGTAATACCAACATTTTGATAAGTATTCACGCGTATGTCTTTGCAAGGAAGATTATTTTGCCATAGATTCACAAAATGTTAATTGTAAACCTCTTGAGCCGAAGATTGTCCGCGTGCGATTAAATTAAAATATTGGGTAATTTTTCCAAGCATAAAACAAAAGTCATAGTAATTTTGGGGATATTGATTATGCAGAATTTGTGCATTAACGTTATTTTTTGCCCATCTCAATCTTCCTTCTTATGCAAGCTCAGTCAATAGTGTTAATCATGAAGCTGGAAAACACACTTTCGTGTCTTTCATTCGAATCGCGGTGCTTTTTTCGTGTAGAGCTACGCGTTAAAATTGTCTGAAAACATGAAATTCCAATTTTATTGATGGTGTGCACTGCATAAATGTATTTTATATGTACCCATAATTATCAATTATTCTAATCATGGCAAAAATGCAGTTTGCAATATCAAGTGAACCAGATAATGAACGCACAGCGCTATACAATTGTTGTGTACAACAATTAACAAACTATCCGGAAATGTTGTTATTTTTGTTAAATAATCAAACATGGAGCGCTATGCGAAATACCACACAAGTTTATTGACTTCTCGTCTATTACCATTTCTTGTGCTCATCTTTCTCAATCCATATCATTACCTGACGATGTTGGAGATATTCTTGAGCGATGGATTGAATTTGTCTTTGTCACCAGCACCAAAATATGCTCCACGCATTGTGACATTATTATTCTTAATCCTTCGTGCTGCTGCTGATACATTTGATATCATCTCAAAATGGTCTTCCTCTTTTTGCTTGCCGAGAGCTCTTCACGGACACTTTTCCCCCGGGTCTCTCACTCAATCAAATTACCCATTGATGTGAAATGGGTGCTATTGAGGCTGTGCAATTTTCCAACAATCCGTCTCTCTTTCTAATTTCTGCGCGCACACCATAATATCGGGTGGAAAGAAAGAAAAATTCTATTGGATTTTTATATAATTACAAGTCTGACATTGAGGGAAAATGCTTTCTCTGCATCAATCTCTGTATGTGAATATCAATATCTTCTCTCTTTGGCGGTATACTCTGTGTGGCAAAACTCCGCACCATTCAACAATGCCATGCGAGAGAGTATAAAAAATGGAACAGAAAAAATGAAAATTTTCAATAGAATCGACAAACAGAATGTTTATTCCCAAGAGCAATACCAAAAAGATGTGTAAAAATTGTTTCATTTACGCTGATGAACACAATGCAATTGCAATGCATCGCCATTGGCGAGGAGAGCATCTCTCACACATTTTTTCATCTTTCTTCTTCTTCTCTTTCACCTCCATCGAATATAAATCAAAAGAACAATGAAAGATTGCGCGGCGAAGAAAAAGCGCAGGCGGAGAGACTTGCGCGATGGTGTTAAATATTTCTCAAATCTCCGATGCAATTGAGCATGGATTTTGACTTTTTAATTTGCAACTCCAAACAAACCATCTGCTGCGGTGCAAGAAAGAAATTGCAGATTTATGTCACATGATTTATTAGAATGGAACAATTGTGTGCCACTGAGAGAAGGTATTTTCTTTTCTTTTTTTTCTTTTTCTTCAAGAAACTTCAGAGAAAATGCACCCACTTTCCTATCTCACACTTGCAATCTTCACACCCGCCTGACGAATTTTATACTGAGAATGTTTACAGATCAGATCAGCGACTCCCAATGAAATTTCCCGTTCACTTGTCCACAGCACTCGAGTCCTATAGCGTGATCGCCACTTTAGGCAATCTAGGTTTTCCCGGAAGAACACTGTACCATTAAAGAACTATACTGCACTGAGATGATCTTTTGCCAGCCACAAATTAGCATTAGCGGAGTACACAATAGGCTAGAATGTAAAATGGTAGCGTGTGCGGTGTTAACGACTCGAGACGCGAGATACGAATAAAGGTAAATTATTCTTCGATTGGAGCTGAACGCGGGAAAGACCACCACTTCTTTCACTCAACTGAGGCGTCTGGTGTGGAAGGCAAGATCAGCGGTTGCTTTAGCCATGCTCTTGAAAATTTCTTTCTTCACCCATTGTAACAGTGTTGAACAGTCATCTAATGTGGTGGTATGTGGATAAAAATGCGATTATACTGCCTTCTTCCACACCTCGCACTTCTCCATCGATTGAAAAATCACATAGCGTTAATTATTTCTCTGTATTGTTTCAATTTTCTTCCACCTTTTTCTTACCATTCATCCACTCTCTCTCCACCGTCCCTCAGCCCGTCGCGGCACAAGCCATAATTGTCTATTTTGTAAATTCTTAATCGACACACCGCACAATTAGCAAGGCAAAAGTACCGAATTATCCCACCGAAATGTAATTCATACGTCGTACGCGCAGCAAAATCCAATTCCAGTGACCTAGAAATGACTTCAACTTGTGCCATTCCTTCATGGTAAATAAACTTACAGCATAATCTAAATTCTCTCTTCATACATAATATCAAATGGCGAGCATATAGCCCGGATCCCGCTCTGGCTTAATATTCTTATATGTGCAATTAATGTGCACCACTTGACTGTCTTCCTCTTCGCCCATTTGTACAACACTATCATGGTCAGCTATTCGCCGTTACCTCACTTCACCTACAGAGTGAGAGATGGTTCAGGCAATGAGACAAGAAAACAGGACTGCAAGAGCCGTTTTCTTTGCATTTTGCTGTGCACATTAAGTGTGGCAAAGAAAATCTGCCAAGAAATGTGGTTTTTCTTGCCAATTTAAACATAAACAATTAGTTTCATTAAAAAGCCATCAATCATTTCCAGAAAAAAACCTCCCCAAATAACGAGTAATATCTCAGACAGTTAAATACACTACAATGCTGAGTGCATGAGAGAATTTGTCATTTCAAATATATGCCAATTGTGGTAAAGAAAGTAAGAATAGGTTTACGGGATTTACTCATATAAAAAACAATGCACAAACATAGAAATTTTCACGGAAATTGCAATTAAAAATCAAAATTTTAAGAAATTGACGTGACTCTAGGAAGTTTAATTACCATCTCGACACGAGACAAGAAATGTTGGTCAACGCAATCAGTTGAGGAAGCTGAGAATAGCTTGTGATATTGAAGTGCTTCACATGATAACGACTTGTGATTTCTCTGTAATTATCTTCAGCTAATTGCAAACTCACCTGATGTCCGGCGACGCCTCCACGAGCAGGCGGACGCAGTCCAAGCATCCACGCGCTGCGGCGTAGTGGAGGGCCAGCGCACCTCCGGCCGGACGCTCCACGGACGGCATGGTGGGGGATTGGGATGTTGAGTCCAGATGGGAGTGGGTTCTGGACTCAACTGGCTCGCTGCAACCCACCGTGGTTCTGCAAAAGAGATGAGAAAAACCACAGTTGATCAAATGATGGAAAGTTACAATTCAAACCGTATTCGATGGGAAACTGCCGCGATGTAGGCAAAACTGAGATCGCGAATCGTGCCATGCAATTTATGCCATTGAATTCAATTCACCTTCGACAATTATCACATAATTTCCGAATCACTGAATATCCTTCCCCCGTGTTGCTCACTTCCTCAATTTCAACCACACTTCCTGTCTTCATGGCGAAAGTCTCCACTTTCCACGGAATACTGCTGAGAGTCTTTTCACTATTCAGCACTTTCTCCGCCCCCACGGACGATCCCCAGTGCTTCTGGCGCTGGCTGAAGTAACCCCAGTGGCGGAGGATGCGCTCCTCAATACACGCCTCCGACCACGAGCTCTCCGAGGTGTCAGATCGCTCTCGCATGCGGTTGAAGTGTCGTGGTCTGATCCGTGGCGGAATGGGAATCTCCTTGGAGCGGTTTCTCAGCTCCATGGCAATCATGATGCGTACTCGGATGTGTCGCTTCACGTTCCTCTCATGCTGCAGACGCCGCTTTAGTAACCTGTGCGAGCGCTCCTCCTCAATCCGGTGGCATCGCTTCGCGTGTCGCCGGTCAATCTTGTCCACCGGGCTCGCCAGCGGCGGCTCCCACGCGACTGTTCGCACAATGTCGAGCTGACGGCGCGTCTGACGCCAGGGCACGAGTTCAAAGTAGCAGAAACTCTCTCCCGCGCGCCACGGGCGAAAATTGGCCTCATGCTCCGTGTAGCCAAGGATCCAATCACCGTCTGCCGCGGCGTTCAGCACATTTGGACAGCGAACAGCTGTATTTCTGGCACTAACACGCCTTCCACCGTAGTAGGTGAAGCTCTTGCTGTTTTCCTCATTCCATCCACTGCCGCTTTCCGTGTCATTTTCACCAAACATCGTGGAATTTTCAGTGCTGTCGGAGGCACGCATGCAAATCCTCAACAACACCGTGAAGCAACTCAAGCATTCCATCCTGACCGACACATCATAATGCTTCGAGAATCCAGCTCACTCCCACTGCAACTTCCCACCACTTCGAATTCACCAAACACCTTCGATGAAATTATTATAACATTTCAGGCCGCCACTCAATGGGGGATGAAATACCAGAATTCCTTGATAAACTCTATGTGGAAAATCCCAATGATTTTTCCGTACAAGAGAAATGCGCTTCTTCTTTGCTTTCACACAAATTTCAAATGGAAAATCACACGAATCATTGATGAGACAATGTTCATGGGACACCGCGCAAAAGAGTACTAAAGGCTGGAAAATAAAAGAGAAGAATTCAGGAAAAATTTCATCAATCCCACACAACAAAGATGTACAGATCATAGATCGCATCCGAGGGATAAAAATTGGACAACTTCTCTTAGTCATCATCAAAGTAATTATTATTTTTTGCATTTGGTTAACGTGCAAATTTCTCCTAAGAGAGTTACCAATTCACATATTATCAGATATTATCAAAATGTTATAAAATATCTCATCTGTACCCGAATAAATCATAGCAACTCTGGTCAGTTTGAGCGCAAAAGAGTGCTTTTCAAGTGTCATCAAGCGTGAACAGAGTCAATAGATGGACTTTTTCCAGCGAATCTCTCTCCAATTTATGATTTACTGTGACGCACAGTGGCAAATAGTCCACCTCTGGCATTTATGCGGAATAATTTAGGATGTCCGGTGTATTGAGAGTGTCTACAAAAGAGATTTTACATTGAAAGTCTCTTGCTGACATTGTACCAAAAGCCGGCCCCAGAGTGAATTGATTTCGTTGCGCACAGTGGAAAATCTTGGCGGGAAAAGTACACAATCAAACTGTATAATGCATTGTTCAATTGAGCCATCAATGCCTCTATATTTGCCTTGTTGAAAATGAAAGGATCGCGCGAGAGAGGCAAAAAGCCAGACAAATCGCTTGCGAGTGCAACAATGTCACAAATGGCTTTTTGTCTTCCAACGACTATAAAATGCGTGAATACCTTAAGAAGCGACTTGGCTTCTTTGTGCACCGCCACAGCAATTTTCCCGTTTTAACACCTACGACCATGTGACAAGAGCTTTTTGAAATTGATGACACATGAACCGAGGAGCGAACAGGGAAAAGAGACATGAGAAGAAGTGACTGTGCAAAAAGACATGCAAAATTTTATTCACAATTAGAAAAGCGCGCAGAAATTTCACGGAGCGCGAATGTGATCATGTCAGTGTCAATTGACTGGAGAGGCAAAATTGGTTAATTTTTCTTTCACTCTCTCACATCAAACTTTCGCATTCACATCATTTGAAATTGAACGCCTCTAAAAGAGAGACCTCACATCCACATCTGGATGACTCTTTGCCAGTCAAGCTGTGCGGTTGCAAATGAGAATTGTCTCTTTAAACGCGAGTCAGAGCAGATCGACAAAAAATAAACAAGCACGCACATTGACCATGAAGTTGCAATATTATTAACTTTCTCTGTACCACCTCAGAGTTGCATACATAATGCAAATCATACGACGCGAAAGAGCGAGAGAGAGAAAATGAGATATCTTAACTATTTAATATCATTTCGTGTGAATTTCCTCGTCATGATGACCTTTCTTTACACCATCTCATTAGATGCTTCTTATTCAATCATTAAAGCACTGCAGCCATTTTTTCCCATCTTACCTAGTGTTAAATGAGAGATGAATGAGAGAAAATTCAATGTGGGTCAAGAAGAAAGCATCTCGTTTGTAATTTCAATAATTTTCAAAACCATCTTTTTTCCTCCACTCATATTTTGGTGGCTACTCTTTAATTTGAATTTCAGCATGCTCATCGAGAAAGAGTCAAATGGAATTCCATTTCAGTGAGAAATAAATTTGATTTTCCTCTTCTCCTCTTCCTAACATATTTTAATGGAAAATGAAATTGGATATTTTTTTTCTGTAAATGTTATATGCAAAAGATGAGAAGATAAATACATCGAATTTTCCCAAAACGCTTTCCCATTTTAGCATTTAGTCATTTCACTTTAAAAAAGGCTAAATGACATTGAAGAAATTGAGCGGAAAATGACTCACATTGACCTTGACCTCATTTGATGAAAGTTGTCTCTTTTAATTTCCCAACAAAAACGCCATTTGCCTTAATTTTGTTAGGTGAAAAGACAGAATGAGAAAATGAGGCAACTCTGCTGCATTCTTTTCCCCCCAAAGCATTGTCTTTGGTCAATAATGACGAAAGACACTGCGAGAGTCAGTGGAGCAGAAAATTAGGAAAATAATCGACCGCGAAATGTTTCGCGAAAGACACGCGGGAGAAGCCAAGAAAATGCCGCAAAGTTGATGAGTGTGGGAAGAAATGTCAAGTGAAAAGACGGAAAATTATAGAATTTCCTATTTGTCTTAATTTACCCTTTGTATTCATAAAAACACCTCATTGTACACGTTAGAGACACGCGGGTTTGATTGAGCTGGTTAATAGTTTTGCATGTTGTCAGACTCAAGCATTTGTGTCCTCTGATGGCTTAAATATAATTGTACGAAGAAGATTTGAACTGAAGTACGCTGAGTTAGGAAAACGCAACAATAACAATTTGAATAGAATGTAGACTTCAGTGAAAGTGCACAAAACTACCCAACCTTACTCTATCATCTGGAAAAATTTGAGCAAATTTAGCCAACGCGTTTCGGAGAAAAAAAATTGCTTCACTCTCCCCTTTTTATTGCTGAAACATTTCAATTCATACTCAGATATTGAAAGGTGAAAAAATACCTAAGACTCAAGTGTATGGCTAACATCATAAAAAGATTTTAATGATGTTCAAGTAGGCACAAGTCAAATACTTGAAAGTAGTTTTGCCTTTCCCCAAACGACATCCTCAAAATGATAAATAGTAAAAGAATCATCCACTCCAAAACGGCGCTGAGCTGAAGAGTTCAGACACCCTATCACACCAATCAATCAATCATTTTCTTGCCTATTCAAATTGACTCAATCTTTCAATAGAGTTCAATGTCACTATATAATTATGAATTTCCATCTCCGTCGCGGATTTCTCGTCGCCCACTGGCGAATGCAGAGAAATATTTTCCTACACGTGTTCATCGCCAAAGCGGCAAATAAACGACTAAATTATCATTTTACCAGTGATTTATCAATAAAACGCCTCAAGAGAAACAGTGAAAGTTCCCTTGTTGGAAAAAAAAAATCATTTCTTTTAGATGGCAAGATCATTTGTATTAAATATAAAGCGACTCGTTTTCAATATTCATCTGGTGTGCCGTGAAAATGATTAAGAAGAAAGTTTATCGATAATTTGACATCGCGGAGTTAAACAAGCAACTTGTTCAACAAGTTTGATAACAATTTTTCCCAACCTTTTTTCACCTCTTTCGCTATGAAAATTTTATTCAACCGGAATTTTCACTATATAGCATCAATACGAAAAATGCTAATTGAATTTCTTCAGCGAACGTGTAATTTTGCCCAAACGATCGCAATTTGAGTGATGGCATCACTGGTAATTGGTCATTTCAAGAAATTTCATACTATCACTGACACAGTAATGAGGTTTCCCATAGTAATTTTTCAATTTTTGCCCCATTGTCACTTATTTGGGGCTCATTTTGTAGAAAGTCCGCTACATTTTTCCCGTGTGGTGAAAAATTATTCTCCCGTCAGAAACTATGGCAAATGGAGCGTTCAAAGTGTCATTTTCATTTATGGCCAATTTTCACTGTGGTTTTCTTAGTAAAGTATATGGAATTCACCAAGCGGAATTCCATATTTGAGGGAAAGAAAAGCATATGTGTATCTATCTGTTGTGTATCAATATGTATGTTAATTATGCACAATTTCGCACACTTGTGTCTCTTTTGGTCAATTTATTAACAAAAATCTTTCCAATTCTTTTTTCCAGCAGATGTTATGCAGTGATAGAGAAGATTTTTTTTACTGTATTGTTTAATTGGAAGAAAATTTTGAATCTCCATATCGAGACGGTCACAAACAGTAATGATTGAAGTGGGTCAAAATGTGAAGTGTTGTTCTATCCTCATTGTTGGCCCTCTTCTCACCAACTTCTTCGAGCACTGCAATGCGGCGTAAAAACATATTTTGCATATTACTGCGTGTCACAAATGGACACTAGATCATATTCGAACGACAACAGTTAATCCACTTGGCCGCCTAAACGGCCATGTGAACTACAAGGAGGAAAAAAATCCCATTTTACTGGGACGGAAGAACAGAAAATATATTAATTTATCTACAATTGGAGAGATAGAGACTGAACTAATTTCATGTGCTTTCATTAAGAGATCATTAAGTTTTCTTTTCTTCTGTCTGTGCACTTTTCTTCTATTCTCCACAAGATTTATACACCAACTCTTTTATACTGCTTCCCGGCCACAGAAAGACATGCTACCTCCATTTATTATTACTTCTCTTAAAGAATGTTTACAGAAACAAGTACAAACGACCATTGAAAATAACACAATAAATTTTATATTGTCTGCACTTTAAAATCCATAACAGGATTTTACATCTTTCTGATGAATCTCAAGATTATATGTCTTTCATTGAATGAAAAAGAACACCACACATTTTGCCAACGTTTACGTGAAATGTGTTTTTCCTCAAATCTCGTCACACAAAAATTTCTTTTTGACTATGAGAAAGAGATAGAGAAAAAAAACATGAGGAGAAATGACTTGATAAACGACTTTCTTCCCCATATTTGCAGCTTGACGGGCAATACTTGGGGACGCGTCAAAAAGAATGGAATATTGTCACAAATCACCGAGTGTGGCCACAAGAAAATCAATCAAGAAATTAAAAGGCAATTATATTCGCGGCGTTTGTACAACATTCAGGCCAAAAACGCCGCGTTCTCGCACAGCGACACATGATAAAACCAGGTGAAGATGGTATGAAGATGGCAATTGAAAAATTGTGCTTACCGTTAATTGAGAAACTTATGGATGAGAAGAAGTAAAAAGTGTAAGAATTTTATATCCAAGCGCGTGTTGTGGTTTTGTACACCAAAACCACAGTCTCGTTCACGTGTCTTTGCTCAAAAGAAACCACCAAACAAACCTTCTTGCACAGAACTTTGCTGTATTTAGTTTCTATTTCTTCCACTTTGACCGCACTTAATGTGTTCTGCCAGATGAAATATTGTATATCTTTAATATTTTCTTCCTCCACAGACAGAAATTAGAGAGAATTTTGAGTCAATTCCAGATGTTATTCAGCGGACGCAAGCGAAAAAACTGTTAAGAGTTGCGCAGCAAAGAGATTCACAAAAAGATGTGAAGATGAGGAGAAAAAAGCGCTCAATTGAAAGACACTCGCGAGAATTTTTCACCTGATTTAAAATGTGCACAATTATTTCCGTTTTATTGATGATGCCTCGGCTCTTCCGCATTCGAACGGAAATGGCAAGAGGCACTTTTCCACTCTTCAAAATGCACGAAAATATCACTCAAAATATCATATCAAATTTCACACAATTGCAATTGCCACTTCAGGTGGAATTCGCAAAAGACACTCTACATGTATCTGATGTCTTCGTGCACATGGAATCGACTGATCGCAGGTACCGCGAGTTCAGTAAATCAACACACAATGAATGAGCCACTCTTGGCGAGGCTCGAGTGCGGAGTGCTTGCCTTTGAGAAAACCACAACGTGTTGCCGGAACAATGGTTGAATCGCGTTTAACGCATCGAATAAGAACGGAGGAATCTCATGCCACTGGCTTCTGGTAGTGTGCCTAACGAAAAAACAAGACCTCGGCATCATCTGGGAGAGAAATGGTGATGGAGAAAACTCTCTCTTTTCAGCAAATGCTCAGGTGTAACAGAGAGAGAGATAATATTATGTTTATGTCCCAAGTGGAATTGTTACCGCAGGTCCGTAATTAGGTGAACGAGCCATACAAAATCACCCAAAAGTGACATTCATAAATTAAGGTAAAATTAAGAGATACGCACTCATTTAAATATCTCACCACTGTTCCAAGTGTGAGACGAGAGCCCAACAGTGGTCACAAAAAACACTCAGATATCTCTCTCATATTTTAATTAATGCATACAAGTCACGTAAAATCATTCTATATAGCGACAAGATTGGCTACTTAACAGCTTAGAAAGGAGAAATATCTTCAGAGAGGCCCAGAAAAAACGACCGCGAGAGGAGGTGAAAGAATACAGTAACTGAATTGAGAAGTAAAATCGAGGATATTATGATAAGGCAATGCAAGAGATTGAATATTGCCAGAAAGTGCTTTTTAAGTAATTTTTTTAAATCCAAATTATACCGTATTTTAATGCAGAGTTGAACGAAACAAGACATTATAGATAAAATACCGACATCAAAAACTAATCTACAACCATACTAATTCAAATTTCACGTAGATCGCATGTTTTAAAATAGATTTTCCAAAAAGCTGAATCTCTGCAAAATTCATCTTGTTTTAATCGCAGATTCATGTATTGACAACAATTCAAGAGATAAACACTTTCATTTTTGAGTCTAGTGTCTATTTCAATGAATAAATCTGAAGATCACCGCAAAATTGGTCTTAAATATTTATCATGTGATCTTTGGGAACTTCTTCGCCTTGAATTTGAGAGCTGTTTTGCCGCATGTGAAAAAATGCGATCAAATCCATGGCGAACCAACAAACCAACCACCTCTTCTGCCATACTTCCAATTTAATTAAATCCAACACTGAACAAAATACGAATAACGTGGAAACGAATTGTGAAGGAGACGAAAAAGTCATGTACACATCAAATAATTTCGCCGAGTGAGAGAAATACTCTTTGTCGGTGGAAAAAAAGACTGATATTGCAGCAACTACAAAATCTGTTAAGTCTATTTGTTCTCTCTGTGGTCTCAATTGATGTCGGCTTTTCTGTATAATGAAATCAAGTAAAATGCCTCACTCCTCGCAAAACTCTCATTTTTCTACGAATCTCTTAATTGCTTTTCGCTCATTCACCCAGCCAAAAAGCTTTGGCGAGAATGCAATGGAAGAAAAAAGCACTTGCAATCAACGTGTAATTTGCAGCAAGAGCGCAATTGAGAAGTTATTTGCACTGCAGATTTATTGCATTTGATTGCACTTATTGCACACAATTAACCAGGAAAAAAGACTCTTTACATTCTACATTTATACCTCCCGCTCTGAAATCCATCATCCACACATCAAAACTCTCTCACTCAATTGCTGGCCAACATGAAGTAATTCACTGTGAAAGTTTATTCTTCTGACCAATAATGATCATTTGAGGAGAATCTTAAATTAAGAAACGGTTCCCGCAAGAAGAGAATATTCTAATCCGTTAGCAGTAATTTTTCCCTCATCGCCACAGTGAATCTCATCGGGAGTGTGGATGCCCATGAAGAGATTAAAAATAATTTATTGGTTTAATTGGTCACAACACGATGATCTTCATATGCTAATTTGCAATTCCTCCCTCTGTTTAACTCCTTCCTCGCCTCCCAACTCCCAAGTGCAGTGAATTAATTTTTCGGATCAATGAGAAACCTCATTAGCTGAAATGTGCAATTCATACACACACCCAATGAAAACTGCACAGTACACCCTCGTGCGAGGATTATTATGCAACGCCGCAGATAATTGAAACAAGAAAAAAAGTGTTATTTTTATAAAAATTTTCCACCATATCCCGATGCTTTGATGGAAAATCTATCGAAACGGAACTCACAACGTTTTATGTGATGCAATATAATGTTTTTTCGCCACTCCACTCAGTGGACTGCTAACATCAGAAAATCATGCTTTTAGAGCACCAAAAATTACACTTTCCACGCTTTTTGTGTGCGCCCATCGATACAATCCGATAGTTGTAAATTGGCAATAATTTATTTGTAGCCTACAGCGGACTTTTTTCTTCTTCCTCAAGTCATCCCAGCGAAGATTGCCGTTTCGCCCCAGAGTTTATGATCAAATTTGATTGCATTTTCATATTGAATGCGGTATCACTTTTTCTTGCTTTAATCCAAGACTGCGCCTCGGCAAGCACAGAGAAACTGTGAGACATAATCCACATGTTTGATTGACAAACAAGATCATAGAAAGTGTATCTCTTGCTGCATCAAGATTCAAATTCCTTGCCATTTTTTTCCCGCCCGGTCAATAAATTTCTCTCTAGTGGATTTAGTTGCAAAATCCTTTTTGGCCTGAGATTATAAAGTTGCTCTTTGGTTAATGGCATCGAAGCAGCAAGAGTTTAGAGAACTTGCAGCACTTTCATTGCGCCATTCAAAAACACACAAAAATCGCGACTATTTATACTTGTTTTCACGTGATAATCAGTAAAAATAGTGAATTCCTACAGGTAATGAATTATTTTAATTGATGATTAATTGTTTTATTGTTGTTTATTAGTTAATTGCTAATAATTCAGTGTAATTGCTGATTTACCAATTCAAACAACATTTTTCTACCAGTTGAAAGTGCACTTTGCAAATGTGTGAAAACACCCGGAATATGAGAATGCTCTTAAAACTCAAAGTAACACTGGTTTTTAGCGCTCTGCCTGGCATGGTGAAGCGCACTCCTCAGTTTCACCATTGGAAATGAGACAGTCGTGAGAAAAAATGCATATTTATCATCGGTGCAGTGAGAAATTAAGCTTAATGTTGGAGATCAATAGAAAGCTAAGCGTGTGATAAATTATTCGATTTGCAGAATTATTCTACAATATCGATCAATTGATCTATAATTTCCCAATAAGCCCGCCCATCGTTCGCTGAAGTCTAATTATATACTCTGTGAGATTAATACCTGTGTTTAGCGCTTCAAAACTCATTCAATCTCTTTCAATTAGACCCGTTAACTCGAGTGGTCGCGTTGAGTGATCGCATGCAATTTCCAATGCAATCACTCAGTATGTTTTGCCTACATCGCGGCGCTTTTGTGAACAGGTGTGAGAGTGCACGGAAAACTCACCTGCCGATGCTGCGATCCAGGCAGCAGAAACAATTACTGTCTGCACTACATTTGGAGCTGCAAGCGCTGCCCTCGCAAGCATTGCAGTTGTTGAAACTGAAGCTAGATGTGCAGAGTGTACAGAAGGAATCCATTGGACTGGCGGTGGCTCTTGTGTCGCTGAATCGGCCACCCTCCTCACCATCGTCCGTGTCCTCCGTGCAAGAAGTCAGTGTGTCGTCTGACGCGCGATCGTCTGAGCTGAACTCGTAACAAGCGCCGTCAAAGATGCTCCCAGATTTACTACGAATGGAGAAACTATTGCTGATAGGACTGGTCCTGCAAAACATCCATAATATTAGTTACTCAATACAACTTGAGACACATAAAATTAGGGGATATGAAGAAATTGTGAAATTCTGCGGAACTACATTTCAAGTGGAAAATCATTATACAATATAATCAATCAATTCCACCAGAAATTTACAGCAAATTTACGAAATTATGCACTTTTGTGCAAAAACCACTTTCTAATTACGTGCTTTGCACTCTTGCGAGTCTCCCCAATTACCTGAAAGCTCCCGGAACCCGAGCTCGTGGTGAGAACTTGAGGGTGCTGCCCTTGCTGGCCATGGACATATTCTCGTTGAAATGAATTATGTTGACATCGTTGTATTTCTGCATGAAATTGCTCGAGTACTGCGTTGACATCTCCTTCAGGCTCTTCTTCGGCTTGGGGCTCACTTGGACGCCACGAATAAGATCCAGGAGGCAGGTTTTGAAGTCAAACATCCTTTGCTCTCATCCTGGTGCTCCGGCGTGATCACGATTGAAGATCTGCAAGGTGGCACAGAGGGGTATTAATGAACTTGAGGGGCTCTCGAGGTGTGGAGGAAAACAACACGGTAATTATGTTGAATTTCACTTTCCGCCGAGCATAAATAAAATTGATGAATTATTTTGCAATGCTCCAGTAGTTTCGGGGAAAGGACAAAAAGCCCATGATTATTGTGCAAAATCTCTGCAATCACGGCGGGGAAAGTGTTCTTTCTGACAGTATCTCACTACAAAACCATTAATTTACCTTGTATATTGATTCCTGATAGTGTAAAAGCACGTTTCTCCAATGATTTAGAGTAAATTTATCGATTATATTGAGTAAACTCTCGTGGAACCATGAAGAAGACTTGAGTGACTTTTGCACAGAAATCTCTTTTGTATTTCTTCACTTTCGTCGAAACTCACTACAAATTATGATCACTGAAACCTCTTGCGTGATTTTTAAATCTTATTACAAACTTGCCACAAGTGTATATCAATAGAAATTGATTAAACTACAAGAGGAATATTCAGAACGGCCGCACACGCGCCGCCATATAAAAGTTTGGCATTCGACACCAACTTCACTTCGCAGATGGCAATTGTGAAGACCATAACCTTACTTTAGTGTGTTCCACAATGGTGTGATATTTTTGTTCTAAAACCATTGAAAATCTCTGGAAAATTCGTGTAATATCTGTGAAAAGTACTGTGTACAGGTAATGTAGGATCGAATTGAATGAATGAGTGTGAATTTGCTCTATAATATCTTGTGGTATTCCCAAAATTGCGCAGCAAACATGAGCACTCGACGTGGAGCTACGACACGCACGAGGCCTCAAAAATACAAGAATCACACTGCTTTCCGGAATGATCTACACGACAAGACTCCTGTGACGAAGTTCATCAACTCCCTGCAGGTCTCCGAGGTGTGTGAGCACTGTCGGGGTGTAATTGAATGGAAGATCAAGTACAAAAAGTATAAGCCACTTTCGCAGCCAAAAACGTGCATCAAGTAAGATGATCCGGAAGCTGGATTAGGATGCCAATTAATCCGGGTATATTTGCAGGTGTGGTAATCGCTGCGTGAAGAAGGCTTATCACGTCATGTGCCGAGAGTGTGCACTGAAGTTGAAAGTCTGTGCAAAGTGCAACAAATCGCCGGACGATGGAGGCATTCTGCCACCGGTGCCGACGCCGCAAGAGCAGATGCGATTGGACACGGAGATGCAGCAAATGATCAAGAGATTGCCGGAGAGAAAACGCCGCACATTCCTGCGATTCATGAACAAGGGCAAGAGAAAAACCACAAAGGATGAAGACGAGGAACCTTCAGCCGAACTAGATTTAGGTGAACCGAGTCAAAATTCTAATGAGAATGCTTCAGAGATTCCAGAAACAATTCCTCACACACGCGAGGAATTACTGGAGAAGATCCAATCGCTGAACCTCTGTGCAGACGAGTCAGACGATGATTTTTCTGGTAGTGACTTCGATGATGATGAATTTGACGACTCTGATTCTCAGAGTAATTGTTCCCGAGAATAAAAACTATCAATTAATTGAACTACACGATCTGATAGTGATGGTTCAAGCTCTGCGGGGCAATCAGAGAGCAGAATGGTAGCGGGAAAGAGTAGAAAAGTCGGTCAACTCACAGATTTTTATCATGTGAGCTTAAATTGCATTTTGACGACATGGTAACTTCTCATTTGACTTCATCCAAGTCTCACCAAATCGTTTGTACGCCTATTTTTCCCATTAACTCGTGGCATGACACCTGTAAAGCCGCATAAATCAACAGCCCAAGGGGAAAAGCACATTTTGAAATGGTAGAAAGTCACTTTTTTCACATCTGTTGATCATTCTCTCAATATTTGCCACTCTTTCACATCATCACCAACGCCACAGTCTTCCTTCTCTCTGGGTTAAGTGAATAATTACATTGTGTGCAGTGAATCTGGATCCTCAAGCTAAGAGATTTCTTGTACCCATTATGCATTCGTAATCTTATATAATTATTTCTTAATATAATAATTATTTGAATTGAAACGGGAATTCTGACCAAGTCCACTCGAAAATTCTTATGTTAGCATGTTTTAATTATTTCCGTGGCAATTATCGTACCATAATTTATTAGGTTGCTTGGAGTTCACATGATTTCATGATCACAAAAAATAAAAGCATGAAATACGGCCTTTTGCAAGACAGCCAGTCATTCAGCAATATTGACAAAAATTCACAACTTTTTTCTTCTGTGAAATCGTTCGAAAATGAGCTTGCGCGAAGCTACGAAATCTCGGCTATGAGCTCAAGAGTTTGCATGTGTCTCACTCTCCCACGAGGGATCACTTAGCAGAACAATTACTTCTTCATCTGCGAGAAAAATTGCAATTGATTGTGTCTTGCGACCATTTTTCATCTTCACGCCGTGAGACGCAATTTTCTTTCCACCTCATTAGTTGAATTGGTTATTTCTTTGCCGGTTTTTTGCACCAAACAAGTCTCGGATAAGCATAAATTTGTAATTTCATAATTTTCTTCTTTTCGATTTCATCCATTTTCCATCCAATTTATTCAATTCCTCCATTTCATAATACACAAAATGTTTTGCTCAAAGTGGAACAAATGGCATGTGATTTAAATGGTACTGCAAAATGTCAAGATGGTAATTTTAGGGTGTAAATATTTAATTTGATTCTCAGGAGAGATGAATTGTGTTAGACAACAAAGAGATGAATGGAAAATTAAAGGAATTTGCATTGCATTTGCCGCTTTTGATTATTCACAAAATCAACTTGGAACTTCCTATACAAAACTTCCTTCAATTTTCAGCATTCCTCTGCAATTTAGCTCGGTCGAAAAAAGAGAAAGAAATAGAGATGAAATAATAAAACAATGTGAATGAAAATCACAGAGCGTGAGAATGTAAATTGAACGATGATCGCGAAAATTCTCCTCTTTAGTGTAGGTGGTATTCAAAGCAACAATGATGATCATAATTAAATTGCTGTGAGTCCCAATTTTTCAATTAACGCCCGGTGATTCTTTAACGATCTTGTCCCAATTTCCCATTTTTTTCATTTGAGAAGAGGCCTGAGAATTTCATTTGCATTCTCGATGATACGATCCGATCATTTTGCATCACCATAAAACTGTTTTTACGTTCTTGTCTCCAAAATGAGTTGAGAAAGATGCTTCCCAAAAGTATGGTAGAGGAGCAAAAAGCTGCGGAAAGAACTGCGAGAGAACCTTTTTAGTGGGTCAGAAGAAGCGACACAGCTAATGTGTAATTTGTCGTTTCGAGGGGATAACAACACGACATTTTTGCAAAACATTAATTTTTTTGAGATAATTCACTTAAATTTGTACGCCATGTATTTAAGTGCACATTTTTAACTACATATAATGTTTTTCATACCAAGGTGGATTAAAGATTTGAAATTTTGTGTTCTGCACAATGAAAACAAAAATCAAATTTTAAAAATCCTAATAATTTTCTTATTACACTTAACGGCTTATTTTGAGAATCAAACTTCAGAAGTTTTTGAGAAAAATATGATCACAGTTAGTTTTCATTAGTTTTTTTTAAGTAAATAATCAACTTTTCAACTGAATCAACTTTTCGTAATTCTGTGAATACAAATGAGCGAAAAATTCTCTTCCTCTTGCTTTCCAGATAAGCTGCTGAAGGCATAGAGATGCTTCTGCATTTCATTTTGAATCTGTTATGGGGAGTGAATAACTGAAATTCAATTGCATAACATGGCTCATAAATAAAAATTCCTCTCATCAGTGATTTATTCTCCGCTTACATAGAATTGTACATTTTCCTTGAAGCCTAAAAACCGGTGGGTGCAAATGTAAGCGTATGTTGACCCCTCGGATGGGTTCTGGTGAGGTTTCAGTGACTTTTAAATTGTTTTGAGAATGAAATTCAAATGATGGAGAGGTGAACTGTAGAAGTGATAAATTGGTGAAATGGTGTCACTGGTTTTGTAATGAAATCTCCCATTTTCTCTCCTCACGTGCTGAAACGTGGAGAGTCTCACGGTGGTTTTTGCTCAACAGCACGCGTGCGACGTTGGCCAAGAGGGAAAAGTGTATCAATTTGTGTTTGGTGAGAAGTTCTGAATTTCTCAAAATGCCCACTTGAGGAAACAAGTGTTTTGTGTAATGGAGATTAAGTTGGTAATTTGAGGAAATTGCGCACAGTCTCTGAAATGTTTGCCAATGTTGCGTGATTGTATCAATGAATGTTGAATTTTCTCCAGCCAGAGTGTTGATAAATTTGCAAAAATGCACATACAAAAAGAGATCTTTCAACAATACAAATTCCAACGGATCTCTCCATTTATTGTTTATATTTACTTTTATAATCTAATTGAATTTAATTCTTCCGATATAAGAAAAATCTCTCACTCAGCATTCAAGTGTTTTTGTACACATCTCATCCATGAAATCCACCGTGAGGCTCTTGAGAATCAACACTTTTTTGCCATTCTCTTTTGCACATGTAATTTTGGTGAAAATTGATTTTGAGCTCCAACTGATTGACATGTGAGTGAATATTGAGTTTGGAGCAAATTGAAAATTACGAATCATTTTGTGAATTAGCAATGAAATTACTGTGGGCATTATTTCTTCATTCGTTAGGGCGATTTATTGGCTTCCATCGCTGCATCAAGCGAAAGTTATTGTTCATCGCGCAGTATCTAGCAACATTTCAGCGACGCTGGATTTTTTTTTCTTGAAATTACGATGAAAAGAATGCAAGAACAACAGAGAGACATAAATATGCGGATGAAAAATAACGGCAAAGCTACACGAGCACATCAAAGGTAATTTTTCATGCCCATAGATAAGATACTGGCACAGAAATTGTTGGTGAAGGGATCAGTCATTTTGGCAAATCTCTATAATTTTGACCACAGATTCTCGCGAGACTTCCTTGTGGAGGAAAACGTGATATTTTGCATAAATACTGTGTCGATGGAAAGAGTGGGACATTGATTAACTAATGTTGTGCCACACATGGGGAAGCAAAAACGACGCGAGAGCATGTCAGAAAGAGGCATTTTCTCCAAAAACTTGCATGGAAAAGCTATCAAATACGGTTGTGAGCTAATTGATGAATACATGAAAGGTAATTTATTCATCACAATCAACTGAGAGACGAATCTGTAGATCGACTGTTGATGAAATCTCATGCAAATTTTGTAAAATGTGTGGCTGACTTAATTCACTCTCGATTGAAGCTAATCATGGGAGATCTTCGGCAAGAGATTCATTTCAATGCTCTGGATTTAAATCACATTAGATTTCCCCTCGTCAAATCTATCACACTCACCTTTGGACACACTGGGCAGAGCACTCTCTAAATATCCATTTTGGTGCGTAAGAAGCGTTTTCACTGGATGATAATTGTGGTCTCGGTAAAAACTTCCTTATTGTCTGTCTCACTAGTCATCACGCAAGTAAAAGAATCAATCAACATTCTTTTCGCGATGAAGTGAAAGACTTTATGGAGAAAAAATGTGGAGGTGAAAAAAACACACAGAGATGAAAACACCGGAGAAACTGTTACAGTTGGATTTTTTATGCAAACTCTGCTTGTTTTATTGTTCTTGAATCTTTCATAAAATTGGCACCATCCGTGTAAAATGATGAGTCTCTCTCCATATAACACAAACACCTCTCAAACGTGATCACCGTAATTTGGCGGTAAACCTCTCTTCACTTTGCTACACGCTACAACACAAGAGTTTGATGCACCCGCGTGGCGCTAGTTCCACCCCCACCCGCCGGCTTATATTTCATTCAATCACGCACAGTGGAAATCGCACTGAAATGACGGAATAAATTAATTTGATGTTACTTGCGAGACACGCGGCCGAGATGAATCTCCCGCGATCGCGTTGTGTCTGCTTCTCATCGGGGCTCGCGGTGAAATGAGGGCCCAAAGCACACAAATTTCTTTCTGGAGCCACAGAGCGGAGCACACAAGAGTGTGAAAAACTGTTTTTTCTCCTTTCCTTCTTCTCTCTCGCTCGGCGTTGTGAAATGCTGAGATTATGGAATTACCATCTCATGAAAAAATACAGCACAAGATGAAGTGAGAGACACAATAAATGCTCAATCGTTTCAGTTCATGAAGCTCTGTGCTTAGAGATCTTTCTTTTTCTTAATGTGTACTTCTTGAAAGAAATTTTCCATTGCTCGCCAGTGCGCCATGGAAAGAGAGAGAGAGAGAGAAAAATCTCTGGGCTTTCATCATGCATCAGTGTCCATGCTTGTAAAAGTATTTTTTGCCACTGCCGCGGTGCGGATTTCTTCGCGATGTTATTGGGTGATGATCTTCAAATTTGCGTCACAGTCTGTCACACATTTTCCATCTCATGACTCCCAATAAATTGATGAATCGTTTTCTTTTATATTGTCCGGTGACAATATTTGGGCGAAATTGTTTCGCTGTTTTCCCTCGCGATAATCGCAATTTCGTGATCTTGATCTTCACACAAGAAACTTTCAATTAATGACTTTATGGGACATGCACGACCTGCATTCCACCTCCACGATATTGGATTGAAGGGGAGTGAATAAGAGCGGCGATAAAATCATCAAATAGCAATAATCATATTTGTGACGATGTTGTTATTGTTTGTTTGTGTTTCATTTCAGAATTAGAAAGTGTGGCAAAAGCGGCCATAGTGTCTATAATTGGAAAAAAGAATTCACTAGAATGATCACTGTAATTGAAAAATGTGTTTCTAAGTATATTTATCGATTTATGTGACCTCCACTGGGGGCAATATCAAGGAAACTATCTCTATAAAAAGGTGTTTTTAGTTGGCATTCAAGTGGAAAATATTGACAGAGTTTTGCAGAGTTCAGGGCGCTTTGCGACTGATCGTGATCTTATGATCTCTTATGAAGAGTTCTTGAACAAGAATATTTCGCAAACATTGAATTGAATAGACAATATAATAATTGCTTAAGCATAGATTATTATGAAATTAAATTACCGCTTCCTATTTTTAATAGTGAATCTCTTAAATTAGAAGATCACCAACAGTAAGATAATCTCATTGAGAAATTGTTACTTTTCTGATCAATCTCACTTCCTCTTGGTTCAGATATAATTAGTGGTGGGAAAACCAGTCTTTGTGAGAAATGTCTCCAGTCAACCAGGTAATGCAAGCAATCATTAATCTTTTGTCGCAAAAGACAATACACTGAACTTCCCTAAAAATGGCAAAACTCACTAAAATCCACTTCTTTGGTGAACTTTTTCGAAGCGAATCTCTCTCAAACAAAAAAAACAACAATTTTATGGATTCTTTTTTGAGCATATCAAGCAGTGACCTTCTTGTTGATGAAAAATTTATCATACCGCCCCATAGAAGGTGTGTAGTTTTGAACATGGCGTATTTTAATGCTGTTGATGTCTCATAAATCAGCAAAATGCAGCCGACTAGATTCACCGATGGTTTGCGTGGGATCACAGATGATTTGATCAATTAGCATAAAAATTCAATTTCCTCATTGAAACACCTTTAATACGGTTTCACTGTATTTTATTGACAATTTCTCAATGATGTTGAGATATTGGAATGCTGATGTTCAAATTCGGTATTGTCCTGTTTCTTTAGTTTCCTGCCAAGAAAGACAAATGTGGTTTTAACAAATAATAACGAGTATGAAGACAATTTGGGCAGTTACCTTATTGTAAAATCTATCAGACTTCTTCTCGACTTGATCTCTATATTGTCTCTTCCAGTTTGCAGCCCTTTGATTATACGATCAGCCACTTCGGTCAGTGTCAGTTCGGGCGTGATGCCCAGATATTGCATTAAGTCGCCAACGTCGAAGGCTCTTCCTTGTCTGTTGAGGAAGACTGTTGTGAGCTGGATGTTGGCGATGAAATTGGTCGCTTGAGAGTGCGTCAGCAACTGAAGCATATTCTGTACGTCATCACGACTAGATATACACGCTCCAGCGGCATTGATATTGCTCCTCACCGTGACAATTTGACCGCCACCGGATTGATGCATTTTCGGGGCAAAATTCCCCACGAGCTACATAGATGAAATACATGTTTTGAGGTATGTTAATTGTGTATCTGCAGATGCAATCACTGATCTTACATTCAAGAAACGCTGAATATTTGTTCCAGTCTGCTGAACAACATCACAGACATCGCCGGATTGCACTTCCTCTTCGATATCGATGATCGCGTCCACGGATCCCAGTTCGTTCCACACGTACTCAACCAGTGTGTTCATCTGCTGATGGCACAGCATGTCACAGTTGAGATTCACCACATTCCCATTCGTCAGGTCGAACTTGGCTACGGTGGAGATGCCTTTGCAGTCGGACAGCAGAACCACTTGGCATTGATGACGCGCCGTGAGCTGATGATGGAGCTCTCGAGACAGGAGAGAAGTGCCATTAGTGATCTGCATAAATAGAGGTGAAGACGGAAAATGATCAGAAAAATGCAAATTTTCTCTGCGAGTGTGCTTTTAGAGATCTCACCAGAATGCGAGATTTTTTGAAGCGATTTGATGTGATCATTCTATGTCCTCTTCTCACGGAAATGACAATTATGATGAGGCATAAAATGAGAATCACACCGATAAATTCACCCCAAAGCCAGAGAGTTGAGAGCCTAGTGTCCACCAAGTGATCCTCAATCGTTGTTGTCATGCTGCTTCAATTAAGTCAGGTACCTATATGTAGATCAATTTGAGCAGAGTGGAAAGTCCAATTTATTCACGGTATTCAGTGATGAATATTTATTGGCTTCTATTCAAAATCATTGCACAAACCTATCAAAAATCTAACTACACCCAAACTCTTTCTCCGCTCAATGTTAAATAAGTGGAATTCTCACTTAGCCAGGGAGTCTATGATGGTCTTTCATGTGCAAAATTGAGTCGGCAAATCATTTTAATTCCCAATTGCGCAACTTTTTTCACCGACAACAACTAGTTTTTCTCTCATTCACAAATAGTGCTCTATACATTTGAATTATGACTAATTTGGCTATACGGACTAGTGATAGTGAACTTGTAGTGGGATGATTTTATTACTCTTTTTGCCGGCATTTCCAAGAGCAAAAAAGTAAATAGATTGAGAAGTTTAGTGTGGGGAATAAACGTGCCAACAATAAATTTGTCGTAAAATTGGCCAATAGTTCCGTCTTGTCGAGTCACTGTATATTTGCTTAAATTTGTAGCATGATATTGAGGAAGCTTTAAGCTTTAGCATGCACGATTAGCTAATGAGAAAAATTCTATAAGCGATATTGAAGCAAAAACAATGATAAAGTGGAACTATTGCATAAGAGTACGCGAATTACAAAAAATCTGCTGAAGGTTAAATCTTAATTTTAAGACAAACTCATTGAATTGTTCTTTGTTATCTGCCCAGGAAGCAAATATTTAGCAATATTCAGTGACAAAATGAGATCGAAGATGCTTTTAATTTGATATTCATAAGAAATCACATGTTAATTCCTTGAACTTCTGCGTATATATTACGCTGCAAACTAGTTTGTATGATTAATTTGCATAGTTTGTGGAGTGGGTGTGAAATCCAAAACAGAAGTGAATAGCTGTAGTTTCAATCTCATCGCGGAAGAATAAATTTGCACGGAGATCATTGCAATGCTGGCATGCACCGTGCAGGTTTATCGACCTAATCAAATCAACTTACATAAGTACAATCAGCATCAACATCACTATGAGTTGTGACTCTTGTTTGATGGTTTGTGAAGAAATTATATGGCTTTTCAATGGGTCAGTTTAATTTCAAGTTGGCTCTCGCGGAGCGGGAAAACTGTGACACACATATTGGGAAAAGTGCTTTAATATCTGTGCACTTTGTGCAATAAATATTTACTCTCACTAGCAATACTTGGAATCTGCGAGGATTTTGCACCTCAAGAGCAATTTCTACACTCCCTAAGCGCGATGATATTATGCAAGTATCATTATGTGCAACATTATGCACATTTGCCTCAGGTATTTAATGGTCAAACACATGACAGATACTCAAGGATTCCCTGTTAAAATTTACACGACTTTTATTTGATCACATGCAGAACTATTGATTATTGGAAATGATTTTCATGTTTCTCTTCCTTCTCAAAATATTATACTATTGACCTTATCTAACTGAAGTATTTGACAAACTGACCCAGCAAAGATGTTGTGTTGCAGACAAGTTGTCTGCCCTCAGAAGCCCTCATAAGAAATCAAGGGTCTTCAATTGAAGAACTTATTTAGCAGCACGTGGCATTTTTGCGGATACCGCACGTATGAAAAATAGAGATGTAAAAAATATGAGATAAAAACCGTCAGTAAGGTCAGAGAAATAAACGTGAGAAATTAAACAACGCCGCAGCTTCAGATGAATTTAACTCCCTATTTAATAGCAAAAAAGACACTTGACTTGTCCGAGTGTCTCACTGTAAATTACAATCTCACTATTTAATCAGTTAGGTACCTAAAAAGTGGCATTCAATTACGAGCACTTTTTGCTCTAGATCAATAGGAAGAGTGTGAATAAAGTCGCCAAAGGTATGACAGAGAATTGAAGGATTTCTTCCTACTATGATAAATTGCAGTCGCGATCAATGTTTCAAAATATTGATTAAATTAGATTATGAGTAAATTTTCTGTGGCGTTTAAGAAAATCCCTGGAGGAATAATTGCCAATAAACGATGTTTTCCTGAGGGATATGTTGAAATTCTATCGATAGTCGCTGAATATGTGAATGAGATCACAAGATTTCCAACACATAAGATTGTGCTGTGTCAAGAACATTCGTTCACCTTACCTTCACACAACGGTGTGGGTTAATTAGAGACTGAGGAAAGTAATTTTGCCTGGACAATTTGATACACTTTCACTTTAGGAAATCATTCTTTGTCATCACGTCTTTTTTCCCAATGAGCGTTAAATGTGTGATTAAATTATTTCTGTCTTGTATTTCTGCTATGCTCGATACAAATGGTATAGCATGACCTCTCAAATAAGACGCTAATTACAGGGCACAATATTTAACTAAGGCGTTATCAGACGGAAGTGACAAAAGTCAAATATTAAGTCACTTACAATAGGTTATGTCAACAGATTTTTTGCAGAGGATCTGTCGATCAAGAAGTTGTTCATGATATTTTTGCCGCTATCATCTCTCCAATTATTTCAATTATATTGTCATCAAGACTACGGTTTTTTTTCTAATTGGATAGCATGACAAAAATACTTGACAGTCTCTTGAGCTTTTGCTCTTCAAGACTCTGTCCTCTTTACGGGCACAGCGCAATAGCCCAAATAGTCATAGATTTAAATTAGAATGGAGTTAATAATAAGATAAGATGTGTATTGCATGAATAATAATTAACATTTGTAGCATAATGTGCTTTGCAGTGAAGGGCATTTCAGAGGAGGGGAAATAGTTACACAGCATGAAAAATTATTATGAATTGTTGTTGGTATAATTTAAATGATATGACATTTTTTGTCTCTGCTTCGCAGACACTAATCGGCTCGTAGAGAATAGATCATTAATAAAATAGTAGCATAAAAATGTATTACATTATGACTTTAGGCTCGCGCGATTTTATCACAAGTCAAACGATAGACTTGACTTTTGGAAAAAATTGGACGACGAACCCGAATGATTTCTGTAATATTTTACACGATTTGCATAAAAATCGTGATCAGTCTGATTATTTAAATTTATGAAATAATTTAAGGAGAAAACTGGTTTTCTTTGTATTGAAGGTTGGGAAGATGAAAAATGAAATGGAATGTCTTGTGCCATTTCTTATTTGAATATATGAAAATTTCACAAGAACTCTTTGTCTCATGAAATTTAGCCAATCCCACATTCAGTCAAAAACACGATTGAGCATCGCAAAATCATTTCTGATACGCTTTTCTTGGTTTGTTCGGAGAATAGATTATTCTCGCTGATCATCATATGAAACCGGATGAAGATAATGGCAAAAAGGCATAAGAAGTAGTTGCCAAGTAAGAATTCCACTGAAGAGAAAACCTTGATACTGATCATTAACACTGGCTCACGCGCCACGTTATAGCAAAATACTGTTCATTCTCAAGGTTTTATGCATTTTCTTGCACTGTGTCGCCCTTTTTTCTCCTTCTATTCATTTTTTCCCCTGTCAGTCAGTATTTTCGCTGGACTTACCCAACATCGACGAGCGAGATGAATTTATTGGGCAGAATCGTCTCAGAAACTAACCAGAATAATCTGGACAATTTTGCTGATGAGTGTCATTGTGATTCCCACTTTTTAGGGGAGAAATAAAAGAGAGTTTTAGTCACACGAGAAGTCTCGAATCATTAATTTATTCTTTTCATGTCGCGTAATGTTTGTCTAACCATCACAAAAAATTATAGCAAAAAAACACGAGGAAAAGAGCAAGTCATAAAGAAATTACACCACAATGCGAAGTACTTTAATTGATTTGTGGCTTTTTCTCTATTGTCAGACTGAGTGTCTAACTAATTTACGCAGTAATTGTCAGATGTTGTTCAATTAAATTAAATGTGATTTTAAATGTTCCAAAGTCCCTACAATACATTGTAAAGTGTTTGAGAATCCAGAGAAGGGCTGCTGCAATATTTGAAAGATAATTTCTTCCTGGAAATTTTGTTAGTTGATTCCTGACCAATAATTCACACAATACAATTAAGTGCCTTTATTGTGATCTTGGAAAATACCGGAACGTCATCAAAAATATTTTATGGATATTCTTCTTGAGATGGGCTCATAAAACGTATGATATTCTGACAATAACATTTCTTATTTTCGCGTTTTGTATTCAGAATCTTACGCTCAAAGTTGAATAATATGCAAATTAACAGATCTCGAGATGATTTACACAGTAAAAACACTACTCCGAAATACTAATCTATCATCATCACAAGCAAAATTACAGTAGAAATAAATCTCCGGCAGAATCTGAGAAGTGATAATCAAGAGTGAGACGTAATCCACTCGTGATACAGTCATATACTATATTGGGAAATTCTCGAAAATAAAAACACGGATGAATTTCACGTTAAAAAGTAATAAAGGGGTTTTACACTTTTCCTTTCATTCGCAAGCAACACAAAAAGGGAAATTTTTCTCAAGCGCACTTCCAACAAATCTTTCCTCACATTAATAACTTTTCACGTATTGCCTCTTCACCACGCGGTTTTCTCAATAACTACTCCAAATGTTATGTGAAAAGCATAGGCGTAACTTCACTGAAAGGCACTACTATTTGTTTAAATTTTCCTCCCTGGCTTCTTACAGGTGCTTTGAACTATAACCAAGCCCGATCGACGGTTGAGTACAGACTGAGGTGAATTGCTTGCCTGACTTGAGCGTTTTGTTGATGGTGAAGAAATTGAGTGTGCGATTCTGAAAAGCACACGCTATGATCTGCACCAATACAGAAGAAAAATGCCTTATACGAATTGGTAAGTCACGTAAAACAAATTCTTGGCGTGAGTATGGCAAATAGAGCTAAAAATTGAGGAAATTCGAGAGTTCAAGAGCGTATTTGTGGGAATTCTTTTTTAGATAACACAGAGGAAATTGCATGAGAAAATTTCCTAATCCAAAATCCTGTGTAATGTTTTCACAAACATCTTGAATTTCAAGTTGTTTGAAACATCTTGACTAATCTCATCTTTCTCCACTGAAAAAACATTCTCCATGAGGCATTAAATGTAAATATCACTTATGTTCACTTATAAACGGAATAAAATATTGTCAAGATCGAAAATTATGCAAATTGGCTCCCATAATTGACGAATGTTGATCATTTGTCAATTGAACGAGCGTTTCATCATCAAAACACACCAAAGCGATTACCATTGAACTTGATAATTCCTCCTTCCACATTTTATGATTAACGCCGCTCTGAGTAAAGTCAATGTCACTGGATTTCACATGGAAATTGTTTAATGACCAAACTTTTTAAACATATTGATGGGCATTCTCATGTGTTAAAAGATCAAGCCTGACAAATTTCCTTAGCACAGTCACACATAATAGGGAATGTGATTAATTAATCGGAAATTTCGTAAGAGAGGAACCGAAACATAAATTTGATGACACAAATTATACAACGCACATAAAAACCTTCTCTGCATATATTCTTTTTTGGTAATTTATTGAACGTTTGGCTTCATGTGATGTATCGAGCGCAGGAAACGGAAGAATCATGAGCATAAAGTCTCTATCAGTTTATTTTGGGAAATTGAAACTTCTTGCATTTTGTGTCCTTGACAATACTTTATATCTTTTGGCTCGGGTTTGTGGTAACATTTTTTTTTATTACTGCTGTAAAGTACATTCTTCCCCTTATCTTGACACGGATATCATTTATTGAAATAGAAGCAGAATTTAATTATAAATTTATGTTAATGCAATCACGGTAGATTTTATATGGTAAATTAAACACTAAACATAAACAATGGATATTATTTTGACATTAAAATAATTTGGAATATTTAAAGTGACTTCACAAAGTCGGCAAATTTAAAGCTCTATTCGGTAGTCTTCATTTTGCGAGGTGAGCTTAATTATCGCGAAAAATATTATTTAGGAAGTCTCTGCGAATTTGTGACTTTGATTTGTGAGACAAAGTGAAAATTTTTAGTGATGCAATTTTTCTTCAATAACAAAGAAATAGGCAAATATAAAATACAAAATAAAATTTACAATCCTCCTCCGCATTTTATTTCTAAGACTTTATCTGCAAAAATTCGCTTACTTGAAGGTTTTTCGCCCTCAAGGAAAATCTAACAATAAGTCTTGCTAGTAAATCGCTTAAGTTTGACTTTGACCATTTATTGGGGGGCACTTTTAGAAGACTCCTGTACACGTGAGTAAATTTGCTATTATCTTTACTTTCATTAGCATCTCACTGAGGAATTCGCAAAGTTTACCTAATATTGTGACTACGATTCGTCTGTCTTCTTTTCAGTCTGTTATTGGAAAAGACCATCCATCAAAAAAAAACCTCTTCTCATCACTCACCATCTCGCCACTCTTTCACTTTCGATACACTGTTTGGTCTATTGTGTATCTACTATCTTGCAATTCTCCTTGAAAGAAAATTAGATTTATAGCAATTAATCTTAATCTCTCACTTTGCGCTGTATTTCTTGTTATTCAATTTTGCTTTTTTGCTTTCGCGTTATAGATATCAGCTGCGCCTCTTTTTTTCTTAACGGCAAAATATTGCTAAAATACACTTAAAAGCACTTTTATTCTCTCATAACATGCTATATTTTTCGATTTCGTATGTGTTTTATTCCTGTGATTGTCCTGATAACGTTATCAACCTCTCTTTCTCTCTGTCCCACTGATATTCCACCGTGTCGCCAACTGATAAGGTCAATTGAAAGCGCGATATTGAGATATGGTAAAAGTTAAGAGTGTGAGCTACTTGGGTTTGTAAAACTCGCATTGGTAGTTTCCATCGAAATTCGCCGAATGGCAACATCATCAGTTTTATTTCTTTTACCTTTTGTATTAGATTTCGTGTAAATACACTCCATTCGTGAAGACAATAACCTGGTAAGTATAGTGAGAGTGTCACTGATTTGACAATTATTGTGCAAATATTATGAAAGTGAGTGATAAGAAATTTTTATGATGGTTCTTTCCAAAGCCGGGTGTGTATTTCTGGAGAAAATAAATCCCTCGCTATTCTGTGGAGTTCCCAAATGATGAATTGTTGTTTGGAGTTTCTTCTCTCGCTAAATATGCGTCTTCTGTGCCCTCAATTATAATTACACAAACTTCATTTGAGCAATAAAACGCAAGAGCAGCGTTTCCAATTAACTTTTGAACTATTTGGCGTCCAGTTTTAAGTGCTCTCTCACTCTCGCCGTTCCAGAGAACGCCATACATCGAAAAAAAAACATGTTCAGTGCTAGAGAAAATTGGTGACGAATCACCCACATGATATTCACCGTCTCACTTCAACCCACTATCTTGACATTTCTTTTCACACTCAATTGATACGACAGCAAAACTCTCCCGTTTATTAAAAGAGTTAATATAATGTATCGTTTTCTCCTCTTTTCACGCTGTTCTTCAGCCCTCTCACAATGCCTTTCCGATATATCTGAACAGTTGTCGGTTACAAGACACTATCTGACAATCTTGAAACCATTATCGCATGTTTGCATCGCAATTATTCTTGGAAATGTGTACAAATATTTTCCAGGAAATAAGCATAAATTCAGAAAGAAGTTAAACAGAGTAGTGATTAATATATGCCAAATATGTACGCACTTCCTCGAAAATTAATTCATCACGTCGGAACAATTGTAGTTTGTGAAGTCAAGAGGGAAGATTTCGCTTTTCTATAAATCTTTTATTGGCTATCAAATCCAGTCAATCATTTTTTGAACTGGTCATGAAATTTTCATCCTGAAGTGTGGGATTGAATTAGGCGAAACACAATGACTAATTCATTGAAATTCCAGTCCTCTGAAATACACAAACTCTTGTATCACACGCGTCATCTTCAATTCATTTAATAGAAGTAATTAATTCATCTGGTCCGCGAGATGGATGAATGCTTTTTTACACTGGAGCCACACATTCATGCCACTTTTTCCTCCTCCCCAAACAAATTCCCTGTGTGTGCTGGTGAAAAGTGTAATGATGTGGAGACAAGCAGACGCAATCATGGAAAAATTGTTACAGTATCTCGGGTCTGAATTGAACAAATACAATGATGGTAATTGTTTGACCGCTAAATTGCTCAAGATATATCTCCATTGGGGAGAGATGGTGGCAGCGAGAGAAAAAGCATCACATGCATCCAAAGTGGACATGAGCTGGAATTTTAGTTCTATGTGGAACTCGAAGCGATTGAGATGGAAATCTCCCGCCGCGGCGACAGTGACTCTGTCTGAAGTGTGTTGCGTGGATATTGAAATTTGAGAAAATTCACACGCAGTTAGTGTTCTTAGTTCCTCTTCTTGCTCAAGGGTGGTCAAATGAGGTGAATTTGGAGCTGGAGGATAAGAGGTGTTGTTCAGCAGAAATTGTGCGCTTTGCACATTGTTGTCAATTAGCATAGTTATAATTTTATGAATGAATCATTCACTAACGCCCAAAATCCCCTCACTTGACCATCTTTTCTGGGATTTTCTCTTCACTTTCCGACCACGTTTGCAGGTGAAGAATAATTGCAATATTTCTCATCTGCATGACAGAGGGAGAAACAAAGTTTAAGTGTGTGATTTTGTGGCAATTCCCCCCATTGAGGCTACCTGTTTTGCGAGCACAGTGAAGAAGAATGAGACGTATTCAATAGTGGTGTATTGTGGAGTGTGCGCCAAATCTCACGCATTTTCCCTGTTCTCACAATTATGCACAAAATTGCTCATGTGGAAATTCTTATGAGTGCGGAGAGAACCTGGAGCAAGAAGGTGTTGAAAGAGAAGTCTTTCACCTGTGAGATCAACGAAAGAGGGACGGAAGATGAATAAACTTCCGCGAAATTGATGAGTAATTGTATGGAGCTGGGAATGCACCAAGACATTCATCTCCCCACCTCGAGGCGGATTCTCTTGTGGCAATAATCGCCGATGTTATGATGAATATGAAACGGTATCCGAGTCAAGGTAAAGTGAATTCCAGCTCATCAGTTGCGTGTGAGGTGCTGCAGGAGAGAAGACCGCCGATTCCGCAGCAGAGAACGTCACTGAGGCGATATGCAAATGACTGGACCTCTTGCACGCCAGTGGACATTTATGAGAATCTAAGAACTGACGGGGAGTACTGTGAGATTGAGGTGAATGGTGAGAATATTTACGAGAATATCTGTGACAAGTGTGGGAGGATTTACTCAGGGGATCAGTGTGAGTGCACCAAGCCAGCTCCGAAATCCAAGAAATTCGTCGATTTCTTCGGCAGCCTGAAGAGACGCCCCAAGAGTGCTGAGCCTCGTCGAAAGAAGTTGGAGATCATCCACAATGTGGACGGATTTGATAGTGTGTTCAGCACAAAGGACACTTTCGATCTCGCTGAGATTTGCCAATTGAGAGAAGAGAGTCGCCACACTTACGGACGAATTCAGACCACTCACTATGAAAATGTGTCGGAAGTGTCGCCAAATTCCAGCAGTGACGAAGTGAGGGATTCGTCACTGGCCGCCTGGATGATATCACTTCGGTGGGAAGTGGTTGATTACACCGACAATTGTGCGATCAATGTGAAAAGCGTTCCGAGCAAGCTCGACGATCTCCAGCCGTATCAGTTGCAAGTCTCAAGTGAGTGCTGGAGGGAGTTTGCGTGTGCCGAAGAGGAGGACTTTACTCAGCATATACTTATTTTCATTGAGAGTGTGAGTGAAAAGTGCCGCAGGAGAAGAAGAGTTACAAGTGAGGAGGTGCTGAAGAGTGAAGTGAGTGAGGAAAAATCACTGGAAGTTGTTCAGAGTTCGAGAATCTCCTCCTTCAATCCATTTGACTTTTTAAACAGAATTTTCCTGTCCATCGGCATCAATACGGCTCTGCTGGATTTCAACAACGAGCTCATTGTCTTCTGCCTGCAGACTCCAACTTGGCGTCAAAACTGCGGAAAGCGCGTCAGTGAGTGTGATAGTGGATTAGTCATGCAGATTCTGGATAAAGAGGACAATCTCTTGAACCGAGGAAAATGCCTCAACACTGACATGTCGACAGAGAAGAGCTTTTCACCGCAGCCAGACACCAATAATTTCAACACATTGCCCGGCAAGAGACCTCCAACGGATGCTCAAGATTTTAATATTAAGTGTGAATCAGAGAAAATCTATCATCCCATTTGGAAATTTCACACGGTGGGAATTGGACGAGAGGCAGTCGAGGCTTTGGAATACAATTCTGAAGACTTTGTAGAGGAAATTGACTCTGGAGAGTGGGAAATTGCCGAAGAGTTCGAATTCTCCTCCAGTCGCGAGTGTCTGGCAGTGGAGGAAGTCGAAGAGACTGACGAAACCTCCCCTTTCCGCACAATTTGCATACTATTCAACCGGGAGCAGCCCCATCTCAATCGCTTCATTCACAACTACAAGAGGCATCGACACGTCTTCGAGCAGCCAATTAATTCGACTAACCAAAGACATCAATGTGAGACTGTAGGAGACATTAAGAATCCCGCCGAAGGCGCTTCCGTCAGGAATTTCTCAATTCCTGACTCTGTGATGGCATGGAAGTTCATGTTGCTCAATGCAAACTACCCTGAAGACGAAGAAGATGTGGTAATTGTTGCGTTTACCTTGCTGATAATTTCTTATCACTCAGTTTCTACAGCACGTTAAGGAATTTCTCAATATCGTTTGTAATCTCCCTTTCTCCACACCATAGATACTGTCTCCTTCCAGCTTTGAAGCACTCAGCCAAAGTCAAAGTAACACTGGCAGCCCGATGGAGTCTTTAAAGGCCATGGGCGGCAAAAGCGTGGATTTTCGTAAGTTGATAAAATGTTTTCAATCACTGATGAATTTCCAGTACAACGAGAAATAGTACAACGCAATTACTGCTGATATAATTCTCTCTGTGAAATAAAAACAATAAATCATTGGCTTTATTTTAAGACGAATGAATAACTCTCTTCCAAGTATTTACGTATTCAATTCTCGTTTGTGGGACTTTTATGGCATATGGGACGCACTCATTCGCTTTTTGATTGACCACTTGGGTAATTTGTAGAAATTTGGAAGCATTAGATAAGCGTTTTCGTGGGATTCTTTATGAATTTCCAAAGCACAATGCAGTCATTAATTTTGTATTTGCGTGAGAGTCTTCAATAATAATTTGAATTTATAATGCTAATCCATAGCGTAGGAATATTTATTTATTTATTTTCCAATTAAGAATGCAGTTATTTTCCAATTTAGTTGGTATTAGGCCTAAAAGTACCTAACAAACTCCTCAACTTTCAGTGCGAGGACGCTCTAAAGAGGACGAAAATGTTATGATGTCTGGGACCTACAAATTTTCCCTCGGTCACTTTAGCAACAGTGTAAACAACTTATCAACTCTCTCGACTGACTCCCAGAAATCATCTTCGTCCGCCTCATCAACTCATTCGCCAAACTTGGAGGCCAAGAAGTTGCCTAAAATACTGAATCCTCTGGCAAAGGCTATCTCACCACCGGTTTCGATTCGCTTGAAGAAGGAGGAGAAGTCAAAGATAGTGTTTGGACCAAATCTCAATGATATTCTCCTGGATCCCAACGAACAGATCCCAAAATTTGTCGTGAGGTGCATAAAATGCATTGAAGACTATGAAAATATCACAACAAATGGTATTTATCGGGCATCTGGCAATAAAAACCTCATCGAGGCGGTGAGAAAGAAGATGAATGAGAAGCATCACATTCGCAAAGATCTCATATGGACATTTCTGGAGAAGCAAGATGTGCACACACTCACCGGCAGTCTCAAGCTCTTCTTCCGCAATTTGACGACACAGCTTATTCCTGATGACGTCTTTGATCGCCTTCCTCAGCCCTTGGGTAAATTTCTTGTCCACTTTCATTCTCTTATACACCCTTGATTAGCACATTTTCTCTTTGCAGATGAAAACGCTGTTCCGTCGATTAGGGCAGAAATCCTGTCACTTCCCGATATCTCTAGGAAAACTCTCAAATTCCTCATTCAACACCTCGTTAAGGTAACTCAACATTGCCGCGAGAATTTCATGAATTCTGCAAATCTGTCCATCTGCTGGGGCGCCTGCATCTTCGCCTCGTCGCAGAAGGCTCTCATGACTTTCGACACGAACGACGTGATCAGGAAAAACTACCTGATAAAGCTGCTGATTGAGAAATATGACAGTATTTTTGACCAAATTAGATGATTAATGTATAGAGTTAAATTGATTTATGCCAGTTTTTTGCTACTAAAATCACTAAAACAAGAAATAAATTATTTGTCAATACACAAAACTCTTAAGATTTAATTTTATGCAACAATTTATTGAGTTAAATTATTTAATATTTAGCCAAGATTGTGTAAATGTCACTCCGGGCTGCTGTGCGGTCTGATCTTGTCGTCGCACTGCCGGATGAAACGTTCAAAGTCCGATCGGAACACGAGGGTCTGACCATCGTCAGACGTTTGCGCGGGTTCATAACGACGCGCATTGATCTGGTCCTCCTGCTCCCATTTCCATAGCAAGCGGAAATTCAGTGTTGTGGTGGACGATGCTAGGATGCAATTCGGATCCGGAAGCCGATTTGCCATGAAGGAAACGCCTTTGTCCACGTCAAAGTAGTAGAAGTCGTTGTTGCTCACGCTGAAGTTCTTCCGGAGATTTGATTTCATCTCACAGAGAAAGAGGAGCGCCTTCGGGATGTAGAATCTGTCATCTGTGTTGGGCAGCATGTATCCTTTGCGGTGAGTCAAATTCTTCAGTGCGTAGTACTCCAGACTGTCGATGAAAGGTCCAATCTCGCGGAAAGGGATCAATTTCTTGCATCTGATGGGCACTGAGGTCTCTCCATTGTTCAGCTTGCTCGGCTTGTTGATCGCCTCGGCAAATTTGTGGCATAGTCTATTGCGCTCCTGCAGTGGACACTTCCTGATATCCTCTCCGTCCAGTATCAGTCCGTCAATGATGTGGAGAGCGTAGGTGGTCCTCTGAGACCTCTCCTGGCCCTTGTGCTCCTGCACAATCTCCCCATAGAGAAGTGTGTTCGGCGACATTTCCACTGGCACTCCTCTCGGCAGCGATTCCCATAAGCCTTTGGCGTTCAGCATCACAACATCCTGACGGCCCTTGCTCAGGAAGAATGTTCGGTAGTTTTTCTGGCTGTTCTCGGGTGTGTTGAGCGCCATAAAGAACCAGTGATCTTGCACCCCGCCAAAATGTTGTGAGAACTTTCCTGGATTAGTCAGCACGATCTCAGGTTGTGTCATGAACGAGCGATTATTGGTTTTCAGGAGATCATTGCAGTACTCGTCGTGCGATATCTTTTGTCCTCTTGCGGCTGTTCTCATGGCGCTGGGCAGACGCCATTCCGTCAGGCACTGCTCACGGATTTCTGCCTGACGAGTCTCCGCGAGAGTCTTGTTAGCTGCATAGGCGGCGATCTTCCTCAGTCCAGTGATTTGATTCTGACCAATGCGGTTGTTAGACTCGAAAATATACTTGAAGAACTGCTCATCCTCTCTAAGCACTTCATAGGGCACTAATTCCCGGATGTCCTCATCACCAGTAGATCTGAAAAGAACAAAAGTATTTGCTTAATTATCGAGGAATGTAGAAAAGCTGAAAGAATCTCGAGTGTTTCCTTCACTGAAGCGACATTCTTTTAGTTATTCTGACCCACTTACCTGTACATTGATTCGCAGATGTCTAAGAGATGCCGCCGGATGACATCAGTGTCGGATTTCATCCACTTGCACACGAGATACCGCTCAGAGTTGGCTGGACGGCTGGTATTGGGCTTGATGATGGCGACCCGCCGGAAGCACTTGTACATCAGATAGATTAATCCCACGCTGAACGGTGTGAAGATATCGAAGAGCTTTACCACGAAGTGACCCTTCTCACGCAAGACGCTAAGCGCTGCGAGGCACTGACAAAGGTAGAGTCGCTTGGACAGAATCTCCTGGATGTTTTCTTGATTCTTCACGGAGAAGCCTCCATCCGCCATCATGAAATGCACCCCATTGCCCGTCTCCTGCATCACGAGATTCATCAGGGACTCGATGTTCGCGGGATCATACACGTCTCCGTTTTCTTTCTCGCCGTAATAGGGATGGAACGACTCTGGATGTCCGGCGAGGAAGTTGTCCAGGTTGAAGTCGTTCTCTTCACGAAGTGTGAAACCAAAGCCTTTAGCGTGCCATTTTCGCTTCCAAAGCACGTACTCGGAGAAGCCTCCCGGGCCAGCACACACGTCAGCAAAGTAGAGTAGCTCATGCTCCCGCACGAGAGACTGCCCACGCTCGTCAACAGGATTCGTGAACATGAAATTGAGCAGCGCGTCCATGTTGGCCATTTTCACGGCGGCCCGGTTCAGGAATACCACATTCTTGATGGTCTCGAATGGGTTGCTGCGCTGACAAGCTCTCCTCATCTCCAGGTCATTCATGTTATCGAACACAGTCTTCGCTTCGAGGACGTTCTTGAGGATGTCAGGGTCGCAAAACAGGGTTTCGTCGTCGATGGTCATCTTTCTCTTGCCGCGCACACACCAATCATCTAGCTTGTTTCTGTCCAACTCCTCCAAATCGTCAGCATCGCTGTACATCCAGTTCACAATCTCCGGAATCTGGATTTTCTCTTCTGTTTCATCGAAATGCGTGGCTGAGATATCCACGGCGTCCGGAGCAGCACCCAAACCGCGTCGGCCCTTCTGTTTAGATGCCTCCACAGGATCCAATCGTCCCTGACTGTGCTTTCCCAAGCCAGTGCGCTCTTGATAGCCCATTTTCTGCATCATCCGCAGCGACGCCTTCGAGTACATTTCTGTGTTCGCCGGCTTTTTAATCGCTGGAGCCTCATCAGATGAATCGTCGTTCTCATCTTCACTTCGTCTCTTCCGTTTGCCGTACATCCCCTCGGTGTACCCACTGTCCGAGAACTCCGGTGTGGAGTTGTCATCTGAAGTGGAAGTCATTTTCACTTCTCTTGAGGCGCTTCTCTCTTCTAAAGGGAAAACTTTCACCACTCAAATATGCCACTTTCTCCCAAACCGACGGGCTCTTTTCAAAGCTGACCGCACATCAGAAACTCAAATGAGTGGACTGGCCAGGATTTGCATGCGCACCCCTCAATATACCTGGTATCCTGGGGAGGGTTTCCAAAACATAAACACCACCTCTTCTTCTTCTTTACTCTTTACTGTCACCACCCTGTCAGCTGATTTCTAGCAGTTCGCGCAGTCAGGGGTAAAATTGTGCGAATCGGGAAAATTCAATTATTTCCGTTTGGCTGTCAACACACGTGCAGGAATATTTAATTTTTTATTCCTTCTGCGTGATAATCCAGGCGATTGTAATTGGAAAATTGATAAATGGAGAGATATGGAGCATATTGAGATAATAGTGTAAGAAAATCATGTTACATTCCGCATTGAATTTGGGAAGAAATTGTCGCTAATGTGATATTTTTCAACAGGCCAAAGGATCCTCTCCGGAAGGAATCATTTCTGACGGTTGACTTTCTCAAGGAGCCTCGAGCCAGCGTCAAAGGCAGCATGCCAAGGAAAAAAGAAAAAGGATTTTGGATTCCTTTAGGTAGGAAAATGAAAAGGACGACGATAGGGAAACGGTGGAAGCTTAAATCAGGATCATTTTGCGACTACCTCCCACTGAGGGTCAACTGACTGAGATAATAGCATGCTTATCTGCGGACTTGCCTCCCATACAGCGACAGTCTTATCAGTGATCTGACGTCCGTAATCGCATGCTCGTGGCTGCGGGTATAGAGTTTTATTGAAGACACGACGCTTGACGATTGCTCACCAGTTCTGTCGTCGATCGCGGCTGCACAGCACATGCTCCACCATGGCATTCTGTCTCCGGACCCACTCAGGACTGTTTATCAGGCGAATCCTGTCGCAGAAGTGCGGGAAACCCATCGATACTCACGTGAGTGCTCAAAAGTGATTAATGTGGTGTCTCCTTCCTGGCCAGGGTGGCTGCAAATGGGCTAGAGAAGCGGCAAAAGTATCTCTCTTGACCTTGCGTAATAAGCTAAAATTGGCAATTCATTCCATTCGGCAGAGATACTGCCACACTCTCACTTTCGTGTAAAGTAGATCACATTTTCTGGGATTAATTTTCACCCCGCGTGTGGGTTTTACAGAGAATTCAGCACCTGAGGTTGCTCTCCACGAGTCTCCAGCTCAGCAAAGTCGTCTCATTCAATCTATCGGACATCGGAGAGGGAATAAGAGAAGTCAGTGTGAAGGAATGGTGAGTCTCACACCCACATTCACAACCGCTGATTACCACTGATAATCCCAGCTCGTCTTGTGATAAATTTCCCGGCCAGAAGATGCATAACTCGGCTCTCTTTCTGTGTTTCAGGTTCATCAAAGTTGGGGACACCGTTGAGCAGTTTGATAATCTGTGCGAGGTGCAGAGCGACAAGGCTTCGGTGACCATCACCAGTCGCTACGATGGGAAAATCGTCAAGATTTACCACAAGATCGATGATATCGCCCTCGTGGGACAGCCCCTTGTGGACATTGATGTTCAAGATGACGATGAAGCGCCCAAGGAGGAAGGAAAGGACCCTGAAAAGCACAGTGATAGTAGCTCCGATGAGGATGAGCCGAAGAAACCCACCGACAATGCTGAGGAGGAAAGGAAGAAGGTTCTAACGACTCCGGCAGTGCGTCGTCTGGCCATGGAGAACAAGCTGGACCTGACCAAAGTGACGCCCACTGGAAAATATGGGAGGATTCTCAAGGGAGATGTCCTTGAGCACTTGAATTTGATTCCCGCGGGCACAGTGAAGCCACATCCGACACTCCTTCAGCAGAAACCCCAAGGAATCCCAATTGCACCACCCAAAGTCTTGGCCGAGGATCGCGTGGAACAGCTGAAAGGGGTGCGAAAGGCGATGCTGAAGTCCATGACTGAGGCATTGGTGAGAAAATTAATTCAAAAACTAAACTGTAATTGGTAGAAAGTAATTTTTTTCTTTCTGTCGTATTACAGAAAATTCCCCATTTTGCATACAGTGACGAAATCAACATGTCCAAACTGATGTCTGTGCGAGAAGAACTAAAGGCAGATGCTCTGGAAAAGGGTGTGAAACTCACTTATATGCCCTTCTTCATCAAGGCTGCTTCCAGGGCACTTACCCAGTATCCTATTCTGAACAGCAGTCTGGATGAGCCAAATGAGAGTGTGATTTACAAGGCGGCGCACAATATTAGCGTGGCAATGGACACTCCGCAGGGTCTCGTGGTGCCAAATGTGAAGAATTGCGAGCAAAAGTCTATCATAGACATTGCAAAGGCACTGAATGAACTGCAAGAGAAGGGTCAGAAAGGCTCCTTGGGCCCAGACGACTTTGCTGATGGCACCTTTTCGCTCTCCAACATTGGAATTGTACAGAAAAAGTCACGATGAACGCCTTGATGCATTTCTCATGAGCTGCTTTCTTTTTCAGATCGGCGGAACGTACACACATCCGTGCATTATGAGTCCTCAGGTTGCCATTGGGGCCATGGGCAGAACCAAACTCGTGCCACGCTTCGGAGCAGATGGGGAGATCATCAAGGCTTTTGTGATGAGTGTGAGCTGGTCAGCGGATCATCGTGTGATTGATGGAGTCACAATGGCAAGGTTCTCGAATCTTTGGAAGAAATATCTGGAGAATCCCAACCTCTTCCTGCTTGACTGATCACCAGAGAGGCACTCAGAAGAGTAACTGTTGCATTTATTTACACGGCGAAGACAGCCTTAGAGGCTGAACGGTCTCCTAGGTCACCTGGAATGCATTTAAAATTTTGTCTCCTATGTTTAGTTTAGTTTTCCCCCTTGCAAAGGCGCGCTCTTGAGATACTTGTTATTTGTTGTCACTTGGAGGGTTTTTCTTCCAGTTGTTATAGGAAAAGAAAAGCATGAAGAATAAAGAGAATCAAGTAAACGAAGAGATTTTGTTGTGAGAATGTGGGAAGAGAGACTCAATGATGATCCAAAGTGAACTCGAGATCTTAAGCTGGCGCTGATGGATTGAAGAGGTTTGAAGTGTGATCGCGAAGATTCTTAAAGAGAGGGATTGTTTGACTTCAGAGGTGAATAAGATAGCTTATTTAGAATACAAGAACAAGAAAATTTGAAGAGTATTTTATTAAATTGAGCATGGTTTTGCTTCTTTGTTGTCCATCTTCCAAATAAATAAGTTTCACATATACATGTATATATAATAATAATAATATAAGTATCAAGAGCTCAAAAAGATATTCGTATGTCATTTTTCTCATCTCTCTACTATGTTGGTTGTTGCTTTGGTGTTTAGTTTTCTTTAGTAATTCTTTTACTTGTTCAAAAAACTTGCTTGCACCTTCACAATCGTCCATCGGCCTTTTTCTGCTATAATTCTTTGTGACTTCCTTTCAAGTTAATATTGATTATACAGAACAACTCAATTAAATATATGAAATATTTATTTTTTTTTAATGTTAATAGACATAGAATGAGATTATTTTGCTTGTATTTCCTCCACTGACTTTAAATTACTGCCGTCCTATCTTCAATTTTCTTCTCTTTTTTGGTAAAATCGTTACGCTGATGATGCTTAAGTCTGGAAATGTTCTTTTCTCTATAAATTTTTTTTTGTATTTTTATTGTTTTTCTCAATTTTCAACATGAAAAAGTACAAATACATACATGTATTGTATTCTGGTTAATACAACGCTATATTTCATCCTAAAATATTTGCGTCTAAAAATCCTTCCTTGTCCTTTATTACCATTTTCCCACTGTCTTCCTTATCGCCTCACCCACTAACCTTCATGTTCTTGTCTCATTTATGTATTTAAATCTTTTCCCAATGTAAATTTTTTTAATGATCAATTTGATTTATCATCTCTCAATTTTTCCCTCACGCCACTTCTTTATTGCATCACTGATGACCTTTTTATCAATTTATTTCTTTTTATCTCTTAATGAACGCAAACAAGGAGGTCTAAAATAGGTGACAATACTTTTTCTTCAACTCCACAAAATACTTGCTATTATGTTGCATTTTTTCATTCTTTAGTTATTTATTTAAACACATATTTTTAGGATAATTTCCTCTCATCTATTTGACGGCAATTTAAAATATGTCCTTTTCATCTATTTTAATTGGATATACTTCATTTATAATCTCCTTCGCTCAAGTGCGCCGACTTTATTTTCTTGTTGTCATTTTCGATAGGCCAGATTTAATATTTATTCTTTTTTTCACCTATATAATATTCCTTTTAATATACATCCTTTATATATTCTTATATAAATGTTTTGTCCAAAAAATTTAAATTGTATATTATAATAATATATTTTGGTATGTAAGTTGTTTCTCATCTTCTGACGATCATGCTAATTTTTTCTCCTTATGCTTATCTTTCTCTTTGCAGGACAATTCTTGCTGCTTTATCTTTAAGAGAAAGAGAACGCGTGTGGGTGAAAATTTGAAGGTGGGAAAGGGAAAGAGGAGGAAAAGTTAGTGTAGGAATAGGGCGTAAGTTGGACTAGTGAATGTTTTTTTTTGTGGAAAATAAGAATTCTTTTTTGAATACAAGATATCCTTTCGATAATTTTAGAGACTCTTCACATTGATATATCTTCCTTTTTCACTAGTAAATTAATAGAAAAGCGTGAAATTATGTGATTCTGTCGTTTTTCTGATTCTTTCTTAATTTTTTTTTCATTCCAATCGCGCGCAAATACAGGGTAATCATGAATTTTCTCTGTCACATTAGTTTTATGTTTTCGTTTTTATTACTCTTATCATTTTTAATTCATTTTCTCGTCACTTCTTTTTTTATTATAAATAGGTATAGTAGTTTCTTTAGGTACTGCACCGTCATGTTTTCTTCATATTTTTTTTCTCTTTTTTACTCAGTCATATTGCTTTAGTTAAGTACGATTTTTCTTCATCTTCCTCATATACATAATTTTTTTCTTCTTCATTTAAATTTATTCTCAATTTATGCATCACCCTGTATTCTATTAATTCTATTAATATTTTTCACTTCATCTTCTTTGGTGTATATGCATCTTATTTGATAAATCATCCCACCATCATTTTAATTATTACTTCATTTATTTTTCTCTTTAAATCTATGTACATTGTAAAATTGGAAGAAAGCTTTTTCTCATATTTCTATATATTTATGCACATTTACTTTTTGCATTGTTTTATGCACTATTTCTCTTGTTCATCTTGGTTTTTTTTTTCTCCATCAATTTCGATATTTCGCACCCATTTGCTTTAGTTTATTCATTATTTCGCTATATAATGTAAAATTATCAAATGTTATCCTTTTTTCTTTAATAATGTTGCAATTTTACTAATTTTTTCTTTTCACTATTATTCGATTTTTGCCAAGATTTTTACTGCACTGCTGCCGATGATTTTTTTTTAAATGTCTGAACAAACTATTCCACGGTTTGTCTAACTGCTAGGATGCTGGAAGCTGAACCTCTCCGGGCTGGAATAAGACTGCTTTTTCAGGCAGCACTGCTCTAGGCAGGAGAGTCGGCAGAAATTGGCCGCCCTAGCTACACATTTAATACACTGCCTCAGTTGAATATAATCATTCCTATTAATTATTAATTTTCTTTAAATTCTATTACACTATCATTATTTATTTTTATTATTGTTGTTAAGGAATTTTGTGGATGGAGGTGGATACACAACAATGTGGTTTTTTTTTATTTGTTTTTAGTAGTTCTGTTTCACTCAAATATTTGTCATTTTAAAAAGGGAAAAATTGCCATCTGCAATTATTTTGTATGGAAATTGAGAACGGGGTGGAAAATAGTTTTGTAGAATTCAAAGGACAAATCGTCACAACTTGTAAATTGAAATTTAGTCACAAAGTGTAATAGGATTACGATAAATGGTTATACAATTACTAAATTAAATACACATTCAGTGATTATTTTGCGATGTCCATTCATCAAATACAATATAATTAAGTATAAATTGTGATTAGAGGTTATTTCTATTGAGAGAAAACTTTTATCATTTCTCAGAGAAAAAATTATTATACGATTAATAGAACGATAAAGTTACTAAATAGGATTCCTATATTACTCCCATCAATCATTAGCCAGCTTTCTGTGAACACACACCGAGTTAAGATCAGTTCACAACGTCCCATTTAAACGTGCTACATAAATATATATTGTTCAATATAATTAGTAATAATTTAAATAGTGTTCCTTCTTTATTAATATCTTTAGTTAATTTTTTAAATATATAGTTAAAGAGATTGATGACCTATAAGAATAATGGGAGATTATTTTACTTTTTCATAATTCAAAACCATTTCAGGATGTTTTATTACGCTTTCGCAACTTTTTTCTTTTTTCTTTATTTGTTTGCAGTTTGTGAAGAACTTCTTTCTGTATATCTTTTTTTTTTGCAAAATGTGCGTGTTTTCTTTAAACTACCCTTGACCGTCTTAGTTCCTCCTATCTAACGCTTAGTATTGTGTATATTTTTTCGTTGATCTCTCTCACGCACATTTTGATCGCCGGATTTTGGGTGTCTGTTCCAGGATTTGGGTGATCAAAAGGTGTAATTTGATGATATTCGATGGAACAAATGTGGTTTAAGAGACGCTCCTGTTATGTTGTTCTTATTATTGAATGAAGATCAACAAAGCAAAATGGTTAAATTTAAAAGAAAAGTGATTAAAATTCATGTAAATTTTCACTAGTTTCATTGCACATTGTTTTAATTTGTTACATTAGGTATCATCTTAGGTTTGTTCTCACTAACAATATTCCATCATTTATTATTTTAAAATTAACAATTTTGCTTTGGATAGTGTCTTTAATTGTTCGTTTCACTTTTTTTCACCTCCCATTTTAGGAATTTACTCTCATATTCTTCTCTCCTTCTCAATACTTGTGAAGATTGCACGCATGAACACATTATTATCATAATATCTCTTTTTCCCTTAGTAGATTTTTTCTCTTCTAAAGTTCTTTTTTAATCCAAAATTGGAGATAATTAGTAGAAAGAAAAAAGGATCTCTCAACTTTCTCTTTGAGTGAAAACAGTTAAAAATATTTTTTGGGATCCTCCATATGCATTAAAATTTTCTTTATCATTGCATTTAATAATGAAAAGCGAGTAATACAATAATTTGTTCATACTTTTTCTTTTTCAAATACATTAAATATAATATAATAATGACGTGTATGTATAAAGTGAAAAGTTGTTACCTTGTCTTTCAATACTGCTCAATTTTCTATTTGTTTTTCCCACAACATTCTCTTTTTCTTCCTCAATTTTTTCATATTGATGTCAGTTTCTCTGGTGAGATAAGATACTCTTTTCCTTTGTTGCCATCGACTTTGCATTAATTTCAATTATCTAGAGAGTGTAAATTTAAATTTAACTGATATATAATTTTTCCTCATTTTTTCCTCTTGCTTTTCAATTACTCTCAAAATCTTTTCACAATTTATTTTCCATCTTCACATAAATCTATGCTTCATTAGCACAAGATTTTCCACTTTCATTTGGTCTTTACACCGTTTCAGGGTAGAAAAAAGATTTTTTTTTTCATCTTTTAGTCTACAAAATATAATTTTAATTTTTGCTAAAAAGTCCCTTTTCCTACAAATGCTACTTTTCCATGTCCCATGTTACTTTTTATTTATGTAATTTTTCCTTACCTTATGTTATCACCGCCTTTTTAATATTTTTTTAACTAGCTTTTCCAGTCTCATCCTATTTAAGAGTAAATTACATAAAATGTGCGTAAAATTATTATCAGTTAATTAAGTTACAATACATTTTATGTAAATATGTATTTTTATTCCTCATTCACGAATGAACTCTGTTCTCAATATTTCATAATAACAGTAAAGCGATTTTCTTTCTCTCGCAGAAATGTGCCTTCCATTTATGTTATCTGTCGGATGTTGTGGGTGGTGGTAAGTTCTATTTTCGTGTGTCTCTCTTTTAGTCCCTTCCATGAAATGACATTTAAATGAAAACCCTCACTTCTGTTCAATCCTCCCTTCTTGTCTGTCAATCCAAAGAAATACTCATAAATTTACTTAATATTACTCTTCTTTGTGTTAATTCACTGTTAAAGATATACTCTGCGATACTATTTGCTGCAACTATCACCTAATTAATCGCACCTAATTTTATTTTTTTTTAATATCTCTTCACAATCATAAGCGCAAAATTGTTCAAAAATCTACTTCTCTTCTGAAAGGTTAAAATTGATCAATTGATAGTGAATATCTTTAAACTAAACCTAAGACGTGATTGCACGAGCCTACGATAGTCAAAAAAGGATAAATACTTTTTTAATATGAAATAAACACATGTCACTCGAGAACAGTTAGACAATTATCACTAAAAATTTCCTTTAAACTTTACTAATATGTTTTTTTTCCTTTTCACTTGATCTAAAATGACTGCTCAGAAAATAGTAATACATAGAATAATATAAATATAAGTACAGTTTCTCAATTCAATACAATACATTAATGTTCATGTGAGAATATATTTTCATCTACTTAAATGCTCTTGGAAATCTCTTTAATTTATATTTTGAAGTATTTAGGAATGTGAGTAAAATTATCATTATTCTTTCATATTCGCTTCTATTCTCAAGTCACAAAATTACAATTATAAGATCAAACTCAAGATCCACTATTTCATCTGAGAGAACTATTAAAATGTGGTTAAGATTCTTGATATCCTTTATAATAATTATACAATATTCTTTAGAGAGAAACACAATTACAATGACACAAACAGCAAGGATGAGAATTTTGAAAATATTATCATAGCTTGTTTAATTATCATTTAAACTCCCTTTCACTATGTCCTAAAAATGTTGTCTTTCAATCGGTGTTTCTTCATCTTTAATCTCATCAGAGTTTATTTTCCTTCCTCTAATAATATCAAGTCAAAGACTATAGAAATCTCTTGCGAATTATGGGTTCTTTAAAAAGGTTTTTTGTCTCTTCAGTATAAATGTTAATCATTAATTCACAATTAATGATGACGCGTTGTATTCGTTTTCTTTTACCTTATGTCTCATTTGCTTTAAAAGTAATTGTCTTCATTTATTATCTCTTATCTTTAGTGTTATTTATCTCGTCTCCTCGTGGAGAAAAAATGGAATCTCTCGCCACTGTTGATTTGTTTCATGTAAAAAGTATCACTTTTAGCCCGAATCCTCTCACAATCGGTGTCTTTATTTTTGCTTGTCTCTATATCTTATAAATCCCAATTTATTAAAGCTAAAAACTCACACACACGCACACTGCGGCATTCATGTCTTCTTATCATGGATAAAAATATCCAGAACTCTTTTTCCTTTAAACTCTCGCTCGCGTCTTTTATGTTCATATGTCCTTTTTTCCTCAGAATTTCCGCATTTCTTTTTTCTATACTTAAATTCCTCAATAAAAGAATAATGATTTCACTTTGCGCAAGTAAATTATTCACATCCTTCAGTGCTATTTTCTTCCTCTTCGATCGACTTTTAAATACTTCCTTCCGCCTCCTTCTCATTCGCTTTCCTTTGTCTTTCACCCAACGCCACCCCAAGTTGCCGCAGGGCGGATTCTTGTGGCGCTGGAGAAGTCAAAACTCAATAAGACCAGAGCCAAATTCTCAAATTCCCTCTAAATATTTTATCTCCAACCCCCTCAAAGCGTCTTCAGATCCTTGAGATGGTCTTTAAAAGAAGATAAAGCCTCGAGGAGTGGCTCTTGAGCTCTATCTTGGGGAAAATCCCCCCGTTAAATTAATTTCGATCGTCTACCATGTGCGAATGAGAAGTACGGATTGATGCTCAGCGGATTTAGTGTTGCAAGAAGAGTGATTGTGTCTTTAGAAGGACGGAAAGAGGAGTGATGGTCGCGACGCGACGTAGTAGCTGAGAAGACTCGGCTGGAATTGAGTCGTGGGCACAATGCCCAGTCCGAGTGGCTTCTCGCCCAATAGCGAGGTGGCCTGACTCATACCTGGCGCGCCAACGTCCGCGAGAGGTGTGTGCGAATTGATAGCCGTGGCAGGAGATATCTAGTTGGTTTTACTCTTGGTGTTGTTGGTCTTGAAGCTGACCTGGAGGACGCGATTGCCGAGGGTGTAGCCGTTCAGCGACTGAATGGCCACCACGGCCTCATCGTAGTTGGTCATGGTGACGAAACCAAAGCCCTTGCACTTGTTCGTCTGCAGATCCTTGATTACTTTCACACTCTGGACGGCACCGAAGGGGCCAAACAGCTGCCACAGCACATTCTCCTCCGTCTCCGGTGCCAGATTGTACACGAAGATGCACCATCCGGAGCCATTGATGGCGTTTGTGGGGAGGATGGTATTGCCCAAGAGATCACCGGTTAGAGGGGAGAATCTGCAGGAAAGCACGGGACTAAATTAAATGCTACTTCAGAATGTGTCCATTGTCCCTCTTCACTGGTTAAGTACAATAGGCAATAACGCGATCGTCTCATCTGCACAGAGATTTTGCTCACCTGAAGCGGCCGGTTGGGTGGTGGATGGGCCCTGGGAAGCGACGGTTGGACTGCGGTGTCAAGTATGCGGCAAGTGGCGGGAGAGCCTTGTTGATGTTGCTGCTGGGATTGTTGGCAAACTTGACAGTGATGGGCTCCGTGGCGCCCTTGGGTGTGGTGCCATTGAGTGACTGGATTGCGCGCTCAGCCTCGGATCGCTGATCGAATCGGATGAAGCCGACGCCTTTGGACAATCCTAGTGCAGCAATAGGACACAACATTTCAATAGAACCGTGAATAATTCGCCATAGAAGGAGAACCACATAGGCTTACCAGTGATGTTGTCGCACAGGATGCGAGACGTGATGATCTGACCGTAGGGACTGAAGAGATTCTCCAAGTCCTGCTGCGTCATGCTCTTCGACAGGCCAGACACGTACAAATTAGCGCCTTTTATTGCATCAGAGCTCGGACGTGCAAACGACACCTGAAATTGCCAACGCACATTCTCGTCAATTTATGTCCTGCTTCAGCTAATTCACCCCCATACATTCCGTAATTTACTACACACAACCCCCAAAATTGCCCCCATTCAATTTCCCGCCCACGACCTCACTGTGGCCAAATTAGATGATAATGCTCATCGCCCGACTGCCGTGCGGTAGATCTTCGCAAATTTTTTTATTACGAGCGTATTTGTGGCAATTTCTAACTCTTCCTTTTGCATATTTTGTGAGAGGGCAATAATAAAATCCTTCTACATGAACAATTTCACACAACTTCCTCTCAAAGTCACTCGGTTAAGAAGTATTTATATACCTTTATTGTCTTGTTCTGGAGTCGAAGCCCATTGAAGGTGTTCACAGCTTTCTCGGCATCCTCTGGTCGGTGGTAATTCACGAAGCCATATCCCAGGCTCTGACCTGAACGTTGAAAGAGAGACAGAGAGGCACAATTAGTGGGATTCAGCCCTAAAGCTCCCTCGGGGGCGGTTTCCAGTGCTTAAATGCTCACCAGTGACCTTGTCCCGGATCAGCTTGCAACTCTCGACGTCGCCAATGCTGGAGAAAAGTGACTTCACCTCCTCCTGGGTCATCGTTTGCGGCAAATAATTGACAATGAGATTTGTCTTGGCGTCATCCTGCCCACTCCCGATGGAGCCCGAGCGTCCATTCTGCTGGGCCGTGTCCAAACCATTCGCAATCATTGTCACGCTTAAGCTTTTGGATGGATTCTTCGGAGAAAGTGCTGGTTTAGTGATGGTTCTGGTTCTTGACTTGGTGTAGGAATAGCGCTCTCAAATCGCTGTTGGATTTCACCTTGAAGGTTTTGTGCTACTTGATTGTCCTGTCCAAGGTACAATGTATTTCTTGCAATCTTGCGCTTCTCTTCGCTACCTTTTCCTCTCTAGATTATTCGCTATGCCAAAAATTTCGTTTTGCCTACTTTTTCTCTTAATATCTCTTGTCTAATAAAAATTTATTTAAGCGATATGATGATTTCTCTTTTTCTAGTAATATCAGAAGAAGTCTCTTAAACAGTGGTTTTTATCTTATAAAATTCTCTTTAAATCCTTTAATTGTAGACACGATTGTTTGCGCTTTGGGACGTTGATACACACTGAAATGTGAAAATGCGTTAGGTCCAATAAATGTTAGTCATTAGGGCAAACGATTGTATCAAATTGAACAGGTTTTCAGGAGGGGTCAAAAAGATCACGCAATGTTCATAGAGACCAAATTATCCTTTTGATACAATATTGATATCAATATTCTCATCAAAATGCTATTATAAAGTGGTGCCACATTTAAATTTAGCATATTTTCACGAGGATATTTCATGTCATATCAAATGTTTCGCATAAAATTTTGCGAAACGTAGGAGGTATTTTTAGAAAATAAGAACACCACCAAAAACATTGGAAGGGAGTGAACTATTTAAATTGGAACTCCTAAATTTAAATTTTGAAATTTCAAAATTCCAGGAATTTGCCCTGCAATCAATTCAATGTTGCGAGCATCCCACATAGGATCGCGGTGAAGCAATAAAAAGACCGAAGAGCAATTGGGGTTTTGCTGAGGCTCAAAATATAATTGCCATCATGGATAATGATGGAAAATTGCTGTTTTCACTGCAAACGAGCGTATCAACTCGTAAATGCGGGTGGGCGGGCTGGGCTGGAGACAAAATCAATAGGAATCAATGTGGGAAAAGGTGAATGGGAGATGAGAAAAGGGGTGTGCAGTGCAAGAGCATAGCTCCTGCAATCCATGAGTGCGCGTGTGTTGTTTCCAGGCACCCGAAAAGCACTCGAGACGGTGTTTTGGTGAGTAAATCTCGCGCTTGGAGCAAAAATCGCGCACATTTTCCACACAATAGGAATCCTCGGGTGCCCCACCGCCCCACGGGTGGCCGAGGCCGCCCTCCTGGGAGAGCGTGGAACGCCCAGGAAAGGGTATGGAAAAATGCTCACGAGAGCGCACACACTACGCCGGCCGGGTATGTTCATTGTGAAAACGGCCGTTTGTACTGTGTATTGATTTTACTCAACATCTGAGATTGTGCCTCTCACGAACGACGCGCGGAGTTCCTTTAAACGCTCCCGTATTTATGGAATATTGTGTGTATGTGTCGTAATTACAAATTCGCTGATTACGTGAATTACACGCGAATTTCCCATATAACTGGGCGGGTGGTCAGTGGAAAAATTCTCTCGCAAATGGGTGGGAAAAGAAGCGAAGCGGCTGGGAATGGGAAATAGAAAAAAAGAGATCGATAAAACACTCAAATGGAATTAATTCACATATTTTCTTCTTTTTCACTCCACACAGCCGTATTTCTCGTTATTCCTGCCACAGCCACCCACACTGCTTGTGGGTGAGCGAAGCAAAAGGAAAACACAGAGAGAGATTTTTTCCTTCTACACAGGGATTTTCTTACGTATTGTGCTCATGACATGGATAGAGAAAAAGCTTTCGTAGAAAAATAACAATGTGGAAATTGTGGAGGTGGGGATAAAAGGCATTTTTTCATGTCACTCACAAATTTACACCCGAAAATCATGCCATTTCCTTCACCTTTCCCATTTCTCAAGGGCCTCTCATAGGCCATCCACGGATATATCCTTCAGTATTTTATTACATCTCACTCCTATCGCAAATTTCATTTGAATAACCCTTTTGATAACATAATTCACCAAATAAATGTTATGTGGTATAACAAGGATTGGCACTTAAGTGAGTTTACATGTGTGAGAAAAGATAGAAAATTTTAACACTCCCCTATTTGAACTGGCCGCACTCTTTGTAGAAACGTTCGTCTATATGCTTCTTAATCTTTTTAGCAACTCGAAATTGCACCAGAATGTAAGGTGTGTCACTTTTCTTGGCATACCATAAGAATCCATATTATTCTACCACCATATCACTGAACTACATATAAATACATATATCTATTGAGTAAGTGCCCGATGATTCGATTAAATATTTATCAGATAATCCAGTTTTGCTCATTTAAAACAAATCGATTTTTCGCCAAGTGCCTACGTAAACGCTGAAATTCAATTTAATAATAGAAAGCGGTTTAATCTCTATCAATGAGCTCATGAAAACTTCATCAGATTATACATTATGCAATGCATTTTGTACAATAAATGCAGTGCATATATGTACTGTACTCATTTGAGAGATATTTCTCTCAGAGTTTGCCAGCATTTTCATATTCAATATCATTAAGGGTGCGCGTCGCGATATTTAAATTTTGTCACTTTTTTACCAATCCAATTTCACTGGCAGACCCAGCAGAATGCTTGAGAGCAGAAATTGCGACAAAATGCTGGGTACTTTGGGAGGAAAATTGAATTTATGCCTTCAGCAGAGGCGAACAATGGGTGGGAATGGGGAGCTGGAGGATCTCCATGGAAGTGAATTTCACGGAATTCTCACATCACTCTGCAGCGGTCTTTTAGTCGTCTTTGCTTCGCCTCCTGGCACAAGTGATGGCATTTCTTTCTCCTTTTTTTCCCTCTTATGCTAAGAGAATTTCTCCTTTTTGAGCCATTCCTCGAATATAAGCGAATACCCATTAAATTTATTGATTTTCTAACCCCGAGACTCTTACCTCCCCAGAGCAGAGCAGCAGCAGGATACAGGAATCGTCTCACCCAGCCAATTCTCTTTGGCTGGGGTCTGAGAGAGAGTTCGCCAGGCCGGAGAGAGTGCAAATGAGAGGATGTTCTCACAGGGAGTCCCTGGGTGGGTGGGGCAGCAGATTTCTCTGCAATTTTCCCGGACGGGAAAAATGTATACGCCAACAATGAATGAACCCTCGCGACAAATGCATCAAAATGCGGGGTGGGGCGCAAAAAAAACAGGCAAAATTAGGGAGGGAAAATCACCCTGGATGTCTCTCAGGACCGCAAAAAAGTACACGTCCAGAGTACAGCGAAATACAATTTTGATAATTTATGCACAAAGACAAAGGAGAGAGAATGGAAGTGAGTATATTTTGATGGTGTACAGCTATACTCACCAATAAATTTTTGCTATAAATATTCTCTTGTCTAATTTGGCTTTAGTTGTTAATGTTGCTCGTTTTTATCTGGGCTCTTTTCAGCGGGGGTGGTGGTTTTTTCTTCTTTCTCTCTCTTTCTCTCTCTCACACTTTCCTTCTATGAAGCACTTGGAAGGGTGGAAAACTCTCTATACTGCGAGATACTTTTCAAGTTTCGCCTCGGAAAGTAACACAAATTCGACAACAAAACTCAAAGTTTATAACTTCACTCAAAGTTCTCAATCACTCGAACGCAAGTCTCTAAATTACCACACAAATGAGATAGGAGGGTGTGTTTCGTCACTGATTTTCTTCGACACGGAGGATGTCCTCTCGGGTGGATGAGAAAACCAATTTATTCGTCTAATGTGAACTTATTCAAGAATTGTCCTATTTCTCTTTGGCTGCTTCGACTCGGGGAGTCCAAATTCCTCCTTTTGCGCCTCCTCTGGAGTGTGCCTCCTTCGCGAAGTTTCCTTTCGCGATTTGGGCTATCTGTGTGTGAAAATTACTGATTTTCTCAAGTGTTCGCCTCTGTATCTCCTTTCTGAATCGCCGGGTGTGATTTTCCTCGAAAAATCTTGTCTCTCTCACGAGATTTGCATCTGCCTATATCGCGGTTCTATCGAGAATTGTGTGCCTCGTATTATTTTTCTTTCACTTTTCACGATTGGAAAATTAGTAAGAAATTATTGCAAAACTAAAAATGATGATGCACAACAGACGAAAATCAACTTGTCTAGCACTGGAATACACTGGGTCTCTCACTGGGTTGGAAGAGGTGGTTAGTTTGTTGTGCACAGAGCACCAGGGCGCACAAGAAGGGAGTCATCGATTTTCCGAGGCGTTCGGAAAAACAATGCCACGCATGCGCCCACCCCTCGTACTATTTGTATATTTTAGTTGACGACCAAACGGGGTTGGGTGAGCCAGGCACAGAGAGAGAACGCGCAGAGGAGAATCTCAAGCCTGGGTTTTGGGTTTTCCTCCTTTTGGCCTTTTTCCTACACACCCTCCCCCCTCAAGACATCCCTTCCTGCTTGCATCGGGACTTCTTCGCTTCGCCACCCAGACTCTTGGCCGCACACCAGCGACGAGCGCGACCCATTTGAGCTTTCCACGACTGGGAAACCACACTCGCACAGATCCTGCCGGTGCATCGCCATAATTCACCGTCATCCGCCCATCTCTCAACCCCTTCTCTCACCCCTCAGGTGGCCGCTCTCGCTCTTGGCTTGTGTGCCGATTCTCCGGCTCGCCACCCTCCACGGCGAACCCCTCCATTGTTTATGTTTCTATGGTAGACAGTGTCGAATCGTTGTGTGTGTTCCAATTTTTATTGTCTCCCGTTTACGCACAAAATTCCACACAACCTCACGCACCTCACACCCCCTCGCGATGTCACGTTAATAACGTCAGAACCACCCCCGATATTATTACAGGGTAGAGCGGAGACTACTCAAGTGACTGCCAGCAAAAGGCGTACACTTTCAAAGGTATGCTTTATTACGCTTACGGAAGTTTTACGGCCCGAATTCTCAGATTCCATTTACAGTGCCGGAGCACAGTGCTGCTCAAGATTATGCATATACCTATTTTCAAAATTTTTTGAAGAAAATACTTTCAATGATATTTGTGATATTCGAGAGGCACCAGAAATATTTTTGAATAGATCAAAGCGATGATGTGATTTTACCTTCACACTCTATTTCAATGGAACACACAAAGTTGGCAGTGCGAGAAAAATACATAATGAAATTTGATGTCGCTTTGAAATCTACCAAAACAGCTTCACTTCCGCTTCCCACGTCTCATTAACCAATAGAGTTTAGAGATGAAAGACATTCAAATTGGGAGTGATTAACGATTGAAGGCGTTTTTCGCTACATCATAGAGATTTTTCCATCTATTGTTGTTGACTGCGAGATTACAGATTTCATTCGGCACTAAATCCTCTAATTTGGACAATCTGATTTTCGAACCACCCTATGTAATTTCCCACCCCAAGCAAACTCACTCAATGTTTGACTGAACAAGGTGTGTTTTGCTCCCGTCATTCTCGTAATTTATGACTGGACGGAAAAAAGCGACAGAGGATCGAATGAGACACACCAGTGATTTAAATATACCCTCCACAGCCCGCGTGGGCGGCCGACGCGGCCCTCATCATGAGATTTCATCTTTCATTTATTTTCCAACCCCTTTCAATTGGCCGCCCCCCATTTGTGCAGCGGGTGGATTTGAAAACAATATCCAAATCACATTAATTCCCACTCGACTCGTGGACTGAATGGAAACAGCTCGTTTAGCAATTACCTCGCTTTATTACTACAGTAAAAGTATTCTTGTTAGAAAGATTCTTACACGAATTAACATTGATTCTCATGGGGGAGAAATGCTTGTATAGATAAATTGTACACAATGTAAATATGAATATCTATAAATATTTTCTGTATGGGTACAAAAATAGTTTCTGTTTTGGCCTCTCGATAAAGGAGAGCTTTTGAACTTTATTAAATTCTGCCTCTGAGGCACATTTCGGGCACTGGTTTTCGCCACTCTGTGACATCCTGTTCATCATCAAAAATAAATTATCGATTTTATGTTTCGTGGACTTGAGAAGACGATCCATGAGTTTGGAGGACAAAAACAGCAAATACACCGTCTATAAATATTTATAAATGTGTGTGATAATTAATTATTCAGCCTATAGCTAAATTATTCATGATTTTCGCCTCCTCTTATCAATGCTGCAGAAAAGGTCGCCTTACAGTTTCACTCTCAGCTCCAATTGAGAAGACATGTCGAGGAAGAGCATTGTTAAAACCAATTTGATTTGCATACTTTGGTAAAGTGTGATGTTAAAAATAGAAGGAGCAAAATTGCTTTGTCTGAAGAAGAAAATTACTTTCTCATAATGAGCTTACTACAGAGTTGAACATAAACACAAACTTCCTCCGCTTCGCACAAGATCAACAGAAGAGATATTAAAATTCAAACAAGGAGGAAGAAGCTTCTTACACTCACTTTAACATGGCATTACAGCAAAAGCCAAGGAGGAATGATTAAAGATTTACGACAAGTACATACTCGAAAAAAACAGAGCTTTCCATCTCCTTGTCATACGTGAATAAACAGCTTAACAGATAGAGTGTTAAATTATAATCTCAGAAGATGTCTTTCCTGGTAAATCTAGAGCGCCCTTCTTCTCCTTTCGCTCTCGGATAAGACACTCATGTTGCCAAAGGAAGAGCTTTTTAACTCTTGAACACGAAGAAGATGTCGAAGAGGAAAATTGCTCCATTCACAATGGAGAGGCCGCCCTTCGTGAGGGCGATTTTCCTCCTGTCCGACTTCCAAGCATTCTCCCACTCTTGGATGATCAGAGCGCCAGCCGCAATGAAGAGCGCGCAGCCCACCAAGCTGTAGTAGATGTCGTGCCTCTTATGGACTGGAGAGTTAATCAAGTAACCTAGAGTGATGTGAGAGAAGACAAATTGATGAGGAAAATTGTCATTCCCAATTAATTTGAATCCCTCGAAGAGATACTTACAGACAAACAGACCAAGGAGGATGATGCTGAAGCCCAGGAAAGTGCCCGATGTCAAGATGATCGTGATGATGTCAGTCTCACCCAAGCTGTGGTAGTGCAGCACCAAGCATGTGACTGCAAGAACCTAAACAGCACAAGAGAATCCCATGAAAATCCTCACAATTTCCGCCATTTCTCAGTTCTTTCTCCCTCTTTCTCTCTCTTTCTCTCTCTCTCTCTCTCTTCCTTTCACCACACATGGAGACATTCGGCAGGAAAGACGCGTTTCATTGAGATTTGTAACCTCAAGGGCAATTCGTGAATGGAATTTCGATCTTCTCACGGTTGCTGTTCCCATTCCGAGCCACTTTTTCAACACTCATTTAGCTCGTAAAATCAACAAACAGGAGGAGAACAAGTAATATTAAATGGCAAGTGATTGAAACCGGAAAATGAATCATGCAAGTTCAGCCTAAAATAAATTAGTTGCTCTCCTCACTCATTTCAATCACCTCGCAATCATCGCACCGCTTCGTCGCCTAGCAATTTGCATATTTATTGCCGATATTGGCTAATCGAATGTAATGTCGCAAGATAACGTGCCATTGCAATTTTCAAACCGAGTCTTTGATAAGAGCGCAAATGTGTGCTTTAAATATCTAGAAAATATCCGCCTAATAATAATTTAACCCAGAGAATATGAAGAAATTTATCGCCTCGCCAGAAATATGAGATCATCCCATTCTTTACGATGTGAATTTGCAGTGATTTATTATTCGCTACAAACATGTGCATTAAATGTTGACCTTAATCTCACCATAAATAATCACGATCTTATTTAATTTTATTTCGTCTCCTTCGAGAAGAAAAGTCTCTTTTCACACACTGTTTTTTTTTCCTTCCTTCATCGCCTCATGCGAATTGATTAGAATATTTGCTATATGATCTAAACACGGGTGAGTGTCTCTATTGAGTAAATAAAAACGACACTGTTAGAGGGAAACAATCGTAAAATCTGTATCTTTATATACTTTGTGTATATTCTTCAAATGAAAAAGCCCACAACATTACTCCTCTGTTGTCTTCTTTCTTTCTTTTTCTTTGTGGCTCACGCTCTTTTAATACGAAATCACCAGGCGTGGCATTTTCCCCTCAACATTAATTTGCAAGAGAGCACACAAATTATCTCACTACAGAAAATGAGTGAAAGAGTGCAATTTTAAGTGAAAAAGAGTAAATAAATTACTGAAATTGTGAATAAATGCAGGCGAAATGAATTGCGATTTATGCGGAGACACTCTTTACTATAAATCCCTTGGTAAATCCAATTCAAATCCTAATACGCAATTGCCTTCCCCTCTCTTGTGAACATCTTCCTGTCGCGGCGTCACCTCTTTTGTTTGGCTGGCACCATTTGGCTCTTCTTCTCTCACTTTCACACAGCGTTTCCATTCCAAATGGTACAATTCAGAGACTTTATCATCACGTTACACGACGACTCAATAAAATTCTAAAGTAATCATGTATTTTTCACGTCGAATTTCCATGCCAAAAGTCCCACACATTGAGCGTTTGGGTGAGTGAAGACATTGAACAAATTCCTAATAAGTAGCATATTTACCAATTCCAGCAATTTAATCAGCGATATACGATTAAAGGCCATTTTCACTGATAACACTCTACTTCTTCACGTCTCACAAAAAACTCTGAGAAAGAAGTTTGCAGATAAAAGCCGCGATTTGAAGTGCAACAAGGTGGCGTGGAGAGCTTGGAAAAATCCGTCTTCACTCTTTCACTTTTGGCCAAAGACTGACGTCACGCCGGCACACTAAAGAGCCTCGAGAACCGCGCTTCTGAGGCACTTCTTTACATGTGAAACACAATATGAAGAGTGATGGGATATAGAAATAGGCGGAATAAGTATATGAGATGGTGTTTCTATAGGAGACATACAAGATGACTCACAAGTTTTCCAGCTTCCGCACAGGGAAGGAGGACAATCTGTTATGTCAGCACAGTGGCAGGGACTTGCCCTAACGCCATGAGAATGCATGATTCTTCAATTGATGGAAATTTAATTGAACAGAGGTGGCTATCATCACCCTGTACGTTCGAAACATACACAAATGAGAGTTAGATCGAGGTAGAAAACGATTGTGTGAGTTTTTTCTATACAAGGCAACAAGGTTCAAGTTAGTTGTACAGATAAATAATTTGATTAAACTTCCGTCACATTAAAAATAAATAAAATAAAGTAATAATATGGAAGTAAAAAAAATCAAGAAACTGACAGAATTTCTCAATATATATGATAATAAAATATTGTGAAACGAATTGCAGTACAGTATTTGTGTGACTCACTGCACCTTGAACGCCAAAGAACGCATGTATGCGTATTGAATGAGTCTATCGTGACATAATCAAAAGAATATTAAATTGCGATGACCCTCGTCAGTTGAAAATATAAAAATGCTGTAATAAACAAATATTTAACATAGGACATTCTCTCACAAATACATCACACTCTAGGAGACTCGGCACAGTGTGTCACTCGATGATGGCATATATTTAAATTCTCTCGACACTTTCGTCATCATTTTATTTTAAAACATGTTCTATTGCCTAGAAACATTCATTGGTCGCCACATCATTAATTTTGTAGTCTTCCAGATTCCGCGAAAATGTGTCTTCTCTGTATTCGATGCGAGACAAGCGAGAAATACTGATAAAGTGATATCATGAGTCGGATTTGGCACTCCTCAAGCCACGACAATAGCAATTAGTGCGACAAATCGTCTGAGTTTTCGACGGCACACACTCGCTTTATCATTCCATTCACATATTAAATTGCTTCTGTAGTCCAGCCACAAATTTATAATAATAATCAGATTAGCTATATTTTGCCATTCGCCTCGAGATCCTTTAGGGTTTGATCGATTTTAGCATACTTCGCCTCCTCTTCCTTTCTGCTCTGCCGCTCCTTAAACTCTCTGCTCCGCACAAAGTGACACAAGAGTCGCTCGTCAGGCAGATCACAGCCTCCCGTGAGGAGACTTACTGGATAACCCACGAAGAGGATGATAAGAAATCCTATTAGAGAGTAGTACATTGGGCTTATCAGGAATATCCAGTGCATGTCATCTTCCTCGGCGATGGTTTGATCAGTGGAAGGAATAGTTGAATTAACTCCCTCACATCCGTCCACGCGCAGAGGCAAAGGAGACGGTCTCTGGGCGAATTGAGCTCCTATCATGATCGTGGAGACAACTACCGTGGAGAGAATCGTGCCCAGAACAACGCCCTGTAAAAGAATCTTATCAGTCATCTTTGCTCGAATTACCAGTTTCTGGTCTCTCTCACCTTTGTGTTTGCCTTTCTTAGTAACATTCCCATCGAGAAGATGCCCAGAAGTGCGCCGGCAGTTATGCCATTGATTGCCAGTGTGAGGTAGAAAATTGTTCCCATGCGTTCCACAACGAAGACACACGCCAGCTGAATCACTCCCAAGATCACAACGATAATCTTCATTGTTGAACTGGCCTGTTTCTCAGATGCTTTCGGGAAGCGATGTCGCAGGAAGTCCTCATAGATTGTCCCAGCCAAGGTGTTCAGTGAACTGGACATTGAGGAGAGAGCTGCTGAGAAAATGCCCGCAATGAATATTCCAGGCAATCCGGGAATCTTTGCTCCCACATCCATTATGAAATACGGGAGGATTTGATCGAGCTTCGCCACGACACCCATTGAATATGGATCACAGGTCTCGTACTTGGCATAAATGATGAGGCCGACAAAAATGCAGCATGATTTGATGAAAATCAGTCCCAGCGTAAAGATCCACACACTTTTGCGAGCACTTTTCATGTCGGGAACTGAGAGAAATCGCTGGACACTGCTTTGAGTCACTCCCAAGAGCGATATCCAGATTATTGAGAGACCCAGTGATACAGACCAAAAGGAGCTGCCGAGTCGCGGATTTGGGTCCATGTTGAAGAAGATAAGTCTACCGCCCCGCTCAGCAGCCTCCCACACTCCAGAAAATCCTCCAGTGATTCCCACGCCCAGGAACATCACCATCAGTGTAGCGCCAACTATCATCATGAATTGCAGAGCATCCGTGTACACTACAGCCTTGAGTCCTCCGACAGTGGTGTAGAAAATGCATATCGCACAGATGATTGGCGTGACGAGGTGAACATTTATCCCTGTCACTTGATTAAAGGCCAGAGCAGGAACATAGATTATGACTGGAACGAAGAGCATCACACTCACGGCGAACATGGAGCTGGCCACAAGTCTCACGCGACGATCGAATCTCTTCTCCAGATATAAAAAGCACGACGTCATTTGGAGATCATAAAATGTTGGAAGGAAAATGTAGACAATGGACAGGAGAGTCAGCGTCGCACATATCACAAACATCCAGTATTGTGTCCCGTAGGCGTAAATTTGCGTAGGAACACCCAACATTGTGGATCCTGAGATGTGACTAGCAATCAAGGAACAGGACACTGGGAAGATACTCATTTTCTTCCCACCCAGAAGGTACTCTTCAGTGTTGTCCTGCTTCTTCTTTGTGATAAAGCCAAAATACACACCGATCAGTGCTGAAACTCCCAGCATTGCTACGAATAAGCCATAATCCCAAAAGGTGAACCTGAGAACTCCTTCCTCGCTAAACACCACTCCTTCTTGCTTAGAGACACTCGCGAGAAAATTCTGTTCCGTGGAAAATTCCCCCATTATCAGATGATGTCCAGATTCGAGCTGCCTAAACCTCTTCTCACTCACTGATGCCACACGACTGAATTAAACTGTGCCTTCCGTGAATGGAGATGCTCATGAGAAAGAGTAAAATTACTGCGGATTTTATCTTGTAAATAATAATCCAACCCTCGAGTCTGTTGATTTAAGACAATTTATGGTGAACTTATGAGAGCTTTTTCTGCAAATCATCTATCAAATCCTTTATGATTTGTAAATTTTTACACATTTCTATTTTTGACTATGTAAAAAAAACTGTTTCATTTCATCACCACGCTCGAGGATGCCGCATCAGAACAATGTGGTATCTGTGTGGATTGTAAATCTTCGTTTTCACCTACGTCTTTTCCACTTATTATTTCCCCTCCTCAAGATCACGAAATTTCCTTATCATTTGTGTAATTTTTCAATAAGCCAGGCTTAAGTGCATTCGGCTGACGAGTAAATTATTCAATAAATCACTCTAAATACAACAAGAGCTATCATGAATAGTTTCTGTGAAGCTGGTAATGTTTCACGGGAAAGTATGACGCAAGAACGATCAACGATCTAAATTCCCTTTCATCTGCAACATTTCTCACTTTTCATGAAATCCACAAAGCCCTCCTCTACAGTACTCTCCAAATTCCCAATACGGAGCCATCAAACGCTGAAGCATAAATTGCGAAGATTGTCACGCACATTCCTAACATTCCTCAGTCACACACACTTTCACTGCCCACTCATGTTAATATTTCAATATAATAATTGAGTATTTTTCGTAATCTATTTTATTGAATTTCCCCTACAATTCACATCCCGAGTGGCAGAGATAAATTCCAGAAGGGAATCCACATCTCGCGGTCATCAACTTTGGTCTTTGGTAATTTTATTGCGCCTACAAATGTTGAGAACGATTGCACCCTTCTTCACACTTTTGAACATCTTCACGGCGTCCTCGTGCGATAGATCATGACAAACTTGTCCATTCACGGCCAGAATTTCATCGTGAACTTTAATTTCACCACTATCTATCGCTTGACCCATCGGTAGGATGCTTTTAACGAAAATGCCCAACTTCCCCTTCGGACTGTCCGATCCGCCGACAATCGTGAAGCCCAGTGACTTCTTTCCCGGGCCCTTCTCGAATGACACAGTGTGGAAGGACAGCACGCCCGATCGAGGACGCCGCGGCAGCGTGCAAAAGTTATTGCTCGACGTGGGCAGCGTTGCACTCTGGCCAGTCTCCTCCTCCTGGTCGTCGCACAAGTTCATGGCACTTTTCGCGAGACAACTCCTCTGGACAGTGACCTCTGCGGATGCCGCTTCGGGAGACGCCACTTCCACCTGACCTGTCTGACCACTCAGCGATCGTCGGATGACCCGATTTGACGACATACTCGAATATGGTGTCACATTCTTCTGAAACTGCTGAGCGCGCCGCTTCATTGGGGTACTCTTGTTCACATGCAAATGTGCCAGACCATCAATTCTGCAAAGATATGCCAACACATTATTTCACTGCAGAAAAAAAAACTTCCATCTTCACCCATGAACTGTGTGATCTCCTCTGGGGAATTCGTGCCATTTCTATCTTCCGCTAATGTGCAAAAGAAGCCCCCAATCGCACGCAATCAATAGAATGCTAATCGAAGAATTTTTAATTAGTGTGCATAAAGAGCACGCGAGTTCCTGCAGAAAATCATTGGACGAATTATGAATATGCTGTGGAATTTCATCAAAACGATCCAAGGCCATTTTACAAAATCAAAATATCACTTTCAAAAGCCATTTACGTTGGACTATTCTTCCGCTAAATACATTTCCAAAAATCAAGATCATCGAAATATTATACGGAAAAAAGTCATCACTTAATCTTCAGGCGTGCAGTAAAGATAACCGTCTTTTATTGTCTACATCGCAACCGAGCTCCAATGAAAATATGTTGATTTTTGCATTAAGAATAGCTCGCATTTACCCACACGCGTCACTTAACGCTAGATCGACCGATCTTGAATTTTTCTCAATTCAAACAGAAATGTTAAAAAATACATCCCGAAATGTCACATTAACCCGTTCTCAGTGTTAACTCATTCATATTGATTTACGACTCTTGGAGATGCTTAATATTCAATTAAACACCAACCATAAGCTCAAAAGTAAATAAGATAAGGCGTGACAAAAGATCCCCACAAAAGACACGCAGAGAAATGTGAAAAATAACCAAAACTCACCTGATGGCTCTCGAGGTGTAATCATCAGTATAGTTTCTATCATCGAGATGCGAGTCTAGTGAAATCTTCCTCCCACTCGTGACACCCTTTTTCCGTGCATCTCTGTCACTTGTCTCATGGCGACAAATCACAAGATCAATGTGGACATCTCTTGCGGAGCGCCGGAATGGCGAATCGAGAAGTTCCTGGACCTGATTGAAGGACATATTGTGCAGTCTGTAGCCCGAAATGTTGATCAGTTCATCGCCAACGCGTAGATTCTCATCTCTGTCCGCCGCACTTCCTCTCAAGATATGTCTCACGCGGTACCTGTTGATCTTCGTGGGAGTCTCCGGCGAAATTTGTGAGATGAGAATACCAAAGCCATTGGCACCGTTCGAGACCTCGAGTTTCACGTACTTAAAGTGTCTCTTCTCCTCCGATGTCATACGAACAGGCAGTTTTGGTGGTCCACTGAGCGTCTCCTCGACTTCACTGCTAATGGACGACTGTCCCGTGAGCTCATTCACCAGGATGCCCGAATCGCAATCCTCCTGATCCGCCACACTCTTCCGATCACCAAAGGCATTGATGGAGTCTGTATTGAGCGCTTGGTAGCAGAGGAATTCGTCAATTTCCGGCAAATGCCCATGACTTAAACTCCTCTGGTGAGCATTTTCCGCCTCATCGTCATGCACCATTCTATTTGGATAAAAGCGTGTAAACATTTTCTGTGCCTTATCTTGTACACTTCTCACTTTGACGCTCAAACTCTCCGTGCCATTTGCCACTTCTTCTGACGGTGTGTCATCGAAGATGTTCTCCGTGGACTTTGATTTGATGCTCTTGCTCGCAAATTGCGATCGTCTCACCACCGTTAGTGGGTGATGACGAGAATTCGGGGCATTGTCCTTATCGCCCGCCCTGTACGATCCAATGATAGCGCTCATTTCACCGGAATACTCACTGCCCGACGACGTGGATACTGAATCATCCACATTGAGGAGTATGAAGTCATCAATAGACTTGCAGTGATTCGACGGAGTGTAGCATGACAAGCGTGTGGATGGCAGTGGATTCCTCTTCTCCCTGAATGTCATATCATTCCTCTTGTTTTGCTTATTTTTCAGTCTATTCGGCGATATAAAGCGTCCCATGAGGCGCCCATTTGACGTCGTTTCCACAATCTTCTGCTCTTGCACACTATAATTATTCGACGCGGACTTGCTCGTGGACGACGTGAGGAGATCTACAAGTTTAACATCATTACATATATTAGTCATGTGTTGCTAAATACCCTCGTCTTCTCGCTATACATCGAGCTCCGCAAACGCGGAGCATGCAATTTGGAAATGTACAGCATAAAATGTGTGCGAATAGTGAAATAAGGTGAGAAAATGTTACTTGTGAAACTGTGTTAGAAAATAGATAGACATAAACCCGTCCGATCTGTTCTACCGCACAAATTCAATCCAGAAATGGTCCGTAAACAAAGCAAAAATGTTAATGAGCCCATCAGGAGGAGGAAGTGAAGCAGAGTGGAAGCTTAAAAAGTAAAAACATATATGAACTGCATCTCAATGTGCACGCTGAAGATCACATCGATCGACTATAACAGGTGTTTTATAAAATCACATATTCAACAGAGCATCATCTCGGTATGGAAGAAAACAGGATTGCGATCGATCTCCTGACTTTTGTTATACACTCATTGATCTTCACCTGGAGTCAAGGGAATTTTATTTAGAAAAATTGTCTCGCTCGCTCGCTCTCTCTTTCTCTGTAACTGTCAAGTTCTTGCCCTCGCGCATTGATATATTATCTCTCACTGTTTGAATACCACCTTCAATGTTTATATAAAAACTACAATTCTTCTCTTCTTCCACTTTTTACAACATGTACCACATTTTCCTCCCATTTCATCTCTCTTCAACCCATCACCGGGTGTCATTGTACTCGCACTCAATACAACAAACAATTACCATCGTGTTATTGTATAATGGGAGTTACTCTAAAGGATGAGCGAATGGATGGAGAAAAAACTAACATCCATCTCTCATTTCACCATCTTTTCTTAATTGTATCAATTTGTAATTGAAAGTAATGACTCAACGTGAGTAATCTCCCATTTTCCCGCCTCATCTCCATCTACGATACAACTTTTCATCTCACCTTTTAATGGGTATTGTCTTACAACATCTCACCTCAATTGTGTCTCAGATATGAACTGGTTCAACGAGGCTTTTCTTCAATTAAACACACACAAAATCCAGAGTGTGAAGAGAGTTCTTTATAAGATCAACCATGAAGAGTGATTGATTATCTCACTTATTGCTTGATTTTTCATCGGTCAAATTGCGATCATTCCAAATTTCATCTCAATTCAATTTCAGATACTATAAATAATTGCCTGAGACTCGCTTTTTCTCTCTCTTTCCACTCTTTATGTCTTTTCTTCAATCAATATGTTGAATTTTTGAGAGATATTTCACTCTGATTGTTATTTAATGTGCCGCCATCAGACACCCATTTTGTCTTTGGAAGCGCAAGACGACGCGCGATGGCAAAAAGATCAATAGAAGAGATGATCGAGAAAAAATGATTGTGATTAGGTGAAATCGGAGGATGTTTCCTCACCTGCAATTTACCCGCCTTTGCCCCACACTCTTCACCCGATATGGACGTGTAATTGTGCCAATTATAGTGAAACAGGAATTAGTACGACGCTCATACATGGGTGAATTGCATAAAAAAGCCACAAAGTACGTGATCAGAGGAGGGATCAAGCGACAAATAGTGAGGTATTTAGTGTGTGGAAGGAAAGTTGCTGCTATGCTCGATAGGTGAGTTTATAGTGAAAATGTGAGATGTGTGCGGAAAAACACGTGAGATCATCTTTCTTGATCATACACTTGGTGAGGATCAACAAAAGATTTCTCGTTTCGCAGTGATCAATGTATACACAAAAAAGAACCCGATCTTCAGGCTCACACCATCACCAGCATCAGCAATAAATAGGGAGGAGTTGACTGTGGAGAAACACAAGAGACTCACCGATTCGTGACTTCCTTGTGCCATCGCTGATCACTGCACCAGCGTGAGGTGATTCTGTTGCTGAACAACATTCAGCCGATGTCAGACGCTTGATTTTTGTCGTCTCAATTCCATCACTTTCATTCGCCACGGAACCCGATGCATGATCTCTATTCCTCAGCGGCGACAGACTCAGCAGACGCGGTGTTTCACTCGAGGAGGATTTCCTGAACCATCTCATTGTCCCGCTCAACCTAGAAAGAGCCGATGAAAACGCCACTGTATGAGACAATGCTCTCAAAAGGTGTAATTTTGGGAATTCTGTTTCAGGGTCACTTCACACATGAATTATGACTCACTTTGCGAGCACACCTCTAAATTCAATTTCATTCTCCCTCGCGCGATTCAAATGATCATCACTGTGCGATTTAGAGTGAGAAAAAATTGCACCTCAAGATGGAAGGTGGAAAAAAAGCGAAAGTGTATTTTCTATTTCTTTTGCCTCATCTTTCTTCCCCGCTCGCGGGTAATCTCACATCACTTTTATTGCTATTACTTCTCCATTGCTCACATTTTACACTAAAAACTCAGGGGCACATGCGAAATCCTATTGACACTCACTGCCTTTCCTACCTTTTCTCGCACCTCAAATATTTCCACGAAAGCGTGCTTTATTGCGAGAAATTTCTCAAGATCAACATTTTTTGTGGACAAGACAACAATTACATCTTCCAAAACTCACTCTCAAGCTTCCTGAGGATCATCGTCTTGTGGCAGAAAAAGAGCCAAAGAGATATTATCACTCATTATGCAAATCCTCTTTTCTCAAAAAAAAAACTCACATACGAAGAGCGACAAAGTTGAATAAACAACAAAGTATATTTCTTGCTTAAAAATATTTTGTCGCAAAAAAACTGGAGTGTGTATGTTTTCCTAACTATCACTTTTTGCTTATGTCTATGCGTAAAAACATGCTGAGAATTAATAGCATATAGAACGAAGATTAAAAGCATAGCAAAAAGATGTTGGAAACACGTCAGAATTTCCGGTCTTGAAATTTCTTCTTTCTTCTCTCCTCATCGTAAACCTCTCAGACAAGAAGATCATGCGATGTTCCAGGGAAAAATTCAACAGTTGGCAATTGAGGAGCTCTTTTCAGCAATTTACCTCCATTTGGCAAGATAGAGTGACATGATCGACAGTGGTCAACTTCTATATAATCCACACCGTATGGCATCTTCACTGTTCATGGCAAAAAGAGACCGTGTCGTGTTACATTTTGCCACTCTGCCAAATGGATTTTTTCTCTCTCTTTCTTCTACTGGTGCCTTTGACTCCCAATGCAAACCACTCTCAAACCACTCAAATGAATATTCAATTAATAAAAATGAGAGAGTTATTAAAGCAAAAAATCCACCCGTCTTACTTTCGTTTTCAATCTTGCCAATCATTTGATTTTAAAATCTTTAATTTAGACCCGAAGCGCGCGACATGTGATCGAAAAAAAAGTCACCACACGTTCCATATAAACAATCTCACTTCATATAAAATTCCAATTGAGTTGAGAAATTGAAATCTGGGACATGAAATACATTTTCGCCGTGTGACACTTTAAGTGATCTGCAAATAATTTTAATTATGTCTATTTTTCATACCACACTCTCAATATCTTCACTGTAAATGTCAACATGGGGCATTTTCTAAATTATTGCATTCTTAATTAATCCCACTTCTGTTGTGCTTTCGCTTTTTCCTGTGGTTTTTGCCAATCCACTTTTTATACAACACTTTATTATTATAATCCTGCAACTGCAAAATTAGCAGCGCAGCCACAATTTTCTAACGCACATAAACTTTCAATTTTATTCAATACTCCTTTACATCTTACGTGATACATCTGATCATGTCGCTATCGGATGTGATCGTGGCTTGGTGACTATTTGCAACCACCATGAAACCACACACTTTGCCAGCAAAATCACTCCCATACTTTCCATTTTCCTTCGCACTTTCTTGCAAGGCAAAATTCCCCTCGAGCGCATATTTTAATACACATTCGAATGACACTCAATTTGCAATTCGCAGCTCCCTGAAAATTCCCAGCCACACCGCATGGATTTCATCAGCATCCACTCGTGGCCCAAGTGTTATTTAACAGGGGCCTTTTTATACTTAATTAATTAATTATTTCATTCATTGCACACCAAGCTAAACAATAAAAATCATAATACTGCATTTTCACTCCAACAAAAGACTCTTTTTCACCTTATGTAACACACCTTAATTGTCTCTTTCCTTGGCTCTTTTGTAGGTGAAAAAGAAAATTGTAAAGCCACCTCTTTTTGTACGTGAAAAGAAATGCGTAGTGTTTTCACGGATGGAGTGAAAAAGCTTGACTTTGTGTGGTTTTGCACTTATACAAAATTAAAATTCACTTTATATATTTCAAATATTTATGACAAAATCCCAGAGCAAAATATTAGTGTTACAAATTGTTTCTCATTTATATATTTTCTCACACAAACACACTTTCAAACCACAGAAATTAATCATATTTTCGTTTGAAGAATATGTAATTCATAAAAGAACCGAACAGAAACATTGTTGTGTCTTTGTCCCCTTTCTGGCATCGAATAAACTAAAATAAATAGTGTGGAGCAAAGGCAAATAAAATACAGCAAATAAAAAAAATAGTATAAATATGTGGATAATCCTCTGGCATACCATCAACACGAAAAAAAGGAAAACAAAAAGAAAATCTAAAGACAAGCAAAGTTGTTTTGCATTGACTTGAGCAAAAATAGAGTGATAAAATTGCGAGTGTTTTGCCATCATAAAAGTACCTTTTGGAATTCTTTTGGTGGAAAATACCTTGAATACTTTTGCTGTCATGTTGTTACATAGCGAAGAGTGCAAAAACCCAACAATAAAATAAAGCTACGCATTCAATGAGAAACTCTTCTAAATTGCCATTAACCAAGTGCGCCTTTTTCTCTTTTCTCAATAAATTACAATAATTTCATGTCATATTAAACCGTTAGTGTGCAAATGTCAATGTACAGTGAAATTTTTTGACTACGGAGAATTCCAGTGGCTATTTTGTTGGCGCGTATGGAAAAATTCACTCAAGCAAACCATCAATTTTTCATTAACAATTTCTCATTCTCCTCTCTTCTTTCTTTCCAATATGGTCAAATTGTTGACGAGAAAATATCATAAAATTGTCAATCAACGCAAACATCTTGAAATATCGTCAGTATATTGGGTAAAAATGCTCATTTTCTGCATAATAAATAATATGGCAAGCCAAGTGTGTTTTTTTCGAGGTCACAAGTGTTATCAATATTTTATCGACTCTATAGTCATTCGCATTAACAGTCCGGAGCAAAACTGCGACTGCAATAAAATACACAATAAATTGTGAAATTTTGTATCAAAAATCCAACCACGCAATTTTCTGAGAAGGACACAACAACCCAGACTTTGGCGAATTCTCTCTATTGTGTTGATAAATCACACAATATAATCTCCTTTCCTGTTTCCTTCGATAATCCCAAGTAAAAAAGAGCTAATATGAGTCATTAACTTATTGAAATGCAACTTTTTTTTTGTACAAACTGCCAGCGATAAGAAGCTTCTTTCCTGTGTAGAATCACTTTTCGAGGTGAAATGCTCTTGAGCAGAACTCACAAAAGAAACCACTTTTCCACGGAATTCCGTTTTCAAACCTCAAAGAGATAAATTAATAGGCATTCCATTGTAAATACAGGCATAAAGAAACTCTGCAATTTCTTCTCAGTACGACACCCTGACCGCAGATTCGCTCTCGCACACTCTCTGTGACGATTTTCATTAGAAATCTCTCAGATGGTGACACTGTTGGCAGATAAAACGGCCAGAAGAAGAGCCAATAGTCGCAAAGACATATTTGAGAGATGATTCACAAGGCGCGCACTATTGTCTTCCATCCGCATTTGACAGATATTAATATAAATTTGTCCAGCCATCGCGGAAAACGTGCCAAAAAATTCGCCATCCGAGTGGGAAGAGAATATAATAATAATTGCAAATATATACATCTATTTGTCCCCTCCATCAACGCAAGTGTACTCAAAGCATCTTGCTTGAGTACTTCAAATACCGAGATAATGATACTGATGAACGCTCAATATTTGACCATACAACCGTGGAGAGGCTTTAATTAACACCGCGCCGTTGGGAATTATTCACGAAAGAGCGTCAAAATCAATCTCTGCTGCGAAGACTTTTTTGGACAAGTACCTCAAGTCGAGGGAAAAAAGTTCTTTCAGCAATTATTTTCTCAATACATCCTCACCAAAATGGCAAGATATGAATATTTATCAAAAGAAGTCTCTTCGCCTTAAAAAAGAGTTATTTCTAGCGAGGAGGGGCGTTTCATTGGGAAAATCTGCCGCAATTCGTGAGAATGATAAATAATGCATGGAACTCTTAGGAAACAGACAAGGGGTATTGTAGGAATGTGTTTGCTCACTGAGCAAAACTCCATTTAGTTGGGCTTTGGCCAGGCTTGAAGATTAATTAAACGGTAGCTGAAAACAGAGAAACATCCCACGAAAGAGAGACAATAATGTCATCCTTCAACATCAAAAGAATTTATTCTTTATCGCAAGAAAATGTCAGAAAGTTAACTCTTTGATGCCTTTAAACATTGATATATAAGAAGATTCTAACTATAAAAAATGATTGTCGACCTCTTTTTCATTAAACTTTACTTGATATCGCAAAAAATCTGTCACGATGAATAAAAACAGTTAATTTTTGCTCTTAATTTGTGATTCTCGCGGAATTTTCCATCGTACCTTTGGCCTGAGTCAGAAATAATGGCAATTAAATAAATTTTGATGACGCATTTTTATTATCGGTACGTCATCATTGGTCAGTCGCCTGTCTCTTCACGAAACCGTTTCGAAACTGATTCCTCAATGCATACTTTCGAGCCCAACTACACTTTCAGCATGCATTTCAGGTGCATAAAATTATATCAACCTTCTTCAAACTTGCACGACAAGTTTCCAAGTTTACGCAATGCTATCTGAAGAAAAAATCTGTACACCAGAACATAATAATAATTACTGGTATTTAGAGAGACTCACTTATCACTCGGATAATTACGTTTTTGCCATTTAGCAAACAATAAACATTCTTTTCGGGAAGCCTCTCGTTAGGGCGACTTAGAGCTAAGAGTCCAACTACTTGGCATATTTACTGGAATGCACGCAATTGGAGAATGTATTGTTGGTCGTCTGGAAAGGTGGCGGAAGAGCAATTTATTTAATATGAAAAACTAATGAGGAAAATTGAGGTGAGAACAACAGTGGCAAAGTTGTGAAAGAACATCGTGGATTGTATTTTCCATCGCGATTTAGCGGATATTTTTTGAGTGTTGTGTCTCGAAAAATGTGTCGAGTGAATGCGGCGAGATTGTGGAGTTAGAAGGAAATTAATTGGGTTAACTGTTAAGCCTCTCTCAATGGGTTTAATCGATTTAATGGTAATGTTCTGATGCCGCCACGGGCGATGGAGCAAGAACGTCCCATGAGAGTGTCTTGCAAGAGTGAAAGACACTCTCGCGGACTGTTTTTCTGCCTCTTCGTGTTTGATGATCATTTGAGGAATATTTCGAGTATTTTTCCCGCATTTCTCATCATGTACAATCCTAACGGCGCCACATCATTAGCAATCTCAGCCTTATGATTTTTCACACTTGTTTGCGCCCAGAAAATCTATTCTGTATCAATCCAATCCTCATGCCCATATCTCTTATTGCTCTTATTATTAAATACCTAACTGGTCTCAACAGGTTTTTGTGCCTTTTTCCTCACCGTCTCACCTTTACTTTTTGCCCCATCTCTTCGCATGACGCGCTTCTTATCTCAAATACCAAATCTTCAGGTATTTCTTCTATAAAGTTCATTGGGGATAATCCCCTTACTCACTCAATCACAATACAAGCGCCCTTCACCTGGGCGGAGGACCAAGTTGGCTGTATAGATCGCGCAGATTCCGGATGATCTCACCTTTTCCGGCAGCTTCTTCTGCACTCTTTCGGGATTTTCTCTCAATACAAACTATCTGATAATTCCACTGTCACAATTCGCAGCGTTGACCGATAGCGCTAAGAACTCTCACATGATCCGTGTTAGCGTGTCAGATACCTCAATTAACTCCTTTTTGGTGTGAAAACAAACAAACACGGTATGCCTTTAATCACTAAATCACTCCAATACCTTTCTTGCCGACGTCCGGGAAGCTACTACGCGATCGCGATGACTTCGGCAAACATTTTAGAGCAGGATCGCGTGAAACGTGTATGTTTGTCCCTTTCTAACCCGCGGCCTTTCTAGCAGAGACCCCTCTCTTTCCAAACTGCTAGAATTACATTTAAATGATGTTTTGTGTTGAGTGCTTTCGTACTCCTCGAGTTTTCCGCCTTTTTCACGCAAACTTTCTTCCGTTCTTCAGAGAAATATGTCGCAGAGCAGCAGTGAGTCACAAATCGCGTGCAGTATCTGTGATGGCCACGAACATGTGCTAGAGAACCCGATGGCCCGACTGAAAGAGTTCATGAGAAATAACGTTCCGGGATATGAGGTTATGTTTTTGTTTTCAAGAGGCTCCGCTAAACACTAAACATTATATTTGTGACTTGCAGGATGGACCTCTGTGCTTCACCTGTTACAATGTGGTGAAGAAGAAGCAAAACCCCATACCACATCTTGCGAGTCAGACCTCGACAAGTTCAGATGACACCTTGGACACGATCGTGAACCAAAGGACGCCGTTGTCACTAAGGCCCATCCGGGTGTCTTCACAGGACTTCTTGCAGTACGGTTCCCTATTGTTCACAGCACCTGACACCACTTCAACCCCCTCAGAAAGCGCTCCAATGCCCAACTCTAGAAGAATGAGAACAGCAGACATTTCCGTCGTGCGCCAGCTTTCCCAGGATTCACGTGAGTTATCAGTCGTGTAGGATATCCGGAAGATTCTTAATAGCTGTCTCCTTGCAGATCAATTGGCGAGCAGAGGAGTGTCACCCAACGATCTGCCTCGGAACAAAGCGGGATAAAGAAGCAAGAAAAACAGCTTTGTGCCATTCATTAATTTATTGATACTTAAAATTAAATCAATTGCGATTAAATTTATAATTGGTAAACTGTAAATGAGTCTCATGAGTTTAAACTTTCTTTCAATTGAAATTATAGTAAGATTTTGTTCTTGGTTTTCCTGAACTGAATGTATTGACTGATATATAGTGTACAGGTAATTTGCTGTTAATAAATGGCAATTTTCTAATCTTTTTTATTCTTTTATTCTTTTCAGTGACCATCTTTCGCAAATTTCCAGAAGTCTTCCAAAGTGATGCTTCAATTTTTAAATAAAATAAACAAATTTCCTCATTCTGGTCACACATTCAAAGACTTTCACTTTCTCCAAAACCTTCTGTTGAATTTTTTTTGTTTTAAATTTCCTTTCATTTGAATTAAAGACAAATAAATTTTACAACCAATCGATGTTTGTTTTGATTGTACATTTGACGAGCAAATTTCTTTTCTACAATCGTCTGTTCACACTTTAGGGCTAAATTTGCTCTTCTTGGAATTACCAAAAGTCCTAAAATGTGAGAATCTCCGTGTTTTTATCCAGGTTTGGCGCAGCTTTCTTCGCTGTTAAATGTGCATTTTACTTCCTCGGAAATATTAAGTCAAATTTAACTTTGTCCCTCCTTATGGATTAATAATAAACAGGTACTTGATATTGTGCCTCTAGCACCTTCTAATATTTCCTTTTCTCTTCACCCACGCTGATATTTGCCTATTTCTGTTCTGCAGATACTTTTTCTGTCATCAATTTTGCTAACACCAAACCTCTTCCCCCTTCAAATTTATAAGTACAACTTTTATTTATTTACTGTGAAATGTTTCGATTTTTGATTTCTTTCGGAAAAAACTTGATTTATTACACTCTTCTGGTCGAATTTTACATCAAATTTAGAATTGAATTTTTCCAGAGCCATTAATCTTCATTTCCAGAACTGCAATTTAAGAATTTCCTCGCCACGGAGATTTCTTGTCAATATGCTGTTGTTGTTTTTTCCCTCTCAATCGACGATAACTTTGAGATTCTTGCAAATGATGGTGAAATGCATTGAGAAATTTCAATTAAATTGCTTCTAAGGCAATGAAGACTCTCACTCCTTGACACTTTTGTTAAGCGATGACTTCATTTTTTTACTTGTTCAAATAGCAAAAATACTCTTCTGATTGTTAGCCTAAAGTGGGAAAAATGTGGCTAATTTTGACTTTTTTTTCTATAATTTTGTGAGAAAAACTATATTGACAAAAGATCCAAAAACAGACACTTGAACTGTCTTTTCTCAATTTTTTCCAATTAGTCTTCCCTTCTTAAAAATTACACCCTTTACTACATTGCTTGTGTCATTTTTTCTTGTTTTTTCCTCCCTTATCTTTCATCACCCACTAACTCAAAATTTCTCTCCCATCATACAAAATATAGCACATTCTCGCACACATTCAATTTTACTCTGAACCCCCAAAATTTCACTCACAAAGATCTCTCTCTCTTTCTCTAAATCATACATTTTGTTGAACTCCTCTCACGACTTCATATTATTTCTCTCACAAATAAACATCAACTAAAAAAGAAATTCTTCTACTTTTTACCCCTTGACGTCTTAAATTTTATCATAATAGAAGAATTTACACATCATTGACCCACATATAAATGTCTCCTCTTCAATTTATAATTATATACTTTGTTTTTCTTTTTTTTAATAAGAAAAAAGGATATTGATTCTCTCTCTCTCTTCTCATTCCCATTCATACACACGGAAAGAAGGCGTTTAAAAGTCTCGCAGAAAGAGACCAAAAATTCTCCTATAATTTCTTTTCACGAATTTCATCTTTTGCTCTTACATTTGCCATTTTGTTTTCTCTGTATTTTTTAACATTTGCATGATTTTACGTCTTTTCTCGTTCTGAACTCTTCAATAAATTGTACAATTATATGTATACTTGGTAGGTATAGAGGATAAACTGATATTTGATTTTTTCTTCATATCATAATTCGTTATACTGTGACAATCGAGCATTGATTAAATTATAGGAATTACAAATATTACATTTATACCTTAAAAACAAAGTACGAGGTCTTTAAGGAAGAATATAATGTACAAAAGAAAAAGAAACAGGGTGGATAAACGCAAAGAAAAAGAAGTGAATAGGGGAGATACAATGAAATATAAAGGTAAACCTAATAGTTATACAAACGCTCTCTCACATTCTTTTCTTCCATTCATTCTCTTCATACTTCTTGGCAATGTAAATCTGGTTGTTATTTTGCTTTGTTTTACACGTGTGATTCCTTTCTCTGCACTCTGTCTATTCCCACACCATCTCTCTCTCTCTCTCCCTCTCGCTCTCTCTCTCTCAATATCCTCTTTCTGAATACATCTCTACAGATCTCCTTGTCAAGTCTCGCAACGACAGAACTGAAGAGGCGAAATTTCTTTCCATTTGCTTTCTCAACATTTCTTCACAATTCCTTCCTCCTTATTTTGCTAACAGGAAAAGAAAATCTACACTACAATTTTATTGATTTAATGCAATTTTTCAGCCATCTTAAAAAAATTCCCCTCTTCCCTTCTGTCGTGCTTCCATCAAAGCTTCTCACGCCCAGAATGATTTTCCATGGGAATATTCCTCATTATCTCTTCCATCTGCTGACTTTTTCATCTCTTATTACATAGTTATTTTCACTTAAAATTTACTTTTGTATATTTTTTGTTATTTACAAGTCTTATATATTTACTTTATTATTTTATAGTCTGTGTGTGAATTTTCTTCTTTACTTTTAAAATGTACAAAGATTTTTTTCCTCTCTTGACTCTTCTATTTCATTTTTTTTTACCTCAATATCATTCACTAGTTTGTTTTTTCGTTTTCCTACTTTTCCATCACTTTTTTCCCACTGTCTGCATTTTTACATCCTTCCCAATATTTCACTAAAATTTACTTAATATTTTTCTCATTTGATTTCTGATCATATTTTTTTCCCTTCTTCTGCCATAAATTGTTTTCCCTTCATCTCCTCTTTATGGATGGATATTAATATGATGATTACCCAAGACAGAGTTTTTTTTCTTCTTCATATTCTCCGACTGCCACACAAAAAAGTAACGAAAAAATTGCAACAAAAAATACTTCAAACTAAGTATAGATAAAAATCAAATTGATATATCGTGCTCAGCGCTCTATTTCACATGTTTATGTAACTTGTAAATATTTGACAATTTTTATAGCTTCATACAAAAAAAAAGATGGTTCCCATAGAAGAAAAATCGGTGAATCTATTTCATATTGTTTTCCTCATTCGAAGAACAAAAAGAATTACTGAATCTGGCTTTTTTTCTGCATTAAATACATTTTTTCCGCATTCACGAGCTTCGCGTCACACAAGTATTTCACAAATAGTTCAAGTTCAAATTCTCTTCTTTACTGCATGATCCCAAAATCTCCACCTTTCTCTATTCACTATAAATTCACTATTGTTTTCTCCACATGACTCTAAAATTTCTCTTTTACTGTCCATATTTATCTATAATTCAATATTTTTCATTTCAAATTTCAAACCTCAATGAAGACACAGAAATGTGACTAATACGAAGAAAATGTATGCAATGTGACAATTTTCAGCAAAAAGCTTTGACAAAATTACTTTGATTCTTCTCTTTTCCTCGAATGCAGTCAATTTCACGATTTTCTTTCACTCTAACCTGTTTACAGTATTAATTCTCTCAGAAAAATAATAATTTCCAATGCAAAAGTATAATAAATCCTCCATATTTCAACACAAGTATTAGCGCAATGTAAAATAAAATTTCTAGAGTTTTCTTCTTTTTTTTATCATTGTTATCCCCTTTTCCATCCCTCTTCTTTCTGGGTATCCTTTTTTTTTCCTTCGAACCTTGTCTTTCGTTCCTTATCCTTTTTCACCCCCAATAAAAGTGACTATCACGCATATTCACCCAGGAAACTTGCCACACGCGTGATATAAACAGTTGAAGAGATGCCGACTTTCTCGTCAGACACTTGGGGAGATGACTTGATCACTGTTCACTTGCTCACATTGTTCTCATCGTTGTTTAAGCTGGTATTTGGATCATTCAGCGACGTGGCCACATACAAAGATGGATCAATCACTTTGGGAATCGGCTTGATCTCCGTTCCCAACTCCTTCTCAATGCGATGCAGATCGTAGCGATCATCGTACGTGATAAGATTGATTGCAATACCTGGATGGTTGAAGATGGAAATGGGCATTATTGATAAAAAAATACTCACTCACACACTTTGACAGTGATTGGTGACTCACCTAAATGTCCAAAGCGTCCAGATCGTCCAATTCTGTGGAGATACGTTTCGGCCATTTTGGGGAAATCAAAATTGATAACAACATTCACAGCCTGTACATCGATACCACGTGTAAAGAGGTCAGAGCACACCAGATTTCTGCACAGACCCTGCCTGAAGTCATGAAATACACGATTACGGTGGGCCTGAGCCATCTTTGCGTGTATATAGTAGCAGCAATATCCCAATTCTGTTATTTTCTTCGCCAGCAACTCAACGCGCTGTGTCGAATTGCAAAAGATGATCGACTGATTGATTTGCAATTTGGAGAAGAGCGTATTCAGACAGTGCACCTTCTGGCGCTCCTGCACAAATGCATAGTACTGCGTAACACCCTTCAGCGTCAGCTCCTCCATCAAGTTGATCTCATATGGCTCACGCAGGTGTCTCTCCATGAAATTCATCACGCTCACTGGGAATGTTGCAGAGAACAGCAATATCTGACGCTCCTTGGGCAATTTCATTATGACATGATCCAGCATGCCCTTAAAATCTTGCGACAACAGCTTGTCCGCCTCATCTAATACTAGCATCTTGCAATGTGCCATATTTGCCACCTCCTTGTCCATTAAATCCAGTATACGGCCAGGCGTAGCAATAATCACTTGTACTGTAAAGTACACACAAAAAGAGTTTTTAATCATTTGACTTTGTCTCAAAAAAAGCAGAATAAGAAGAAATGTCTAAAGTGGCAGCTTTCAGAAATGTTTGTTCTCATTAATTTGCTTCTAATGAAGGGGAATCCAAAGTTATCATCATTGATTTGCACACAACACAGAGAGAGAAAAAGAGAACGAAAGATAAGATATATTTACAGTGCGACCTTTTCAAGAGCAATGATCAATATCATATTACAGACGAAACAGCAGTCAAATAGTCTTTCTGCCAATCTGTGGCTATTTTTGTATCAATTCGAGAGATATCCATATCTTTCAGGTTTGATATTGATACCTATTAATTAAATTTAGTCTCAATGGAATCCGGAAAAAAATATTCGTAATATATCAATCTCTTTCTCTTCTGTGTCAAAATTGGCATTAAAACGCCAAATAAGGAAACACACTTTCTTCACAAAAGCGACTTTGATGACGATATCACACTATGAATCATAAAGTCTCTTTGGAGAAAATGCCTTCCTTTCGCAACGAAAACTCAATAAAATGTACCTTTCTGGTAAATTCGCATAATATCATCCTTCAAATTGGTTCCACCAGTCGTAACCATGACACGAATATCCATGTGCTTGGCCAGTTCAATGCAAATCTGCGATGTCTGGAGGGCCAATTCGCGCGTTGGCACAATTATCAGTGCTTGGATGCACTCCTTGGTGGTGTCCACTTGCTCCAGCACAGGGATTGAGTAGGCTCCTGTCTTCCCGGTGCCGTTCTTGGCACGCGCCAGAATATCCTTGCCACCGAGAGCAATTGGTATGGCGGCCTCCTGAATGGGCGAAGGCTTCTCCCATCCCTTCTCGAAAATACCCATCAGCAGCTCACGCTTAAGGCAGAACTCCTCGAACTCGTTCCCTCGTGTGTCTGTGACATCCTGCAGAACAAGTCAAAACACGACACCAAATTAATTCACTTGCCAATTGTTCGGTTGAATGAAATATTTAACAGTCATACTTACACTCGTTTTAATACGATTATCTTTTGGAGGAATTTTCAACTTCGCCTTCCACCCCAAATCGTCACCTGCCTTTTCACTGCCGTAGGTGCTGATTTTGCAAATCATGAAATGAATACATGAAATAGCTTTAGTATTTTGCATAAAGAACAAACAAAATGCTGAAGAACCTTTCGTTTCTTCATTGTTTCCCTGAAAAGAATACACTTTTCGCAGATAGTTAAGCATAGAGACGGAAAATAGTGATAAAATAGAAAATCAGGACATAATTACCCCTTTTGAGAGCCGTGATTGTTCAGATGATTGTTTGCCATGCTCAGGTTTTCAGTCATCATTTTCTCTCCCTCGCAATCTAACTTCCTGGTCACTACTGCTGTTGCTGGTCTTTTCACACGAAACTAAAGGAATCCCTTTTTCTCTTAAATCACAAAATCACCTTCGGATTCACTTTAATTGGCAATTTGTCTCTTGTGTACTTAATAATAATTCAAATTGTCTCTGTTGCTCACAAATTTATCATTCACTTTGAGTTTTCACCTTAGAAAAGAAACTTGCAAATTGTCCTTAATTCGTAATTTTTTCACTTTGTCTTTGGTTAATCTCTCAATATTCCCCTCTCTCAAGTCTCTTTAAGCACTTGTCTCTTATAAAATATGCTCTCTAAAACTCTGCTCATCTACTGGGAGACACAATTTCTGTAGAGCGTCCTTCCTGTTCTGTCCTTTTCTCATCTACTTAATAAAGTCCTTGATTTTGCCTATAGACTACGCATTAATTCTCCAAAGAAATATTGTTCTTATGCCGTTTCCGGGGAGGACACAAAATCACTCTCTTCAAATACTTCGTTTTATACAGTGTCCAAGTGACTATGTCAATTTTCACCCAGAACTTTACACTTCATCTTCCCTATCATGTAAACTTCTTACTCTCTCCTTTTGGAATCTCTTCGCTCATCTGTGTGCTCTCCTGGCTATAAAATTGTAAATTTTTCTCCGGTTTATCGTTCAAATAAGCGCAGTTGTTCACTTCTGTATTATCTCATTTAGATTTTAACCTGCAAAAGAGAAAGACAAACATCACTTTTTAGGCAATTTCTCCTTCAGCGAACGCATGAAAAGTTTGCAAAGCTTTTTCGTCTTTCACTCGTAAAAATTTCTTCGCAACAATGAAAAATGTGACCCGAGTAACGGTTTCTAAATCCCAATTTTTTTCTTTTTAAATATTTCACCACTCGAACTCCGTTTCTGGTGAGCTTCAGCACGCCACTGAGCTCCCTATTCTCCTCTCACTCACGCTTATTGCGCTCTAATGGCACAAGAGAGAGAGGCAGGCGTGCATATGCAGGGCTTTTGTTCTTCCGCTGAAAACAGGAACATTACCCCAAAATCATCATATTTTTCCCGTCCGGAAGCTGAGATATCGCAAGAAAATCCACCACATAACACTCTTTGATACTTTTCAAGAGGAAAAATACCGCAAAATAGAAAATACACGGAGCAAACGCGTGCTTTTGTTTCACAAAAGTGCGTCATAGCGCCCCTTTGCGGTGCCGCAAGAACACAGCCGAACAACAAGGATAAAAACAAGCTAGTCTCTAGGAAAAACACACCACAATCGCAAGATTGGCAGAGGAAAATGCGCTGCAGAGTCCTTTCATGGCCCCCTCCCCAGCCCCAATGACCACGTCTTGACTCTTTCTGTAGTTCAGCTTTTCGTCCCAAAATCTCCCCTCGCAGACTAACCACGCTCTCAATTCCTCTGCCAAAGTTGCAATTGGGAAACAGGGAACGGATTGCGTGTTAATTCGGGAGCAAATTCAATGAAATAATAAGTGAAATTTCAGCATAAATACCTTGTATGATACTTCCACACTCAGCTTTACTTGCAAATGTAAATGGCGACTGAAGGAAAATGCCTCGACTACTGAGCACTCTGGTGGCGAACACTTGCACTCTGTGCTCCACGCCGCGCGTCAACATTGAGGTTATGGCGCAACCGGCTTTCGAAAAACTACCCGCGCCAAATTGGAAAAATAACCATTTTATTTACATTTTCCAATCCCACGGGATACAGACGGTCCCGTCGGCTAGTACGGAGTAGTAGTGCGTGATGAAGACATCACAGCCCACGAAATTGAGTTTGGTCTCACAGAGAAGACGTTCCAGGCACTTTATCATCTTCTCCGGCGTCACAGAATCATCCTTCGTCAAGCTGGAGAGCCGAAGACTAGTCACACATTTGCTGTGCAGGTCCTTTTCCACATGCTTAGTGCTATTGTACAGTGTGGCACGGTCGCGAGCCTCTGACAAATTGTTCGTGATAAAGTCCACCAAAATTCCTCCTGGACACGTTGACGGAGCGATGAATTGACCAGTGGGGCTCACCATAAGTGGTCCAGCTTCCCTGTACAAATCAGCAGAGCATTAATTGAGATGATCTGGGAAGTGAGATTATAGCATTCTTACGATTCTATCACAATCTCGTATTCACTAAGGTCATCTGGCCAGGAATTCGGATACTGCTGTCGTCCTAAGTAGTCCAATAACGTCGTGGTGACCTTTCTCAGGTGATTCGTGTAAAATCCCGCTTGTGTCTTTGGCATGAACTTCCTGCGACCGATTTTGATCTTCCGCAGAATCTGCGATAAGGCGTATTCATACGCTGGAATCTTCTTCAGGTAAGCATCGTGCTTGGGGATGTTTCTGATAAACTATAGAGAATACGCTTTAGCTCGGGGAGCGCTAATCACCTGGCAGCACTCACATCCATCCAATTGTGCTGAACATCGCCCGTGAAGAGCATCACATGACCGTCCAGGCTGATGCCTGTGAAGGCGGCGAAGACTAAAATGCGATTCTCCAGGCGCGAGAGATCTTTCGGATGAAGATTAGCTAGGCTCTCGAGGCTCCGGAGACAAGCTCGATAGTGTTCAACATTCCAGCCACACTCGTACCTCAAGTCTTTCAGCTTCAATCTCTCCACAACTCTTTCCTTGAAAATAGAGAGGCTATTACAGAGACGAAAGTAGTTTGAAAATCGTAAGATAAATCACCTCAAGCTTCTTGATCTCTTCTCGCAATCCTAGCAAGGAATTTTTCCTTTCGAGCGCCGTATTAATATTGTTCTTCAGCCATCCGCTGCAAACAGAAAAGCATTTGGTTTAGTATCTCGTGATAAATATATCCCTCAGCTTTGCTCACTTGAGAGTTTTGTCATCCTTGACCTTGTTGATGTTCTGGAATATCACATATTCATCTGAGAAGATATCTTCCGGATCCTGTTGTGTAAAATTGTAATTGACTCGTTTCAGTTCTGGCTTTTCTGGCATCTGTGGAATCTTATCGAGGTATTCAGTCGATAATTCACAAGACTGGAGAATCTTCTTCAGCACTCTCTTCGCATCAGCTGACCTCTCCACAGGAACTCTCACCATCTTGCCTGGATTATTGGTCTGTGGGGATCTCAGATAGAAGGGAAGCATGGTGGGTGTTGACTGCAGGACTCGTCGCTTGTTGAGGGCCTCCAAGTGAGCACTCAGGAGCTTCAGGGACTCTTCATTGACGGCCTGGAAAGGGATGATTGACAGTATAATCCCACAATTTTAACTAAATATCCACTTACCCGCTGATCTGGGAAGCGTCCAAACAGATCCGGATGCACCACGAAGTAGAATGGCCTCAGGACGGTGGCAATCTCCGAATTGCTCAGGAACCTGAGCCCTCCAGAGAGGTTTCCTTTATATCCGGACTTGGGGAACCTTGAAGAAAAAACAAGGTTAAAATCACCTCAGAAGCGCTTTTGGGCGGGAAAAGCGCCCCGCCCGAGCAACACTCACACATGCTGCCCACAGCGGTACATCCCGCTGAGGGACTTCCACACGAAGACACCCAGGAAGTGCTTGGAAAAGGCCAGAATCACCCTTCTACGCGTTTCTTGAATGAGGAAGTCTCTCGAGGACACCTCGCAAATGTCACACACTCTCTTATCGCAATTGGCAGGTTTTGCGTGCGACAGAAGATTTCTTGTTTTGTGTGCGAGAGTGTTGTTTGTTGGTTCGATAAAATCAATCAAGTTAGTTTTCTAATAAACAATTGCGCTTTTCTCTCACGCTTTTCTCACACTCTATCGCCTCTGTGACATCCCTCATCGTTTTTCATCTGCATCTTTTCATGGAATCTCTGGGGAAAACGGTTAGAATCTGGCATGGCTCTTGTCCATCTGTTGCGCGCCCACAATTTCACAACTTTTCGACACTTTTCCACCTTCTGGTGGCCTTCCTGACACTGTGTGCTCTCCTTTCAGGAATCCCTGACTCCAGCAATGTCGGTGGGTGGCAAGAAGGGCACTGGCGCCACCGTGATTGCAGGCAGGAAGAAATCAGGCCCCAAATTTGAGCTGTCCGAGGAGCAAAAGGCGGACATCAAGGAGGCCTTTGATCTGTTCGACACGGAAGCGAGTGGCTACATAGACGTTAAAGAGCTAAAGGTGGCCATCCGGGCGCTGGGATTCGAGCCGAAGAAGGAGGAAATCAAGAAGATGATAGCTGAGATAGACAAGGAGGGCACTGGGAAAGTGTCGTACGACGAATTCCTGCAGCTGATGACTGTGAAAATGGCCGAGAAGGACACCCGAGAGGAGATCCTGAAGGCCTTCAGGCTCTTTGATGATGACGAGACTGGGAAGATCTCCTTCAAGAACCTCAAGAGGGTGGCCAAGGAGCTGGGAGAAAATCTCACAGATGAAGAACTGCGGGAGATGATTGATGAGGCAGATTTGGATGGAGATGGTGAAGTCAACCAAGACGAATTCCTGCGGATTATGAAAAAGACTAGTCTCTACTGAAGACATCCGCCAAGGAGCGTCAGCCAAATGGTCAAATTAATCGTCAATGATTTATTTTGTACATCTCTCGTCTCTCTTGTGAAGAGTCTTCTCACGAAATTCCTTAATATCTGTACTGGATACATTTACTTTTAACTGTGTTATTAATGTAAATTGAACAAATTTGCTTCAAAATGTTCAAAATATACAATCCCATCAGAAATAGTCAATATTAGTAATTTTTCTTTCAATTCGCATTCATGGACATTCGATTCCCGCCGAAGAAACCTTTCATCACTGGCGCACAGCAATACCCCAAATTACGCGTTCTTCCATTCTTCCAGTGATAAGAGAACAAGTCATTGTTTTGCTTCGCTATCCTGAGAGAAGTGGCCAGGAAGATGAGTGAGAGTGCTTTGAACTTCCTGAATTTACTCATATCCAATCGAGATGATATAATCTACGTGACGGTCTTGCTCTCTTGCATTGCGGTTGGGAAATATTACAGGAAAATAGCGGACAATGCTGAAAAGGAGAAGTTTGGAAATGTCCTGGGAATCCTCATCATCGCCATCGTTTCTGGCTTCCACACCTTTCACATCCTGATCTCCTTTGCCGTCTCTGCCGGGATAATTCTCCTGCACAAGCAATTGTAAGTGAATTGATCTCTTTGGTGGACTTTGAATTCTTCTGTCATTGAGGTTATCGCACTTCGGCTGATTCAGTGAGGCTGATCCTCTTTTTTTTGTTCACATATCTTCCAGGAAATGTCACGTGATCATCTCTGTTTTCATGTTCATGTATCTGTTGTTCTTCCGGATGACTGCTTACTTTGGACTGCCATCGCCGCCTGGCCACACAAATCTCATTCAAATGGTCCTCACCCTCAAGGTGATTCTTTTGAAGTCTTCCATGCATTCTTGGCCACTAATTGATCTTTCCTCTAGCTCGTGGGATTGGCGTTTGAGGTGAATGACGCTACGCAGAAGACCAGAAAGGCCACAAAGGAGGAACTTGAGAAAATGCCATACCACGAGCGAGAATTGGCGGAGATCAGCATGAAGAACATCTTCGGCTACTCCTTCAACTACGTGGGAGTCCTCACGGGGCCCTACATCACGTACCGCACTTACAGGGATCCTTTCGTGGAGAAGTACGCCCACGACGAGGCGAGTTTCAAGGCTTGTGATCGCGCCACAATTGACAAATTCAAGTCTATCCCAATCTTTGTGGCTCTCTACTTAACCACGAGCTACTTTTGGCCACTCGGGCGGATCTTCAAGGATGAGTTCTACCTGGATCAGTCCGTTCTCTATCGGCTGTGGTATGTGTGGCCAGCCTTCTTCATCTTCCGGATGCGAATGTACATCGGATTGACGCTGAGCGAGTGCGTCTGCTCGGCTGCTGGAGTGGGAATTTATCCCACGCCCTTCCAATCCACCCCTGGTGGCGGACCGCGCTCTAAGGACAGTCAGCAGCTGGAGGGATGGCAAAAGACGTACGATTTCAATACCATCAACAACAGCGATGTGTACACAACTGAGACTTGCTGGACATTCCGCGAGGCGATGAAGAGCTGGAACATGTGCGTGCAGTACTGGCTCGCCATGAATGTCTACAAGCGCTTCCCCAGCAGGAAATTACGCACCGGAGCCACGCTTCTTGTCTCAGCTTACTGGCACGGCGTCAACCCCGGCTACTACTTTTGTATCTTCGCTGCTCCCTTTTATGTGGCCATCGAGGATCTGTGCCTGAAACGCCTCAGGGCAGCCGTGAAGGAATTCCCACTGTGGCTGAACATTTGCGTGTGGATCAGCAAGTTCTTCGCCTTCTCTTACATGGCCATCGCCTTCCAACTCATCACCTTCCCTTTCATCTGGAAATTTTACAATTCCGTTTTCCACTTCGGCTACAGCCTTTGGGCCGTACAATTCGCTGTGGCTTTCTTCTGGCCAAAGATTTCCAGAGCGCTCTTCGGCGGACGCCCGAGATCCAGTGAGGAGAAGACAAAGGAGGAGAAGAGCAGTTAATTCACTGCAGATAAAATCCTTTTAGTATTCCAACAGAACCCTCCAATGAATCCCACTGGAATCGGCAATAAAGGTGTGTTTTTTTTATTCCTCTTAGTAAGGAAGTTCAGAGACAAGGCTTATTTCATTAGACAACTTAGAGAAATAGAAAAATTAAGAGTTTCCCTTTGATAATAATCTTCATTCAAAATTGTGATTTGGATGATTGCGTAAAATTGGTTCAGAAAATTAACATAACTTTAGATAACCATTCAATGCTTGCCTTTCGACATGAGTCACCGAAAAAAAACCCAGTAAATTCTGTATTTACAGCAAAAATTACTCTTATTTGCATTAAGTAATTGAATAAAATTGGTTGTAGACATCAAAACACCTCTTTTAACATGAAATAGAAGTTTTTTTTTTCTTCAACTGAAAATCATTTTATTGAGATATCATTTTTACAATATTTAGGAATGTTCTCTTTTTCTTCAATTTACTTTCTAGCGACAAAAAAAAACAAAATTTTATCTACACTAAAAATATTTTCAATATAATGCTTGCATTTGCAGTGATTCCTTATATTTGTAGTCTTTTACATCAAAGAAATATTCAATAGCTCCTCTTATTTGCTCTTTTTAAAATATTCTCTTCGCATCAACTTCTCTCAGTTGAATCTGTATTTAGCACTTAAACAGACAAAAAAAAACAAATAGTATAATCAACAATGAGGTGGAAATTTGCAGAGATTCAACGGATATTATATTCTTTCGACTCTATGCATTTGTAAACATATTTTTTTCATTCGTTTTAAGATCTTTGCACTTCACTAAAGTGTTTTGAATATCAATGTAAAGTCCTTTTCAGTTTTTTCAATTCCTTATCTATTAATTCTCATATTGCGTTTCATCGCGCCTTTCGGTGTGCAACAGCGGATTTATCTCATTCATCCTTTGAATATTTAGTGGCATCATTATTATATCTATACATTGAATAACAAGAAATATTTTTTTCATTACTTCACTATACTAACTCTCCGCATCTTCCTCGGTTTTCGTCATGCGTGAACCTTGAGGAAGACGACTTCTCTGCACTTTCAATCTACACTTTTCTATAAACAAGAGGGTTTAACTCATTGTGCGTCCTTTCTTCTGGATCACACGCACCCACATAACTCACAAAGATCTATCATCTGAGTTTCCTTTTTTTACACTACAAACTTTCTCTCTTTATACATAGAAATAATCACCTTTCATCATAGAATTTGGGTGTCAATATTATGTAGCTGTAGAATATTGAGTAAATATCTCGAGGATGTGTCCTCATATCGTCTTTTTTACGTCCATTCAAAAACGAGTGATATATAAGTAAAAGAAGTAATCATGATTCAGGGAATTTTTTGCCATTTCTGCAAGAGACACAAAATAGGCGGGAAATTGTGTGTCTTTCATCCACTTCTCAATTTGGGAATATCTTGTGGTTGGATATTCAATTGCCTTCTCCTTCGGCATTTGCCGCTGAGGTCGCGCGATCAGCCGTTCTCGTTGTCTGGCACGTATTGTAGGCGCCGCAGAAAGAACACTTGAGTCCCACAGCGTGGAAAGGAATATTAGACTCCTGTGGAAGTGAAGCATTAGCCAATGTTCGACGAAATTATGGAATATGACACTCACCTTGTGGCAATCCTTGCACAGAATGTCCACCATGTAGTTCTCATACTCTTTTGGCATGGGCGAATTCTCCACCTCCTGGTCCAAATACTCCCACAGCTTCGACATGTCGATCATCGATGTCTGGCACGTGGGACAAGCATAGTGGCCAGAGCTCAGCTGTAAAAGAAAAAAATAAGAAATTAACACATTAAGTCCAGTCCCTTTGATTTCTCTGTGGCTCAGAACCTTCATGGGTTAAGTCAAACCAGCAATTTGTGACAATGGAACAAATTCAAAAAATTTAAAAGGTCTCCAAAATTGCGTTCAAGGACACATAAATTGGTCGGCCGATAAACTCATTCGGAAAAAGTGCGATAAACCTAGTTTGCAAGTCGTTTAGAATTGATGCACTTTAACACTAGATTTACCGAATATTCGGTAAGGTTTCGCATTTTTCTGACTGCGAAATTATTTCATTTCGTCAAATGCATAGACTAAAATTCATCTACATTTAAAAGACATCAGCAAATGGGTCACTTTTCGTGAGAATCATGAATTGCCTCATAAATTGGGTAATATTTGTTCCGTATTCGCAATAGACATCGCCAAAATCCATTGGTTTCCACTATTTTTTGCAATAAAATTGTGGCCGAAAGAGAGATCTTTTTTTTAGGAACACTCACCAATTCCTCAAAGCACGTGCGATGGATTAAGTGTCCGCAATCGGGAATGTGACAGGGAATCCTCGAAGTGTGGATGTCCTCCAGACAGACTGGACAGTTGGATCGCGAGACGTTCTCCACGCACTGCAAAGCGAAAGCAAGGCCATTAATTACTGGAGGCTGGAAGATGCACTCCTCATCTTCTCACCCTGTGTCCGTCGATCTTTAGCTGCAGAGGAAGACACATGTTGCACACTTCGCAGTGGAAGAACCTGTCCTTGCCGCCGACGCGGCAGATGCCACAGCCGTCGCAGTGGTACTGATCCTTCTCCTCGTCGTCAAACAAGTTACAAACTAGGCATGTGTACTTCCCAAAGCGCACTCCGCACTTCTCGCACTCGGACTGCACGCGCTGCCGAGTCTCGCACTCCGTGCAGATCAGCTGTGTCACTGTGCGACGGTTGAAGTAGTGAGATTCGTGCTCATCATGGCAGTAGCGACACATGTACGTCTTGTTGCAGCACGGCGTCTGAAAGGGCACAAGAGCAGGACATTAGATTACGCCCCACTTGTCCTCCCGGACGAGATACTCACCACAAACTTGGCGCGTCTCTTGTAATGTGCGCATCCGACGCGCTTCTCTCCGGACGCATCTCCCGGAGAGACCTTGGCCTCGTCCGCCGTGTTCGTTGTCATCGCTGTGCTGCCGCTGCCGGATGGTGTTCTGTCGGAGCCACTCGAGGGAGTCTCATCGCCCGTCTTCTGCGTCTTCTCGCCAGTCAGGAGTTTTGCCCGTCCATTTGCTGATGGCGATGATGATGTTTGCTCCATTCCACGGCCTCCCACTTTCACTCACCCCACACACGCGCAGCCACACCAAAGCGTCCTTCTGCACCACCCTGAGATTCTCCACCAAGGCTACTACGCGTTCACCACCAATTTGCACAGAGACTCAACGGATTCACAAGAGAAAAAGGATATTTTACATGTGTACAAAGTGATTAAGAAAATAGAAAGTGGTGGCCATGTTGTGACGACACCGAAAATGACAATCGACTGCGGAGCGCCATCTGGACGGGAACATTCCTTGCGGAGGTTACAAAAAAAGTGTTCTCATAATTTTTCCACAGTCTCAATTGAATAGTAACGACTTTCAGCGTGTTTTTAATTGCTTCCGCACAAATATCTCCACAATGTTTGCGGATAAATGCCTTTTATTATTTCATATCCGATATCCATCGTTACAATGTAGTCAAAATACACTTGTTAACAATTGCAATGGGTGTAAAGATACACAAAACAGAGGCGAAAGGGCAAGGATCCGTTCGTGTTGGGAACGCCTTATTGCATGTGGGTGGTGAAATGTTAACAAATATAATTAATTCCTGTTGAATCTCTTATCAGCAGAATTTGATGCCATTTGCTGTGAACTTTTAATCACTGTGATGTACACTGGACGATAGAGGGGAGAAATCTCACGTGCTTCATTTTCATTGCTCGTAAAACCGTCATAAACTTCGCCTAATAAGAATTCCGGGCCTATATAGATTCCACCTTCTACATGGTCACTAGCCAAATCTGCAAATATATGTATATTATATATAAAAATAATAATATAATAATAATTTTCTGTATAAAACCAGGACATCATGTGCCATAAGAAAATGAGGTCAATTTTAATTAAATTCACTCCCGAAAGCCACACACATCGATAGATAAATCGTTACTCTGCTTACCATATCCGAGAATTGGCTGCAGATTGCTATTCGGTATCCTAAATGGTACTGTTGCGATTGTTATGGGGAAAATTATTTGCAAATCATCGCCACTTTTATCGAACTCCAGGCAAACCTGTGGGTGTATTTTGGGAAAAGGTCATAATTGCAATTTGCGCAGCGTTGCAGCATTGCCAGATAAATTATATCCTCCTTAACCTGGGGGAGGAATTGTGAAAAATGCTCACCACCAATTGATAGTAGATTTGCACGAGACGACAAACATTAATCATGGTCGTGGGCAGAGTGGGAATTCGGAGATTAGTGACAGTGTCTGACTTCTCTGTGGGATTTATGGATTCGCCCTTGTACTCCAGCACCAGATGCTGCACCTCCTTCGTGACCCCCAGCACGCCGCGCTCCACAAAGAACTCGCACAACTGCCAAAAGGAGGAGAATTAGCGATTCGAAAGGCATTCCAGAAAAATTCCCGCCCCACGACGTACAGATTAGCGAATTACTCCACTGAAACGGAGTCATTTGTACTGCTTAAATACCCATTAAGCAATCAATTCTTCCCTTTCGCATTAGGTAATTTACTTATATATAATATAAAACGGAGCTTTTATCTAATTTTTATCAATACTTTAGCGACTGTCTGGGTAACTCAATGTTTAATAAGCGTAATTCGAATCAATTTCATTGAGGAGGTGTGTAAAATTGATCTAATAGCATGATTTGACATATAAAATGATCCATTTCAAATGGGACAAATAACTTGTTGAATGCCACCCGAAAGACCACTTCATGTTAATTGGCTCGACTGTATTGTATGTATTATCAATGATAAAATGTGTGCGGGGTTATTTCTGCAAAAAGGAACTCCACCCACCTGAAGGAATCGTACTTTCAGCTTCAAGCTGTCTTCACCTTGATTATCTACTTCGGATTTCAGCTTGAGAGTTTCCCCACAGCAGTAAGCGTTTCGATCCAGTGAGCATCTGCGGAGAGAGACTCCTTGAGGACCTGCTCGAGATATAGAGGCTCTTTACCTCACCTGAGCGTGACCGGCCCCTTGGCGCAGCACAGGCAACACTTGACCTTCTTGTCCTGGCCTGTCAGTGGTTTCTATGGAAATGAGAAGCAACATTGTAAATGCAGCGAAGGCTAGAAGCATCTTCTCTCACCAGGTACTGCTCCTCCATGCAATCAATGTGCGGTCCGATGATGGTGAAGTACTTGATGCCCTGCGGTGGTGAGGCGTACGGGATGTCCAGGGTTACCTTGATATAGTAGCGGATCTGGCAGGCGCGAGACTCGAAGCTGCAGGGCAGATTGGTCTCCGGGATGCCAAAGCGGAAGGGAAACTCATGGTGTCCGCGCTGCAAAATAGGTACGGCCTCGTGATCGCCATCGTTAGTCTTCTGACCCCAGATCACTGCCCTCTCGTCAATGTAGTACTGATCATCCTTCACGGTCCTCTTGTCACCGGACACGAACACCTTCCATTCGGCGTGCGCTTTCCCGCGCAACACCAGTCGTATGGCTGTCGGTGGCCAAAGGGAAACACAATCAATTTTTTCCTCCCCTGTGGAGATACAGCGGAAAACTTTCACGTGAGAGCATCACACATGAAAGCCGTCCCAGTGCATCGCTTCAAAGAGGACATGCCCGTCGGGAATCCAATAATACATTTTATTGCATGTTCTCCGCTGCTCTTGCACTATTACAGCATTTTATGCTCTCTCCAATTTCACATCTCATATAAATTTTTGAGTTATTTGTGTTTGGACGACACATTGCAAAAACTTTTCATACAAATCAAGGGGAAAACTTACTGATAATCACCATTGACCAAAAATGCATGGTAAGCAGAATACAGACCAGAAATTTTCACTACTTATAACTTTGAGAAATATTGTTCTACAAAATTATATGAACACATTTTGTAAACTCATAAACTCCGCAGCTTTATCACGCCACCCCTTCGAGATTATTGGGCTTCATCCCGCAGAAATGTTCCTCAAACTTTCAAGATATTTCTCGTAAAGTCTCTCGAAATAGTGCCGTTGGATTACGGGAAAATTTTTTCCTGTGAATAATTTTCCAATTTTTCTCCTCCCCGGTTTAGGGTGGTTTTGTACACCAAATTGAGAGCATACGCCAAAGTGGGGGAGTCTATAGAGCAATTGCGAGTGTCTGAAAGTAGAAAAAGCGTGGCGGGAGCTTTTATGTGTTATTAGGAGTTAATTGAACTCATAAATTCACGTCGTGTGGCGCAGAATTTACCCAATAAATTCCTCTAGCGCGTCACACATTCGCTTTAAATATTCAGATTATTTAGTAAATGATGTCAACATAGCTGGATGTATTCCTTATCTAATTCGCGTGATAGTCACTAGCACAATTATATTGATTAGACAGCTTTTCGCAGAAGCGGCAAAGGCAGCTGGGAAATCACTCAATCTCCTCATTTCGGTGTCACCATTCAATTAATATTTCAATTGTGCCACTGTTGAGTTCGAGCGCGCGATTTGATGAAATCTCATTTGGTATTCTGGCAATTAGGAGCAATTTCTGCACAATTTCGGTCCCTTCAGAAGACTATTAATAAATCATGGCGTGGGAAAACAGTCCAGTCCAGACAGTGAAAAATTGTCTATTAATTCATTCCCTTCCTTCTGCTGCGTCATCAACTCAATAGTGTGAGTTTTGCTGACCAGAAAAAATCTCATGAATGTATTAAAAGTTCCCGAAAGCCGAAAATTACTCAATCTGCCAGCTCTGATATCATGTCATACTTTGGCACCCTCTGTGACCACGATGGAATCATCCAATTTTCCCGTGAAACTCATTCTGAAAGCGCGACTGGAAAAATCGAACAAGGGATATTTTTCACAATCAGTTCGATGTTGGGAGATTTATCGAAGTTGTATGTATTCGTCGTTTTAGTTACATAGATAGAAGATGATCCATATTACAAATTCAACCCTTAATTGTCCTAAGATTTCCTTACATGTATTTTTGCATAAAATTTGAGACGAGTTTTCTCGAAAAGTCATTTTAATTATTGCGAGTTGAAGAGTTTCCAGAGAAAATATAATTCTTTGTTCCAACTTCAACTCGTTATGAAAGCGCTTTTGGTGTATTCTTTTGGCAATTCACCTGTTTTCCGGGGAATATATAAAATTTCCCGCATCTGGATTTTTCTCCCTTGCAATTTTGCGCTTAAAATTCCATAAATCCCCCCAGGAAGTAAACACAATCAAGTAAAATATTTCGGAGAAAGGATTCTGCCACAAGAAGCGAAACTCAACTTTTCAGTGAGAATCCATGAAAATGCGAATATTTGTATCACTTACATTTCAATTTGAAATTCTCCGTGGTATCCACAACGACTCTTCCCACGAGACACTCTCCAGCATAGTAGTACTCCTTGTCTAGTCTTATATCCAATTCCTTGATGTAATCCATCGCGTGTGCTTTTTTTGCCTCTCGAGCGCCAACTTTTTCCCAACTTTCTCCTCACACTCTCAGTCTACGGCGTGTCATTCTTGTTTCACAAAAGGAAAACAGCGCTAAGAAAATGCCAATTTTCACGCTGGACGCGTTGTTAGGCGATAAAATTGATTTTCGACATCGTACCCCCGTTCCTTACTCTCAAAAGTCTCAAATTTCACTTCAATTAACACATTTTCAGGGGGTTTCGCAGACGAGATGGAGTAAGAGGGCATCAATTGTGCAATTTCCCCCTGAGGAAACACATAACAATTTTCTCGAAATGATAAAACTTTTCCCTCCGTATCTACATAATAGATAAACTGGGAAGCACCTTGTTTCGAGAATCAATGGCTATAAGGCTATGCTGAAGCATACAAGAACTTTTTCAGCAAATATCGCTGAGTAATTGCCAAGGGAAAGGGAAAACCCGAAACCCATCTCATCCCGTGCTGCTGAGGCGAAGGGAAAATGCTCCACAATTTGATGGCGTCAGTGAACTGATAATGAGTAGGGTTGGGGATGTTTGCTTGAAAATACTACATGAAATACCGCTCTCTCGCCCACCTTCGTGCTCCACTTTTTCCATAAATGTGCCAATGAAGAGCAATAAGATTTGTTTACACTTCTCCTCGTGGCTGTCGTGGCGGAAAATGAGGGTGGGCACAAAAATTCACATATAGGATGCGATAAAGGTGGAAAATGAATCGATTTTCAATTTGGTGAATTTTCATTTTATTGGCAAAAGCAAAATCATCCTTCCTCTCCTACCTTTCCGAGCAAAGTTGCCCAAGAAGTAGCTCAAGGATTTAATGAGAAAAAGAATTCCGTGAAGTGAAACAGCTTCTGATCTCTATCTAGAAACTTATCGCATATTCATTCTGGCTTTCGTACAGGAGTAAAAAAAAATCCGAGGAATAAAATTTTTAGTCTCTCAACAACGTAATAAAATTTATCTCCGCTCGAACAAATAGCAGACAGTGAGGGAAAATCCAGTGAATGAGTTGCAAAATACCATGAGATAAATACTCAGCGAAAGCTTTTATTTGGTGACTCAATAGAAATAAAGACACTCCCCCCAAATCTGGGTGGGTGGACAAAAAGTGCGCCTCATGAGTTGAAAGACCTCAAAGACATAAAAATCCCAGTGAAATATCTTTTTCTTTTTTTGCCTCTCCCACTCGCTGACTTTTCTCGAGATTTGTCGGTGTGGTTTTTCTGGCTTCTGAAATATGAAGTGCAGAGAAGAAAGATAGCAGATAAAACGTTACATGGATGTTTGAAGACGGAATTTCTCCATATATGAAGAAGAGGTATAAAGAAAAAGTCCGCAAGATTTACATTTTTCTTGCTTCATTGGCATCACACGCAATTCACGTGTGTGTCTCTCCCTTTATTTTGCCTTTTATAACCATTCGTGTACCAAAAACATTTGAACGATTTATATGTTGGGGCCCTACTCAAGTGCCACCCCATCTCCAATAATATATGTAGAATAAAAAAGCACCTAACTCGAAACGAGAGAAATTCACACGCAAAACGTCTGCAATTGATTTTGAGGCAAAGCTTGTGGCATATAGAGAATATAAAGAGAGGGATGAAAGCCAAGAAATCCTTCCTCGCAGTGGGAAATTTGCTTCGGAAATCCCGATGTTTTTCCTCTGTCTTCCTGCCTCACCATTAATTCAGAAGACATGCTGGATAATCCATCCCACTTTACGATATTTTCCCACGTTTCCTCCCTTAAACATTTTATCCTCCATTTGAGTTTGAAAGTCTCATTAAAATTGCGAAAATCATTAAGTCAAGTGCATACTGCAAGGACTCCCCAAACCCTCATGAAATACCGCGACGAGGGAAACTTGAAAGTTTCTTGCGGTGGCGCCAAAGATGTCACTCCACGGGTGACTCCACTTTTTGCCGACGCATCGTGATGCTGATGTTGCACAATTTTCCACCCCTTAAGCGTTGCCATTTCCCTCTTCGCCAATCATCCATGTGCGAAGGGTGTTTTTTGCCTAATGATGTAAATTCCATCCTCAATCCTTTTTTTTGTTGTTCGTGAATCTCAGGCAAAAGCTTGTTGAGTGCTTTCATCAATTTTCAAGCCACTCAACCCACTTTCTCTGCATCCAAAGTCATGCTTCATCCCTCGAGCTAAACACGGGGAGAAAGCATTTTGCCAGAGAGAGAGACATTCGTCTAAAATAATGGTTTTTTTTCAGGAAGTGCGGGAGAGAACAAGAGACTCCGACCAGGGGCGATTGATTGGCATGATTGAGATTGCAAATTTAATTTTCAGCTCACGATTGAATCCTTGTTCAATCAAACTTCGAAATGGATTGCTAGCAGCAAATTGTTAAAAAGTTTCACTGCACTTCAGTGTGACTGTGAAATTCTATTGAATTGCCATATAATTCTGAAATTATCCTCCCTTTTCGAGCGGGAGCAGAGAATGAAGAATCACCATAATTGTTGATATTTATTCTCGCGTAATTAAATTCATTTGCAACTCTCTTTTGGGACTCCTCATGTTTCTGCCCATTCACCCTTTCTCCATATATACCAGGCAAAATAGCTGCTTTGCTAAGACTCATCCATTAGAATGTTGTAAAGAGATGACATTAATTTAATTTTTCATGTGAAAATTTTTCTTCCTCGTCGTTCAAGAGGAAATCCATCCGAAAAGAGGTGTTTTAGTGCTTCCCATGAGGTGCAAATCAATTTTTCCTTCGAAGATGGATTGTTGAAATACATGGAAGTTGGAATTTAGATGCAAATTGCTCTACTTTCTCATCCTAAATGTGGCCCACTTTCAATTTGCTCCATTCACGCAATGCTCAGGGTGCGTGACTGATTTGCCTTTGGTTCCTTCACGACGTCCAAGTGCGTCAGAGCTGAAGAAAAAGACGTCAATTTCTCGTCTGGGCTCTTCCTCTCATTGCTTTTCCTTTTCCTTTTCCTTACTGGCGCTTCACCCATGAAAACTCATTGACAGAAATTCACAACAATTGATATTTCTATACACTTTTAATTCACTTCACAGCATTTTTCCCTCATTCTTTCCGCCTGCAACTGCTCTCGAGGGACACGGTGTGATGGGAAATAATAGAGAATTGAAAAGTGGCACGGAAATGAAATTTCCACACCAGAGACCCAGATGGTGCAAAATAGAGACTAAACGACCCCTAAATGGAGAAAAAATTTCCTCAAAATAGCAAATTAAGAGATGATTTGAAGAACTCTCCTCTCTATAAAAGCTTCACTGCATCACTTACAATTTATTCACTTATTCTCGGAACTTTCACTTGAGCGCAATTCAATTATACCATCCAACATTCAGTCATGGATTTTTCATTGCTTCACCAACGATAGAGAGGAATTTTATGTTCCAACTGCACTGTTATTAAATAATTTCTATGGATATATCTCAAAGATTGCACTCTAGAGATTTTCATCCAAGCAGAAGAATCACGAGTTTTCCTCCCTCGAAGGGAAATCAAGAGATGCGCTCCTGCGCGCGATCCTTCCACTTCGACGTTTGCCAGCCAACTGACTGGCGTTCTTTCACTATTTGAACATTATATACACACACAATGAGGGGTTGTCAGTTGCCATCCACTGACTTTCATCCAGAGCTTAAGGGTGGCTAGAAGGGATTTTTGAAACTTTTAGAGTAAAAATTTTGTGATTAACGAAATGTACAATCTTGCACTGTGAAATATGAAGTCTCTTCTCATCCCCTAAGATCTTTCTCAGGTGGTTTGAATGGCTGAGGCGATGTTTCATCTATTGTCATTGCAAAATCCCAACTCTGTTTGCAGCCCTTGCCTGTTTCATCTCGCCCTCCCGCACCCAAATGCTGTTGTGTGGAGCATGGGGACTGGGGTAAATTTTCATATATAGTTTCATGCAGATAGACGACGGCTGTCAGTGGAATTGGGGCCATAGAACCACCTGAAAGGACGGAAGGGAGAGGACGAGAAACAAGGAGAGAGAACGAAAGTGTCGAGGATGGGAAAACTCAAGTGACTGCACAATATTATCATCAAACAAATGCCGCCGCTCCTCCTTCTCGCCCCCCGTGAAATCGAAATCATTCTGAATCGGAGCTTAAAGCTCTCTGCACGTATTTCGTGCTTCACGGGAGAGGAAAGAAATATTTATTCAACTTTAATCGATTTATTCTGGGAGATTAACTCGTAAAAGGCCTCAACAGGAGAAAAAACCTTTTTTCTCTCTCTTTCCATTGTTGCTGGATGGAGGAAAGAAAAAGTGTGTGCGAAAACTTTTGAGCTTTGAAAGTGAAAGCGGATAGAAGAATAAAACCGTCAACAATCAGTGAAGCTTTCTGATCACTCTTTGTTTCTCTTTCGTTCCCCTAAAGAGGGATTGTAAAGTGAATATAATCAGAAATAGGCACGACAGAGCATGAGAGGAGAGAAAATCTGGGGGTTGAGGGCGCATCCTCACTTCCTGTGGGGATAACTTTTCCACCCATCAGCCAATTTTATCGCAAATTTGCATACTATTAAAATCTTTGCCCGGGAAGACGAAAATTTCACCATGATTGGGTGGGATTTTCTCCCCCAGGGGCGTTAAAAACACGTGCACACGCTTTATGAATATATACCAAAATTGTCTTGCTGATTGATGAAAGATTTTTGAGAACGCATGTCTGAAACTGTTTAGCGATACAATTCCGTGAATTGATTTGTAATTTCTCCAAAATTTAAGCACTTTTCTCAGAATTCGCCTCAACTAAACCTTAAGGATTGATGGAGGTATAAATTCTAAAGGAGCTTTTAATTGAAATTTTGAGTCAGTGTGCTTCCAACTCTAATTATCTCAATCAAGGCATTTATGAATTTCATGTTTCTCACCCATTTGGGAACATTTTCCCACCTCCAGTGCGACATTTAGCTTCATTGGAATGAAAATGTTTTGTTAGCGAGTCATTTGCGTTAGGGAAAACGCCTCAAGACTGGGTATAAGCATTTCTCTCTGAATACCTCCAGCCCACATTTCGTCATTCCTTTCACACAGATTAAATTCTGCTGAGATTCTTTTTACACTTTTCAGCATTTATGCTGGACATTTTCTCAAGATTACTGGAAGTTTCTTCATTCTCACGAGCCTAAGAATCCCCCAAAATAGCATATTTGCAAATAGTTGACAAAACTATTGTTGTGAAAAATATTTTCCAGCACTGAAACAGAGCGAGAATTAATCTGTTGGAAATTATTTTGTGATGGCATTCTTCCATAGTTGAAATTCAAAGAATTCACCACATTTTACCCAGCGCACATGAGTGACATAAAAGCGTGAAAATTGCTAGTGATGTGGAAAATTCAGCGAGTTAATTTTAATGCACCAATAGACGCTTTGAGAGCTTTTCCCAAATTGTCCTTCATCTCAATACAATTGTCCCAATTTTGTGCATGGAGGGCAAAATGTGAAAATTGGCGCACTTTAGCGACAATGTTTTACATGGTAAAATGATCAATAACACGTTCTGGCTTTTTGGCTTTCATCATAAATGCAAGAAATGACTAAAACCTCCCCAGCATGAATTAATTTCCAGGCATCCTGCTGAGAAAATGAATTCATGTGGTTTCCTCCTGGGGCCTTTTGCCCATCATGATCCTCTTCACTCCTGCAGTATTTCACAACCTTTTGTCCTCTCTGAAATTTTCCAAATATTATGCTAAAGAGCCTATAAATACCCTAGAGGGATTTCCCATTACATCTACTAATGCTGTTGTGAATCGCAATGAAGAGAGTGGGAGATTTTTCCTCCAGATGGAATTTATCTCGTGAAAAATAACACAACTCCCTCTCTCACCTTCCAGGGACAGGTGAAAATGGACAGAAAGAGGAGGAAATCTGTTAGCCACAAATTCACAAAACACTCTGGCTCTGCCGAGAAGTCTATGCGAAACCTCGAGAGTGACGGCAATTTACTTCTCCAAACTAATTAAATATTTTCCCATCCAAATTGCTCCGCTGCGGCCTGGAAAGGAGGACGAGACGCTCCTCTAATGAGGGTCACCTCTCGTGGAAGTCCATCACAATCACAAATTTAGGATGCTTTCACGGGGAATTACCCCGAAAACATGTTAATTTCAGCTCAAATGGGCAATTAATTAAAAATTCCACTGAAAGAATCTAAATGGAAAACTTTTCAAATATTCCACAGACGTTCCGGCGAACGAGATATCTCAATTTCAGAAAACTGTGTTTTCCTCTTTTGCAGAGCAAACAGAATCGTTTTCTATCAATTTCATACATTGCTTTTTTCCTCTACTAAATGCTCAGAAAATCGACGTCGGAACATAGCATTGTATCCATTAATCAACGAATTCGAAAAGCAACTTAAGCCAAATTCAACTGTAGGGAAATCAATTAATCTCACGTATGTTTCTGTAAATTCTCATTACACATCCACAAAGAACAGAAGAATCCCTCATCAACAGACTAGTGCATTGTTAATCAGATAATCTTATAGATTTGGCGTTAAAGCACACCTTCTCAGTCTCACTTTAGCTTGTCACTCAATTTTGATGGTAATTTGTACTGCAGATTGAAATGTTGTCATGCAAATGGGGGATTTCATTTGCATCTCAAGCTCTGAATTGGTCTCTGTGGTCTCCTTTAGAAACTCAACTTGGAATGCATTGCATAATCTTGACTAAATCTCCATTCAATCCCATCCTTAGGGCTCAAAGGTGAGAAAAATTAGCAATTCTAACCATTAACACTGCATATACTAACAGAACCGTAGAATTCAATTTAATTTAAATGTTAAGCTGGACAGCATACACTTGAAAATAAAGTTTTAATTCCGGGAGGTTTGCTGGAAGATTAAGCATTTCACTAAGCATAAAACATTTTGTAGTATGACTAAAAAGATCTAGATTTTCAGTTTGTCTTGGAATAGAAAAATGGCAAATCAAAATGTTGAATGCATTGTTAATTAAAGCACTGTTTTTATCATTAAATTTAAGGCGAATGTGTTGAATTTATATTCAGATTAGGTGCTTAATCTTCATTTCATATTCCACTGAACTATTTTCAGTCTCAAGATTTGTCGAAAAAGTATCGATAGTTTTTGCATTTCCACTTTGAGTCAGTTTACATATTCATCCATGCAAATTCCACTGCCTTTTTTGCATTAACAGTTTTGTTTCAGTTCCATTGAAACACTCTGAATAAATAGTTTTCCACCGAGAGGATGTATATTGCAGGAAAAGAAATGTGAAATGCTGAAGTGGTGGTAAAAGGCATTCAACTTGATAATTTTCTCCACTCTAATTGGATCTCCCGAAGGACTTGCCGCAGGATCTCTCCTCGTTGGATTGAATTTAAAGTGGTCATTCATGCTAGAGCGAATATGTGGGTGAACTTAGTGAATTGGAAGTAGAAAAACTAGACACTTTCCATTTACAATTATTTTATTTAATTGCAAAATTTCCTTTTTCTTTGACCTTTTAGAGATATTGCAAATTTATCAACAGAGGAAAAAAAAAACATTTCTCTTCTTTTCATAACTATCATCTTAATATTATTCGCATTCGAAGGATTTTTTTTTCAGGAGAAAAGAAAAAAAATTATTTTCTCTCAACAACAATTAATATTGGAATCTAATGTATATTTCACAATTTTTTCTCACCTCCCTATCAACTCTCTCGCTATTCTTACAAAATGCTTCTAAAAGTTCATCGGTCTTCATTCATTGATCATCATTTTTTTTTTCTTCTTCTTACATCATAAAGAAAAGTCGAGACGAAAAAATATATACTTCATTATGCTACAGAAATTTTTCTCCCTATTGTTATATGTATTTTTTAAAAATCTTAGAATATATAGATTTTTAGCAATATTCACTGTATTTTGCTACTAATGGAATGATATATATTTTTTTGAATCATCGAATGACTTCAATTTTCACGTCTATCGGGAGAAAATTCAACATTTTTCCATCATTTTCTGCGATATTATTATTTAATAAAAATCAATCTCAAAGAGATTTTCTGTGTTGGAAAGGAGCCTAAAGCATTTTTCTTGGCGATTTCGTAAAGTATTTGTATCTCTTCTCCACTTAATACAAAAATATTCAAACTTCAGATTATCGGGTTCCTCTGAGGAAGTCTGAATGAAGAGATTTGAAAAAGTAGTAGGTAATCGCTTTCTTTCTTTACTTTATCTTTAAATCGTGAATAGTCAAAAGTTGTGTGCGATGGAGGGAAAATTTTTTCATATATATATATATAAATCTGATTTGAATGAATAATAGTGGGGATTTCATGTTCTATACAAGGTGTGAAAAATAATAAATTGTCACATTTTGCACAATTTTCAGCAATTCAGCACATTATGAATTACGCAATGTACAATCATTCATTTCGCTTTTTATATCCATAGATAGATTACTCCTTTTAACTTATAACGCTCTTTGCATTGAAGGTATTTTTAGGAGTAGAAATAATTACCTTATCGGATTGCCGTGTATTTACATTGGACGCACTCAAGTCATCCTCCAACTTTCATGCAATCTCTCGGGCGGATGGAATGAAAGCTTCCCAGTACTTAATCAACTGTTGTACATCATTTTGACCAATAAAGAGATAGAAAAGGAGAAACACGACATTAAGTGATGAAAAAAACAAATCAATACAGTGAGACGCATTAAAGATAGCGTGAGAAAATTCACCTGTTGCTGATGAGCCATTTGATCCTCTAAATACTTGATAATTGTCGCTTTGAAATCTCTGGCGCGATTGATTTCAAATCTCTCCATCTCACGCTTGATTTCCGTGGAAATATCGTCAAACTCCTTCTGACAGCGCTGTACTTTGCACTCCCATTCCTCCACCTCCTTCTGTGCCTGATCCAATTTGTCTCTTCGCTCAGCCAATTCCAGCTTCGCCTTGTTCTCCCGCTTCTTTGTCAACTGGAGTTGGGCGTGTTGCCAATTTTGAAAGACCTGCAAAACACACCACACCAAATTCCATCAATAATGCCACGCTAATTCAATTTCATTCCCGCGCACCTTCACTCTCTCGTGGAACACATCTTTGATGGCCCCAAAGAGGCCAATGTAGTCCTTCAGCGTCTCCGACAGAATGTACAGATCCGAGTTGGCTTGCTCAGATCGCAGCAACTCAACCTTCTCCTCCACATCGGCGAGCTGCGAGAGCGCCCTGGAGAGTCCCGTGTGCTCCTCGCACGTGCTCAGCAGAGCCGCTGACTTGGCCACGCCACCGGTCAATTGTGACAGCTCGCGCCTGTGCGTCACGAGTGCCTTAATCGACGCGTGCAGTTTCTGCATGTGCATGTCGAGATTCTCCACCTCGGCACTCTTCTCCTCGAACCACGGATCATTCTCGTCCATCTTGTACGTGATCTTATTCACCGTCTCGCCCACTTTGTTGAACATCCTCAGCATACCTGCTCCACTCAGAGTAGCTGTGTTCACGGCACGCGGCAACTCTTGTTCACTCTCCAGGAAGTTCACGAAGTCCGTGTCGACACAGAGAACGGGATGTTGAGCCGTGCGATTGAGGTAGCGCTCGAGAGCTGCTCGTCGGTTCTCCACCCATTCCATGCCCAGTCCAGAGCCAGGTTCTGCCTGCGGCTGGGCCATCTTCACCTTCGTGCTGCCAATGATGTTCTTCTGCGGCGCCGGAGGAATTATTCTCCCGCAGCGCAAGTACTTGCTCACGAGAATGTCATGCAGTCCGAGGAAGTCACTGAAGCGGCGGACTACGCTGAATTGGCGCTTCTTGAACTTCATTATGTTCGTGTTTGTCGTTACCCTGCAATGATTGTGCGGTTCAATTAAATTCCTCGGTGGGATGCTGACTTTTGAGTTACTCCGGGAGTTTTACCCAGTTTCTTTTATCTCAAACTTGATAGCTTATCTTCAAAAATCATCACGGCATAATAAATGATAACGAAAGGAAACACTTTCAGACTGCAAAAGTGCGTCATCAATGCAAAATAATAGCGAAAATCCACAAAATATTATCAATTCTTAAGCAAAATTACAGTTCGACTATCAGATTGATCAATCAATAGAGCCATAAACAGCCCATTTAGTGCACACGATCAACCACGGTACTTTCTTATGGCGGATGAGCAAGCCAGCATGTTTTGCTGCTTCCCACTTGACTCACTTGTAAGCAATAAAGGAGCCAATTCCGTCGCCCATCTTCTGCGGTTCCGACACTGTGATCTCGATGTACTGGTCAGCGTTGTCATTCGTCTCCACCTCCTCCATGGTTGGCGACAGCGGCTCCTGGGCGAATCCGGACAATTCCATGAAAGAAACGTGCAGGAATTTAATGCAAACACAATGGGCGAAAAGTGAATTTTTTATCACATTCTCTCTAGCCTCTCTCGGTTCCACCTCCTCTGTCCACTGGACTGAGGATGAATAATCTCCGGGGGAGCAGTATCTTATCGCGAGTGGTGCAAATGAGAGAAACACACTGGAGAATCTCGCGCCATTGACGCGTGAGCGACAGAGAGGCATTTCTCTTGGGCTGCACTAATTCAATTATCGTGCTGTGTGATGCTACAAATACGCCCATAGAGGCCTGTCATCGTGTCGGCATCTTCAGTGTCCGGAAGCGAGAGGGGATGAGATCTTGCAGGGTTCCGGACATCAGTGGAAAAATCCAATAACACCATTAACGCGTCCTTGTTACGCTTTTCACCCCCAGTGTGGGTCACCTTCACGCCACACCACTGATCACGACACCTTGCCGGGTCACACCGCAGCATTTGGGGGTCCGTGGAGTGCAGAAAAGAGGTGGAAACGAGAGAAAAGCGCCGAAAAAGAGTGTGATTTGGGGATTTCTTCTTACTTGCACGGCCGACTCGAAAATGTCGTTCTCCTCGTCTGGACTGGTGATGTCCACATTGTCGAAGAGTGGTGGAGCTTCCTTTTGTGGTGATACTCCGTCCATGCTGCAAATAACGGGGCAATTTCCACTGAGAGTCACACAAAAAGAATCTTTCTACCCGAGAATTTTACTGACACATCACAGAGAATATGACAGAGTGCCCTCTGGTGGTGAGCATCGTGAACGAGAATCCCCGGCCCGGTTGAAATTCTCATGTGAATTACAAATGAAACAAATATGAAAACGAGCCGGAAAAGTGCATGAAATTCTCCCCCATTGGGTTACTAAAGTAAGTTAGGAGCCAACAGAACAGGAAAACCACAGCAGAGACAGCATATTTTCCGCGATTCGAAAATAAACCGGTGCACTATTCATGAAAAAGTGCTAACGATTGGGTACTTCTGTACCACTTCGTTTTGATATTCCAGTGGAAGGGCGCATGGCCAGTCGGGCAGTTTTGGAGAGTCTTGCTCAAAAAATAGTTTACGTCTTTTTTAATAAGTAAAACTACCGTAGAGGATGGATAGTAAAGGCCGCAATGTTATTGTTTGTGATAATGGAACCGGAGTAAGTGCGGGGGCGCTGGAGGAAAGTCCGGTGAAGAGCCGCCAGAGACAGAGTTGTGATGACACATTTGGGGCTGGGCTCCGTGGGAGATAAGAATTCACTTTGGGCGAATTTTCACATTTTCCACGCAATTAACAACTTCCAGTCTTCTGCAGAGGAGCCAGGAAGCTCCGAAGAGGAATATATCATCGGTCTCTGGTGTATTTTCACTGAATTTTCATGTCTGAAAATACCCTATTTGAGGTTATGTGTTTGGGGCTCCAGCGACTCTCCTAATGATTCACTTCTTTTGCAGTTTGTGAAGTGCGGATATGCCGGAAGCAATTTTCCAGCCCACATCTTCCCCTCGATGGTCGGGAGGCCCATTATCAGGGCGGTGAACAAAATAGGAGACATAGAAGTGAAGGTGTGTACTTGGGATTTAGTCCCTTCTTAGACTGTGCAGTCCTGCCCAGGGCAGCCTGCTGAACCCATGAGAAACTATCAGAAAATGTTGAAATGATGTCTGGAGGAGGGGAGAGTTAGTTGGTTTGATTACAATAGTTTTTATTTTGCAGGATTTACACGTTGATGTAAGTCTTTGTTTTATCTGTTCCTCTCAATTAGAAACAAATCCCAAACACTCACAATGTTACACGCATTTTCTCGTTGATTTGTTGATTTCATAGTTAATGCCTCTTTGTCTTGTTTCCATTTTTGAGTACTTATTCTTCTCAGACACTCCTTATTGTTGATTTTTGTCTTTTTGTGCCTCTTAACGCAACAACAGACTTTTCTGATATGTTTTGTTGGATAGCAACTCGATAAAATATCCTGATTTTCTACAAGCATTTGTAGAGTCAGTGGAAATTTATTTATACTGTCTTATCAGAAGGCCCAGCTTCGACATTAGCTGGCTTATCGCGCTTTTTCGGTGAGATATAAAGTGAGACTGATAAATTTTCACTGACTGCCAGAGTCAAAACTATTGATAAAAGATTTTTGAGTGCAGGAATGGCCTCTATTAACTCATTTTTCTCTCAATTTTCTTCTCTTTGCGTTCTTTTGCACGCATTTCCCATTGAAAACTAAACTCGAAACGAAAAAATCCACACAAATTATCCCACAAAAATTTAATAAAATGATTCACATGAAAAAATTCACACATTGAAAATTGTGTAAAAGGACGTGGGTTCAACGTACCTTCCCGTAAGTAAGGAATAGTTTTCACTCTATTTTCACACTATCATTTCTTTGGCAATGAATTTACTTACACACTCTCTGACTTTGTTGATTAATTTAATTTCTAATGTGTTTAAATTTACCCAATGAGTTGTTTTTATTGTTCAAACCAGCGGAAATAATGTTGCCTCTTATTAATCAATGCCAGAGTTAGAATTCAGGCGATCACGATGAAATTCCTGAAATTCCAACTCTGATTTGCACCTCTTGTTTTGTAGTTGATTCCTCTTTTCTTTACTGCATCCTCTGCCGATGTCAGAGGCTCCTGTTAATTGTTTCTTATCTTACATTCCTTTGCGCAAATGCTCACCCAAAACATCCGCTCTCGTGGTCTGATTGGCTCACGCGCTGTTCGGAATTGTTGCAGGACCTCATGGTGGGCGATGAGGCGAGTCAATTGCGTTCGCTGCTGGAAGTGTCGTATCCGATGGAGAATGGCGTGGTGAGGAATTGGGAGGACATGTGTCACGTGTGGGACTACACATTCGGACCCAAGAAGATGAACATCGATCCGACGAACACGAAAATCCTGCTCACTGAGCCACCGATGAATCCTACGAAGAACCGCGAGAAGATGATTGAGGTGATGTTCGAGCAGTACGGCTTCGATTCCACCTACATTGCCATTCAGGCGGTGCTCACGCTGTACGCCCAGGGCCTTATCTCGGGCGTGGTGATCGACTCGGGCGATGGCGTGACGCACATCTGTCCCGTGTACGAGGAGTTTGCGCTGCCGCATCTCACGCGCCGCCTGGACATTGCCGGGCGCGATATCACACGATATCTCATCAAATTGCTACTGCTGCGAGGATATGCCTTCAATCACTCGGCTGACTTTGAGACTGTGCGGATGATGAAGGAGAAGCTGTGCTACATCGGGTGAGTTTTCCACCTCTGCAATTAGATGCTGACTAAATGTTTATTTCTTTCAGATATGACATCGAGATGGAGCAACGTCTGGCGCTAGAGACGACTGTGCTGGTTGAATCCTACACACTGCCGGACGGGCGAGTGATCAAGGTGGGCGGAGAGCGCTTTGAGGCACCCGAAGCCCTCTTCCAGCCGCACCTCATCAACGTCGAGGGTCAGGGCATCGCGGAATTGGTGTTCTCCACCATACAAGCGGCGGATATTGACATGCGATCAGAGCTTTACAAGCACATTGTCCTGTCTGGCGGCTCGACCATGTATCCTGGGCTGCCCAGTCGCCTGGAGCGCGAGATCAAGCAGCTCTATCTCGAGAGAGTCCTCAAGAATGACATTGACAAGCTTTCTGTGAGTAATTTCCTCCTTTTCCACACGATTATCTAGACATTTTCAAAAAAAAAAACAGAAAGTAAACGTTAAGTTTGGAAAAGTGATGAAGAAGTTGATTTTTTGAATGATGTAAATGCAATTTAGGTTTTTCTCTTGCAATATCTACTCAATTTCCCAGTCAAGTGGAAGAACGGTAATGTTCCTCTTTGAATAGATGATTTTTAGACATTTTCCTAAATCATATCTTTTGCCATTCCTCGTCAGGGAATTTCATTGAATACACAGATTTATTAGTGAAAGATTATTTCTCAAAATGATATTGAAAATCTGTCTGGCGTTCTCTTTGCAGAAATTTAAAATTCGGATCGAAGATCCACCGAGGCGAAAAGACATGGTCTTCATTGGCGGCGCCGTTTTGGCGGATGTGACAAAGGACAGGGATGTTTTCTGGATGTCGAAGCAGGAGTACCAGGAACAGGGCCTAAATGTCCTCAAGAAGCTGAGCAAAAAGCAGTGAATGTCGCGAAATCGCCGCAATTTTCTCCTCTTCCGCCAACTTCATCTTCGCTTAACGTATTTCTTCAGCATAATTTCAGTGGCATTTTCAGTCTATTTGCAAGAGAAGAAGTTTATAATAAAGTATAAAAAATTTGTTATTTATTTCCAGTGAAAGAGAAATCAAGGATAAAACCAAGCAAAGAACAATATTGTAAAGAAAATATTTACTGTAAAATCATTCCGACTGGGAAGACTATTGTAAGATTTTAATTTTAAATAAAAGTGTATTAAATAAATTAATTTCATAAACTTTTTGAGACAATTAAAAGAATTTTGAAAGGCTTTGAATAGAAAACCGAGAAAACCGAAAAGTGTTTAGTTCTCATCATGGCTGTTAAGGCCGGAATGGCGCTCGTGTTGATCCCGACAGACGTTTCCTTGCTTTTAATAATAATTATTCTGGAAATACACTCAAATTTTATAATACAATTGCATCAAGTGATACAAACCTTGAATAAACTTTCCTTTTTTATTTTAAAACTAAATCTACAGTGCGGCAAGATCCGCAACAGAAATGGAATGATTTTTTCGAATTTACCCACAGATACCACTACGGTTAGGATTGCGTGGTATATGGTAAACATGAGCTCGCTCAGCCGGGAAATTGCCACGCATTAGATGTCAAAGTCAGAGGCATAGTGTGTGTTTGACCGGCAATTCCTATTTTTCTGGTAAATCACAGTGTTTTTCTGAATCTTCCATTCAATTCCCATCCTTAAGCCATAGAGGAACAATTTGCAAATGTTTCAATGTGGAAATTCACTGTGAAAATGCATTAAAAACGAGAAGAGATTAAGCCGACAAAGTTGAGTACAATGATCTTTTTTTATGGTCTTTTGCAGTGTTATGGACACGTCAGGGGGACTGTCTAAGCTCAAGCTGAGCCTGGAGAAGCAGGAGCATCTCGTGAAATTGGCTATTTTGACGATAGCTGCAATTTTGTGTGAGTTCATATTTGGTTATGAGGCGTTGTGTTGTGACGTGACGTGACACTCCCACTTGTTTTCCCAGCATTCGCCACCCGGCTCTTCTCCGTGCTGCGCTTCGAGAGTGTCATCCATGAGTTTGACCCCTACTTCAACTACCGCACCACTCGCTTCCTGGCCGAGCAGGGCTTCTACAGCTTCCACAACTGGTTCGACGACCGAGCATGGTATCCCTTGGGCAGGATCATCGGCGGCACGATCTATCCGGGCCTGATGATTACCTCCGCTTTTCTCTATCGCGTCATGTGGCTCTTCAACGTCACCATCGACATTCGCAACGTTTGCGTCTTCCTGGCTCCCTTCTTCTCGTCCCTCACAACAATCGTCACGTACTTACTCACCAAGGAGATTCATGTGAGTTCATGAGCCGTCTTGTGCACCTCAATCAGTGCTTTAATGTTTGTTTGCCCTCCACAGAGCACAGGAGCAGGCCTCGTGGCCGCTGCAATGATCTCCATCGTTCCTGGATATATTTCCCGCTCAGTGGCCGGATCGTATGACAATGAGGGCATCGCCATATTCTGCATGCTCCTCACGTACTACATGTGGATCAAGGCAGTGAAGACGGGCACAATCCTCTGGAGCACGCTCGCGGCGCTCGCCTACTTCTACATGGTGTCATCCTGGGGAGGCTATGTCTTCCTCATCAACCTCATTCCCCTGCACGTGCTGGCGCTCATGATCACCGGACGCTTCTCTCACCGCATCTACATTGCCTACAGCATTGTCTATTGCGTGGGAACCATCCTCTCCATGCAGATCTCCTTCGTGGGATTCCAGCCAGTGCAGAGCTCTGAACACATGCTGGCTCTCGGCGTCTTTGGCCTGTGTCAAATCCACGCGTGCGTGGACTTCCTGCGATCGAAGATGTCCAGGGAGCACTTTGACATCCTGTTCAAAGCACTCTTGGGATTCATTCTCGGCGTGTCGGTCCTCATTGGAATCATCCTGTCCATCACTGGCAAGGTGTCACCGTGGACTGGGCGCTTCTACTCTCTTCTCGATCCGAGCTATGCTAAGAATCACATCCCGATTATCGCCTCAGTTTCCGAACATCAACCGACATCGTGGTCATCCTTCTACTTTGATCTGCAAATTCTAGTCTTCTTGTTCCCCGCTGGACTCTACCTCTGCTTCTCAAAGCTCACCGACGCCAACATCTTCATCATTCTCTATGGCGTCACCAGTATCTATTTTGCCGTGAGTATTCACCGACTTTTGCTCTCGAAGCAGTGTCTAAAATCTGATACTCTTTCAGGGCGTGATGGTGCGCTTGATGTTGGTCCTGGCACCAGTGATGTGCGTCCTCTCGGGAATCGCGGTATCCCACTTGATGGCAAAGTACATCAGAAGTGTGGACAATACGCAAACAAAAACACAGGATCCGAAGAAGTCAAAGAAGTTCGAGCAACAATCGACAGTATCCAGTGAAACTGCTATAGCCTTCGTCTTCGTCCTGTCATTCCTGCTGATCACCTACACATTCCACTGCACCTGGGTGACTTCTGAAGCCTACTCCTCGCCAAGTATCGTCCTGGGAGCTCGATCGCACGACGGAGGACGCATAATCTTTGATGATTTCCGAGAAGCATACTATTGGCTGCAGATGAATACTCCTGAGGTGAGTATGTGAAGCTTTTTGAGCGTGATCTCTTGTCATAATGGGAAATATGATGATAAAAGCATTTATTGAATAGCTCTTGAGTGAGTTTATCAATCGAGCTCATCCGGGCTCTTGACTAAACTCCTCAGCAAAAAGGGTGATTATGATCAATAAAAAACACTTTGATCGCTGATTTCCCAAGATTAAGTTCAAGTATAGAGTTCTTATCAAAACTGAGCCAAGGCACAGTTTTTCAAAGGAAAACTTTTTCAAGCATGAGACGTTCAAAAAAGTTCATAACATGCCGTTTGTATTACGTCTAAGAAACGATCGAATTGAACTGGGGCGTTTAAATGATTATCTGAAATGTTTACAATTGGCTAAGTGACTGAAATCTCTTCCAAACAGGACGCAAAGGTGATGTCATGGTGGGATTACGGGTATCAGATAACGGCAATGGCGAATCGGACAATTTTGGTGGACAACAACACATGGAACAATACTCACATTTCGCGCGTTGGCCAGGCAATGGCATCCACAGAAGAGAAGGCCTACGAGATTATGCGTGAACTGGATGTGGACTACGTGCTGGTGATCTTCGGTGGTCTCACGGGCTACTCGTCGGACGATATCAACAAGTTCCTGTGGATGGTTCGCATCGGCGGCAGCACGGATCGCGGGTCGCACATTAAGGAGCAGGACTACTATGCGCCCAGCGGCGAGTTCCGTGTGGACAAAGAGGGCTCTCCGACGCTCCTCAATTGTCTCATGTACAAAATGTGCTACTACCGATTCGGGCAGGTGTACACGGAGGGCGGAAAGCCACCAGGATATGATCGTGTGCGAAGCGCAGAGATTGGCAACAAGGACTTCGAGCTCGATGTGCTGGAGGAAGCGTACACCACGGAACACTGGCTTGTACGGATATACAAAGTAAAGGAGCTGAGGAATCGTGGAGTGTGAGGATGTCATTACCCCCCAAGGAGTCGCAAAGAGCATCACAGAACTGCATTTTCAACAGTGTCAGTTGGGCAAAAGTTGTCTGATCAACTCGCAAATGGAATGATTTTTTTTATTGTACAAAATGAGAGAGAGAAAATGACACAGGATCTAAATAAAGTTTAGGATGCTTTTCTACTGTAAAATGTACCACGTTTTAATGGAATAAACACAATCTGCAAATTCAAATTTATGTAGGTGGATCTGAGAATGTTTACATACACCCACTCAAGAGTGTGGAATTGATTGGAGGCGATGTAAAATGGAGAAATTTTCTGAAAATTTAATATCCCGAGACTCACTGACTGGCATAAAGAAAAGAACACAGAATATGATTTCCTACTGTAAAATGTACCATTTATTGTAATAATCTTTCCTTCCTCACTCTTTCTTTTTCTTTTTCAATAAATATTGCAAATTATTCGTCTCTCCATCCACAATATTTTCTTTTGATCGACAGATGAAAATTGAAGATACTTTTTTTTAATGATTCATCTTTCATGGAATGATTTTTGAATTGCTTTAGTTTAGTTTTATCTCGTTTTACAATGTATAAAGATAAAAAGGTGATTCATCTTGAGATTTCTAAAATTCATATTTCTACACAATTATATAGTATTTAGGTATGCAGGATGTGCAGGATACCTAAAATGTTCATGATAATCTTCTCGTAGAGTTTAGTTTTGCACTTAAGACATTAAAATTTACCTAATGGCAGTCATTTTTTTGACATTCATGGTTTAGGTAAAAATTCTACATTGATATTACAAGTTTTTAGCCATTTCTTAGTTTTTCTTTTTATAATCCTTATTGGTTTACATTCTCCCAGTTAGTGAACTACAATTAAATGTTCCTTTATTGTTGTTTTCTCTGTTTACACTATAATCTCAAAATGCGTTTAATATTCAATAGACATTCACTGTGTCTCCGTTAAACACTTCTTGTTTTACTACCTCTTTAATAAAGGTGAATCTGCAGTAGCAATTGATATTTTTCTCCATGCAGTGCTTCATTTAGAATGGTCGTACTTATATAAAAATGCAGTTAGAAACGAACATAGTCCTTCTCAATCATGATTTATGCTACTTTTTTCTTACTCTGCAGACCATAATGTCTCAAAGTAGAACTATTCAAAACCTAATAAACATGACAACAATTTAATTGCCACTGCAAGAAACTACCTAATACAAACATTCCAAGATACAGACATACCTTGCATAGACAATTACGTTAATTTCTTTCATATACTATAATTTTGGATATTATTTCAATAATTGTTTTCAAGACTTGATCCTAGGATAGTAAAAATTTGTATGTAAAAAATAATATTAATGAATAACCTTACAATCAGTCTCTATAGAGAGTCCATTCATTTTACCTTATATAATTTACACAAATAAAATTATATTCTTCTCTTTATAATTTCTATATATAAAATTTTCACTAATAGATTACATACAATCATACAGTTTTTTTTTTGCTTTTCATCGCAACCCAAAACAAACGGAAACCGATTGCAAGTATTTCCATCATCGTTAGTCCAATAATAAATCTAATATCTCACTCAAAATTAAACTAATCCATATAATTGTAAGTATTCTTATTTTCCCCCATCTTGCATTTCTCTATAAATACATACATGTTTTGTTTTTAATTAAAATGAGATAATTAAATACTGAAAGAGATAAAATGGTGTTAAAATTTTATAATAGTTTCTTTTCCATAATTAATTTCTCTCATGAGAATCATATTTTTGCTGATAGTGGAGTTAGTGTCCAATATGTTTATCATTCCAATATTCATCAAGCAATGTCCCGCAGCGTGTCCAGTAAGTGCAGCTGAAGAGAAAGATGAAGCATACTTTTAGAAACGTTATCAATATCGAGCGTTATTCCACTAGCAAACTCACTTTACAAACCCGTCCGGGCATAAATGACAGTTTCAACACGATCAGTGTGTATTCTTCCAGGAGATCTCTTGAATGTCTGCGAACGAGAAAGAGGAAATGTGTGAATAATTTCGCAAAGTGACGATCATTCAGGGCAAATTAACCCAATTGATGACTTACAGTTGATGAAATTGGCTGTGTCTGTGGCAGAGTGATTTGATTCATTCCAATAATCATTCCATTTTGCATTACACCATTGCGTACAGACGGCGTGATCAGCGGATTCTTCGAGTCCAACATATTCGGCAGTTCCTCATAGCCAGAATCAGAAGAATTATCACTGAACTTGTTCCCCAGATTCTCCGTGGCACTCAAGACTTTCTCCAGTGTCTTCGTCTTATTCGTTGGTGTCTTTGTCTCATTGCATATCTTCACGATGTTCTTCACAAAGTTATACTCCTTGGCCTTCACCACCTTCCCAGCTTCACCCTTGAGCTTCATCAGAGCATTTGCACTCGGCGCCAGGGTTGGACAAGTCAGCGAGCTGCTCTTGCCCACATCCATCACGATCGGCTGAGCCAGGCCGCTGGTGACCGTGGCGAAGTCCATCAGATTTCCTCGTGCCTTTGAGAATAAGTGATGCTTCTTGATAGCAATTGCACCAAAACCGACAGGCGACTTCTTAGCGCACACCTGATCATTCCGATGAGCCCTGCACACCTTCAAGCAACTCATGTCCACAATAATCGCAGACAGATCCTTGTTCTCATACACAGGACCGCAGCACATTTGCGTCTTGGTCCACAATTCATCCTCCTGGATATCTCGCAGGATCCCGTTTGTGCTCACCGACCGATTCTTCACCGGACGATAGTCCTTCCGCAGCAGAGACCGTCGCCCAATGTTGTCATTCCTGTATCCATTTGTGAACTCGTTCGTAACGAAGTTCTTGAGATTATCGAAACTCCCCATCGCAGCCCTCTTCCTCGCCTTCACTGCACTGTCCTCCCCATCGCTGCCATACGACAGCGGACTCGAGGGTGAGGACACATCATCCGACGATCCATGACTGCCTCCTCCAATTGAGCTCTCGCCGTTGGTCTTTTTCTTCTTGTTCTTCTTGAAGATCTTGCAGAAGCGCTGAGCAGATCCAATTCGCTGTGTTGTCTCACCATCTGCCACTGAATTCTCCTTCTTCACCTTCTGCTCCTGCTTCTGCTGCTGCTGCATCGACTCCTCCTTGCGCTTCTTGAACTTGGTCATGGACTTGAGTCCCGGTCCAACGCGAGCATCCACAACATGGCCCCAGTGGCGCTCGCTTCCCGGCGGCAGACGCTTGAATCTCTTCACCAGCAGCACGCACGCGTTGCATATTTCACCCTTTCGCGGTGCAGTCAGCTGGAAACACTCAATAAAGTCCGTCTCATACTTCTTGGAATCCGTGAAACGAGAGCTGTGAAGGATAAAAACAAATGTTTAGTACTGAAATCATGAAAAATTTCCTATTGTACTTTGTAAGTTATTTACATGAGGCCAGAATAGAAAATTGAGAAAACAATTATTCACTATACGTTTTCCGTATTGTTCTACTTTAACTTGATTTCAATATTCTCTCGAATATTTTGAAAGACATGCACAGTGAACAATTGATTGTTATTATGACAATGTTTGTCCGTGCAAACACTTCCCATAATTATTTATCACCTCATTTCCAAATTGAAACCACGATCTTGAGAAAAGACAAAGATGGACTGTTTAGTCATATAATTTCGTACACTCAACAAATTTGTCTTGTGTTTCAACTCGTGTTTGCTTGAATTACTTTTCTCAATGTAGTTGATTGAACACATTGCACTGTGCGAATGTATTTACGGCACATGATCAAGCAATGAACCTTGAATTTATGTAAAGATGAAGGTGAAAATTTTTACCTGCTAGACTTGGCTTTGCAGATGCAGCATCCCTGCGTTGATCGGTAGACTTTGGGTTTGTGGAATGAGAACATCTCTCAGAGCAATTCTACAATCTTCTATGACGCTAATTGACAATACACAGTCGCGGCAAGGACAAGGACGATGCAACTTGTCTCATATAATAAACTCACTCTCGTCTGAGTCTTTGTCACACTATATAAAGAGCTATTTTTGAGTTTTGCAACTCTCATACACAATATAAATATTCCTGGCAATATTATTTACAATTATTTATACTTTGACTCCAAATGTGTGTCAGTTATTACTTGTGTAGCATATACACAATGAGCTCTAGCAAATGCGTCAATGTGAAGGCTAATTTTATCAACTGCTACTATCTTTATCACCCCACTGAATTTCCTTGTACTTCTGCCTCCTAAATGCTCTCTGTCAATCGCGCAGCTTCAAACGCTACAAATGACTTATGTTCTCTTGGTGCGGCTGCACGAAGTCATTCACAAATTGTCCATTCCTTAAGGCGTGCCTCAGTAGTCGTCCATCCAACAGAGGAGTTTGTGTGGCAGGTAGGTGAGCCAAGTACTGCAGCAAATGACTTGTCGACGGATAGCCGTGACGGTAGAGTCTTCTGCGGTGCCTCGAGGAATTTCCACCAACAATATAGAGCTGCAAAGACAGGGAATAACATTGAAGTCACACACTTCTTGTCGCGTCTTCCAGTTGGTTATGAAAGATCACACATCGCATTTCCATTTTACCTCAAACATATCGAGCGCAATGAAAATGAACCAAAAGTACAAGATAATTTCAACTAATCCATAAAATATGATCCACATTCTGGTATTTGTGGTAATTAATAATGTATGAACACAAGTAAAAATTATGTAAAATTTAGAAAATAAACTTTCTTCAACACTCTCAAACGTTCGCGCGTCTCTTCTTCTCATCCAAATTGAACCATCGACACACACGCAGAGGTAAGATTAATTTCTATCTTCTCTCTGTATATTTAGATATTTTATTCTTCAGCACACGAGAAGTCTTGGGCAAAATTAAATTAATTAGAGTGTGAACATTTTGTTGTTAAGAGCCACGAAAAAAGCACACAAGAGAAGAGGCACATTTCTCTTCACACAGCCAAAGTACACCAACCAACATTCATAGACTGACTGATCACCGAAGCCTCATGAGAATCACCACAAAATGCCTTTTGCTCGCGCTCTCTCAACAAATTTCTCTCTATTTTCGTTGGAAAACACACCGCCAAGAGTAGGATTGCTGATTATACTCACACAGCACTAGAGTGTGATTGAGAATGAGACAACACACGGCATATTTTCACTGAAACACGTCGGAATTTTGCTGGACATTTGTTGTGAAAATCCGTCCAGACATTGCCAATTAACCTCAAACTCTCAGCCACCTCCTGCTGTGTCCTGCCAGCCCAGGAACAATTCCATGAGGAGAGAAAGCAAAACACAGCGCAGCCATCTCTTTTCCCCTCGCTCACACCCAACTGTCTCCCTCTAAACACACGCAGCGCGCGCGGACGTGAGCGAGACAGGAGGAAGATGCCTAGATTGCGCGCTCACCACACGGCGCACCCTATCACTCAGAATCTTTCTCAGAGGAACAGCACAAAGGAGGGGAAAAGCAGGTCAATGATCTGACGTCACGAAGAGCGCCAGAATAGCCGATGGTGTGCATTTTCCCAATGCTTCACACTTCTAGCCACGACGGTCGGCTAGTTTGACATAAGCAAAAGGCGGCGGCTCTCACTCCCTTCATCGCTCTCAGACGTATCTTCATTGTCGCGCCCTCGCCATCGCACAACGCCACCAAGAAACCCAATTTTAAATGGGAATATTGACATGTCTAACCATGACATAGGACAATGTGAATCAGAGACAAATGAATGTCTCATTGATGAATTCTGACTCATTTTAGCCATGCTTTCTGTTGCCGTTTACAACCTGTAAGCAAAGGGCAAGATAATTTTGACGAATTAAATGGAATTTTGAAAAATTCTCTAAACCCAAGTTCCAAAATATTGACATAATTTCAAGACATTTCCCGACAGCAATCTGTAATGCAAACACCACAACTGGGGGAGGATGTTTATTTATGATTTCAAGGAAATTTTCTCATGGGCCTCTCGCTGACGTCACAGATATTGGACTACGTCTCAAGCAACATGGATTTTGCGACTGACCCACGAATTGCATCTGCGAATCGCACTTCCCTCCTTGTCGCTGCAACACAAAGAAGCCCATTGCGAGTGCAAGTGAGTGGGGAGATGTTTTGCCCTGCGACATGTGCATCTCACGTGCAGCATGTCGACTCTCCGAGAGTCGCGAACGCGTCGCAAGGCCTATGCGTCGCCCTCAAGCCGCGAAAGTGAGCAGGACGGCTACTTCTGAGTCATCTGTCTCGCCTGCTCTGCCGCTTTTCCTCTCTCTCTCTTCGCGCGCCGAGTCTGACAAGTCACAATGAAGCGGTCAATAACACAACGACTTCGTGTCCTTCTGAATCACTCATCGCGTCTCGCTCGCACGAGAATTTGCGAAATTGGAGAGTTTTCTTCCAAAAATCCACAGCTGCTCGCCTCTCGCGGATCGTTCGCTCTCCGGCCGGTGGAAAGCGAGAGAGAGAGAGAGAGAGAGCGCGCTTCTCTGGCCAAGGCGGATTGAGATGGTGAATGCTGGGGCGCGCGAGAGGCCTCAAAATGGTAAATTCTCGGGCTCGGAAATGACTGTGCCGCGAAGAAGGTGAAGGTGTCTCTCACGCGAGACGAGACGACGAATTCTGCGTGGCCGAAAAAACGAGGAAAAAGAGACTTTTTGCAAGCACAGTGGCAAAAATAGAAAGTACACAATTTTTTTCACCGTCTCGACATTGGGCTCGAAGCGGACGCGAATATTTTCGCGTCAATCAATGATTTTGCAGCCAGATGGAAAATGCACCTCCAGCAGGTTCTCCGTCCAATTCTGTAACCGTGAACGGCCCCGCCGATTGACGACACAGGGACGCAACAAAGCGCACAACGTGAAGGCGTCTCTTCGCCTCTGCCCAGAGAGTCGAAGGAACAAGTGAAGAAAACAAAGACCGAAATGGCTCAGGGATGAACAAATGTGGCACACTATCGACCGAGAGAGATAAGAAAATGCACAAATATTGCCACGCAGATGAAGCAATGTGCTTTCGAGGTGAAGAATATGGGGAAAATGGGCAAAATTTTGCGACTGACAACGCATGAAAATCGCACTGGGTATTTTTCAGAGGCTGAAATTCTCCTTTAGCGGTGACGAGACGATATTCCTGGCCCAATTGCTGACAATTCACGCAAATCCACTGTGCCGCCCAATGCCCGGGTCTCGGCCCAAATTGCCATCGGCATACGTGGAGGAAGAGCGTGTGGATTTTTCAAAAATACACCACTTTTCCGTGTCGTTTTGCGGGGCGAGATTAGCTCGGGCGATTGTTGGAGCAAAGACGCGGTTTTTCAATTGGCTTTTTCACATAGTAAATCAAAGTTATACCTTATGACAATTTGCAATATCGATTCCTCATCCACTCGATGCACGATTGACACAGTTTCAATGGTAAATTAAGCAAACTTTCAGGGGAAAATTCACTTATTTTGCCAATCACCAAGCACTGTTTGAAAGGGGGATTGTAGACAATTTCAAAGATGGCGTACACCCCGCGTAAGCCAAAATAAATTAATATGCAATTTCTCACACACGCTGTGATACCGCACGACGCTTGCACGGAAAATCATCTTACGCATTTTATTGATTATCTGCCCAATTTCAGGTGGAATTGTAATTTATCTGGGGATTTAGTGTGAAACCGAGCTGAGTTGTTTGTATTTCCGGGAAGCGGCTTTTTCTGATTTTCGAAACAGCTGATTGTCACTTTTTTGCTGGCTGGTGCTGTGACAGCATAGTTTGACAGCCAATGTCTGCGGAGAAGTGTAGAATAATTTATTTATCGCAATTTCCTCAAGCAACGATAATGTAAAACGATGTCTAGCAGCAACGAGAGTGTATATAACTTCAAGATTGTCCTCCTGGGCGAAGGATGCGTGGGGAAGACATCCCTGGTGCTGCGCTATGTCGAGGACAAGTTCAATCCTAAGCATATTAGCACTTTGCAGGTAAATAGATGATTTTGGTGTATTTTTCCCTATCTCTTATCAGTCACAGCTCATTAGTGGGAAGGGGTGACCGTCCGACGGTCTTAGTCACTGGGGCTTTTGACAAAAAAGTAGTCGCAATCGCTTGATGGGCAATTGTATTGTATGGCTTCTTTGCACTTTGCAGGCGTCATTTCTCAACAAAAAAATCAACGTGAACGGTCGCCGGATAAATCTGAGCATTTGGGACACAGCCGGCCAGGAGAGATTCCACGCCCTGGGGCCAATCTACTATCGCTCCTCCAATGGGGCCATCCTCGTGTACGACATCACGGACGAGGACTCATTCCAGAAGGTGAAGAACTGGGTGAAGGAGCTGAAAAAGATGCTGGGCACGGACATTGTACTCGCGATTGCCGGAAACAAGACGGATTTGGCGAAAGACAGGAATGTTCCACTGGACGTGGCGCAGGCGTACGCATCCGGCGTGGGCGCCAAGCACTACGAGACGTCTGCCAAGATGAACGAGGGCATCGACGAGCTTTTCCTGGAGCTGACAAACGACATGGTCGAGGCTCACGAGGTAAAACAGGCCCAGAATGTCGCCCTGTCGCGCACCAGTTCGATGCGACGGTCTCAGGCACTCGTGGTGGACGACGACGAGCGAAGTGATGTCCAGCTGCAGGACTCGCCAGTCAGTTCCGGGCGCTGCTGCTCCGGAGGCGGCGCCGCAACATCCGCCAGCTAAGTGAAAGCCTTGTGTTTCTTGTCTCTTTACGTGACTCAGTTATATTTACTTCAAATCATAATGTAATATTTAAGAGCCTTACGTAAATATTATATACTGTTACATTATTAAGAAAAAATGTGTTTTTCATTGCGACTCAACAAAAAAAAGGTGGTAACTGTGATGCACACAGTCGTATGCTGTGTGATACATTTTAAAAGCACAAATCCTGTGTTATCATCATGTGATTTTGCCCAAAACAACAAGTTATATATTTTGACTAGATTTACGGAAGTAAAATTGCTGCAAAAACTCAATTTCCAATAATTGAAGCAACTGAAAATCCTACATTTTTGACACTTTCTGGAAAATAAGCGTAAATTTACAATGATTCTGTTGCAACACTTGACCTTAAATAAGTAGAAACATTGCTAAAGGTTCTCTAAAATTAGTTACACACAGTAATTTTTTAAAATCCCAACTACTTTTTATACATATTAAAGTTTTATCAAGTGTCTTGTCGTCAATACTGAGAGCCTGGGCTGTTAAGTTTGTCATTTTGCTTAAAAGTCGCCACTGAGGAAACTCTTGATCCTGTCCAAGTAAATTCTATCAGCAGTATTCATGGTTTCGCGCAATCCATGCTGGATGCGCGTCGAAAAAGTCTGCTGAATACTGATTGTGGCGAAGACACCACAAATCACCCCGTTGATCCTGTACACCGAGTCCTGGCAGTACAGGACGCAAATAGCTGCAGCCACGTAGAGAATGCAACCCACTGTCCTGTAACCATGGACACTCCTTGGCGTCGACAATTGCCAAAGCGGCGCCAGCGAGAGGATCATGATAATGGCGGGAATGAAGGATGGATCGTTGCTGAGGACCTTTTCATACGGATAATTGCGGCCCCATGTGAGCGCCGTGGGCAGATTGATGAGCGTCAGGAGGAGGAGAATGAAAAAGAGGCACAGGTGGAAATTGATGTTGCTCAGCCCTTCGGGAATGGCATCATACTCCACACGCATGGCCGCTTCCTCCTTCTTGCGCTTCTCCTCGAAGTTCATCTGCTGCCTGAAGGAGTCCTGCAGAAGCTTATCCAATTCCGCATCCTCCTTAGCTTTATCACCAGTCTCCTGCACTTCCCCTGAAGCCTCGGCCTTTTCTGCATTCTCCGCTTCCGGCTGGCTTTCTGTCGAGGTGCTGGGAAGCTCTTGAGGTGCACTTGGTTCTGGCGCCTCAGATAAATCTTCATTGCGTTCCTCGGGCTCCTCAATTGCCGCATTAGCGGGATTAGCAACTGCTTCCTCAACTGGAGCGACTGGAGGTTCATTTCTCCTCCTACGCCACTGGCCATAGAGCTTATCGGCGATCTCCTTAGCTGTGTTGAATATGAACTCCTCGAGGTATCCCTCATACATCTTGGTGATGAGCAGAAAGTAGATGCAACATGCGAGAATGAGACTCAACGCTCCGCACGATGCCATTGCGATGGAAATGAGAATAACGATTGCGGACAGAGGGAATTTCTCAAAGGACGAAATGATTAGAGAAGCCATAGAAGGAATGGGAAATTTGATCAATCTGAGGAGAATCTTGTGCACAGTTTCGCCCATGATACAAATCGCCGCCCACGAGATTGACACCAGAATCGTGAGAAGAGCCACACCAGATCCATGAATGATGACAGATATGAGAATCGATTGATCGTATGGATCAGGATCGGGCAATTGTTTTGTCCAGAGGATCATTTTTATAAACACACGCGAAGCGGAAACAATGAAGAAGGGCGTAGATTTGATGATAGCACTTCTGAAGGGGGCGCACTTGAAGGGCTCCAAAGGGGGCGTGAGGGAAATCTGATACTTGAGCGAGAGGAATAGAATAGCGGCCAAGTGGGCGGGCAACCAGTGCGAAAATTGCTGCACTATTCTGGCCATTGTCATGCCAAAGGAGTTCCTTATGCTAATGCGATATCGACAATTGGGGTCAAGATGCAATTGGACAGTGACAGTGTTCGCAGTGCCATTGTAGCCGACTGGCTTGGATTTGGGAACGTACAAGTACAGAGGGTCATGAGATGTCTCCGTGAAGTAGTGATAGCGATCGAAACCTTCCGTCCACGGCACACAAACTCGCGCCACATTGTGATATCCTGGCTTTGAGCACGATCTTGGCTGGAGAATCAACTCCATTACCTGATGCGACTCCTCCAGGCCCAAGATCGACAGCTTGTACGACGAACTTCCCAAGATGGTCTCCTCAATCACCGTCTGAGGTGTGTAGGAGTACCACTTCTGAATTGACGCCTTCACAACTCGATCGCCCTCGGCGTGGATATCCACATTCATTTGCACCTGTTGAAAAAATACACTCAGTTGTTTTTCTTAAATATAGAACGCTAAGAAAACGTACTGGTTGCTTTGTAGGCAAGATTCTGAGGATGACATGCGTCCACTCTGGATGTCTCGCTTTGAGTTTCTTCAGGTCCAGTCTCAAATACAATCTTTCATGCTTCAGTGATGGCAATTTTTCCGCATATTTGAATATTGAAGTGGCTTTCGTGCTACAATAAGAATAAATTAATAAATGTCAAAAAGCACACGCGTAGCTTTATAAGATCTTAACTCACCAGTATCTCATTGTGTCCAGAACATCAAGAGCCGCACAGCCAAACACCCACTCTTCATCCTCCAGGTTTATCATCTCAACATTCAGGATGTGATATTGTGGCAAATCGATCAAGCGGATCATTTGGAATCTCGTACCATTGAGGCCACCTTTGAACTGATGCGTGAAAACTCTGCGAGAATCCTCCACCCAATCGCCCAATTTGTCTCCACTCACGAGGTAAACCTCCTTATGCCGTTGCTCAGGTGTTGGTTTCTTCAGATAGTGAATTGCCTTCGAGAGTTTCTCATCTTTCTCATCAATGAACTGATGTCCTTTGCCGTACGCATCGCGACCCTTCACAGGTTTAATGGTGCTGTACAGGAATCTGTTGAGCACGAGGACTGATTGAAGACACCAAACAGCACACAAATGATCAGTTGTGAGCCACACTCGGGGAACCGACGTGGACATCGTGTGGATATCGCTGAAGACGCTGGTCGTCAAGCCTGGATGGACGATTACATCTCTACTACCACCTCCAATTGATATCAGAAGCTTATCGTCAAGTCCTTTTGGAGGAGTCTTCTCAAAATTCTCCCTGTTTTTCTCCGGACAGCAAGTGTTTGTGCGATTCCCAATTAGGCGCGCACTTCTACTCTCCGAAAACTTCTCCTGAATACTTCGGTAGAAAGCGTTAATGTAGACATCTAGGTTGATCGCCGGTTTGTCTAGTGGTGCTGAGAGTGCAATTATTGTGCCCACAAGAGGAGCAATGTCTGAGTTTCTCAGCAGGGCGTACGCTATCGTGCCGCCCATCGAGTGACCGACGATCGTGATGCTCTGAGGACGATTCGGCAAACGCTTGTAGAGATTAAGAATGTGCTTGATGCACTGCGCCACAAACTCTGTTTGCTCCTCCAGAACACCTCCGAACAGAGCCGAGTACTCCTCATTGAGATCCACAGTGAAGTAGTCCAGATGATGTGCCCAGTTGTTGTCCAAACCCTTTCTCAGAGCCACAGAAGCCAGCGATCGAGCCTGAAAGATGTGATTTTTAAATTTTATTAAAATACAACTGATTGGATGAGAGAAAAAGTTTACTTGTTTGAAAGATCCAGCATTGCCAGGAATGAAGAGAACAGGTGCTCCGTTCCAGTCCCCATTCCTGGCGAACTCTGTCAAGTGTCCTTCTGCATATCCGTACAGGCTGTACTTCGAAAACCGCTTATTTTCCTTGAAGTTGATTCGCTGGGAGAGAAAAGCGAAAATTGAAGGATTTAAATAGGTCAAGCACTGCCCACAATTTCAATACCAATATCATCCATTCTTAATGGCATGTCTGACAAAGTGGTCATGAGAGCTGGAACATGTGTAAGATTAAAAATTAAGAATATCAAGCATGAATGAGTGAAAGTATTATCGATTTTTTATGCTGAAGAGCACTTAAAAACTCAAAAAGAAAGTGAAGAAACAAGCAAATCAACATAGATAAGAAAAAATTGCCGGCAATTATTGTTGCTTCCTAAACATTAAACAATCTTGCCAGTGTATTGAATAAATAATAACCGGCGAAAGTGGAAGTACGGATGATGAATTGCTCCTGCCGATCTTATTTATAGAAGTGATAACAAGTTATCTTTTTGCGACAAGTGCCAGTCCTTGATGAAAGACAACTTGTCTTCCCCCAATGAATTGCACCCACCGAGGTATAGTCAGATGTTTTTACTTACAACAAACTGTGGATACTCGTACCTGAAAGAAGGAACATATTCAATTACTCACTTTTATTGAGTATTTATATCCAAATAAGTGAGAAAAATCCGCGAAAACTCACATGTACGTCATTTTGCACAAATTCTTCTCTGAATTTGTAAGCATTGTGACGATGCCATAGAGATAAAAGCACAGACACAGGAGGGAAATAACTAAGAAGACTTTGGGGAACATATTTCAAGTGTTTCAGCACAAATTCACGCACTGAGTAAGCGTAAAACGGAATATCTCAGCAATATAAAGACACAACACTATCCGCCGTTGGACATTTTTTTGACGTGTCGCGCATTATCGAAAATGCTGTCAGAGAAAAAAAAACGATTTCGAAAGATTTGACAACTCCGCGAGTGTCAAAATATCTCACAGGAAGTTGGAGTGAGCATCAGGAAAATTGTAAATTTTATCATTTTTCAGTGGTCTTTTATCTATTTCAATAGTATCATTTGCTCAAATCAACCCAGCAACTGTGATAAAAGATGGTAAGATGCAGTTTCTTGCTGAATTGTGTGCGCGTGGGAGCCCTAATTGGTTGTCACGCCCTTGCCGAAGCTTGGAATGATATTTGGCTAAAAGCTCTCAATTTCCCCGTCTTATCTAATCAATTCTATGCTTTCCACTTCCCAAACAGACGGAACAACAGATGGATTGTGCGTTGGACCTGATGAGACGTCTGCCACCGCAGAAGATTGAGAAAAATCTCATCGACCTCATCGATTTGGCTCCGGGACTGTGCGAGGATTTGTTGTCTTCGGTGGATCAGCCGCTGAAGATCTCCAAGGACAAGGAGACCGGGCGGGACTATCTTCTGTGCGACTACAACCGCGACGGTGACTCATACCGGTCACCGTGGTCAAATACGTACGATCCGCCTATCGAGGACGGTTCGATGCCCTCTGAGAGACTGAGGAAGCTGGAAATCGAGGCGAATCACGCTTTTGATCAGTACAGGGAGATGTACTACGAGGGCGGCGTCTCTTCGGCCTACTTGTGGGACTTGGATCACGGATTTGCTGGGGTGATCTTGATCAAGAAGGCCGGCGACGGTAGCAAGAAAATCAAAGGATGCTGGGACTCCATTCATGTCGTCGAGGTGCAGGAGAAGAGCACAGGGAGGACTGCTCACTACAAGCTCACTTCCACCGCCATGCTGTGGCTGCAGACGAACAAGCAGGGCTCTGGAACTATGAATTTAGGTGGCAGTTTGACGCGACAGGTGAGTTCACACGGCTCTGAGTTGGAAATTGTGACACATTTTGACGACACTGTCGATTCTTCCAGATCGAACAAGATGCCAATGTGAGCGAGTCCAGTCCGCATATCGCCAATATTGGCCGGATGGTGGAGGATATGGAGAACAAGATTCGCAACACTCTCAATGAGATCTACTTCGGCAAGACGAAGGATATCGTGAATGGTCTGCGAAGCACGCAATCTCTGGTGGATCAGCGAGCCAATGATGCCATCAAGCAAGACTTGGCCGCCGCGATTGCTCGCAGGAACAAGAGCGACAACTGAGATTAGGCCAGAGATTGGGAGGATGTCTCTATTTATTATCAATAATCCATCTGTTATAGACAACGCATTTTTCCCAGGCCTCCAGAACGCGCTTCGTCAGAAATTTTGCGAGAGTATAGGTGGAAATAGTAAGGATGTCGTGTGTTTTGCAGGACCTCAGCACTAATTTTATGGTAAAAAATTTTATTTTTTCATTCCTCGTCATCAAAATGGGACATTCATAATTGCAATTGCCTGAAATTTTATGTATTTTATACCCATAAACTTCACGCATTATTTTCTCTGCTGCTATAAGAAACATTTATACATAAAAACTATTTAATTGTAACAAATACAGCAAGAAGAATAAATTATGAATAAATTGTTAAGAAAAGCCAAGTGTTTGGATCTTCGGATTCATTCTTGTTTATTTTTGATGACATCGGATTTGTGAACACTGTAAAAAATACTGGTAAGCTCGTGACTCGCTGCGCTGGTGGAATTCCTCTTATTCGCGGTATTGAGAAAGTGTGCTAACGGTATTTATTTGAAGACGCGAAGAATTGCTGTCAGCGCGTGCAGTAACTTCAGTGTGGTGAATAATGGCAGAAGACGAGTGAAATTTTGTTGAGAATTTTAGCATTTTTAAACCGCTATGTTGTACAAAAAGTGCCGTAATAGAGCGAAATTGTGATCAAGTGAGGCGCAGTGGTAGTTTCGTGGTGATAACAAGCACCTGGGCTGCTCAGAAGAGGTGAGATTGTCGTACAAAGTTGCCACAGTGTCTCTGTTTTGTTCTGGTGTCTTTCTTTTGGCAAAAAGTCTCCCGTCTGGATTTCTCTTCTCATCGTCCACTTTTCCACTGAATTTCCCATTGGAATTCGTGATTGATGGGAATCGAATGAATTTCCGATAGTGCAGTGCTCGAGAATTATCTACGCACTCCTCCAATTTCCATTTCTTTCGTGGGCAAAAGTCTAAAAATAAATATTACGTAGCAAAAAACGCGAGGAGGAGACGATCAGCCAGGGAATTGGAGTGACTGGAAGATGGTGTGAAGAGAAGTCGATCACAGTGAGTCTGTGAGGAATTCTCGCCCAGAGAGTGCCCGAGGTGAGTCACAGGACCGCCGAGTGACTGCCCGGGAGTTGTTGAACTTGATCTGAGCTCTCTGTGCTGGGGAATTGGGTGATCTTCCGACGACTATCACTTGACAATTGATTTCTCAAACAAGCCACCCGATAAATGGGAGGAATGAGACATGACTACAATGACCCGAACACAATAGGAAACACTGGATTGCGTGTATCGAATTCATGCTTGTCTCTCCTCTTCCAGAAGTGCGCTGTCGACAGTGGGGCAACAATGGCCGCGTCCGGAGACTCCTCGATGGACAACAATGGGTCAGGTGAGCGTTCAAGGCAGAAGATATTACGTAGATCTTTCGCACCGCAAATTGAACGAATTTCCTAATTTAATTAAGTCACATAATAATGATGAAGCGCGGTCGGAAGAAAAGTTCTGACATAATCAATGGTTTCTTTGGTCGTTGGGAAATACTGAAGAAGCAGAGATACTCTCTAAGATGAGGCCGCAAATCACACTATCAATGTAATCGCAAAAAAGTAGATTGAAGTCTGTTTTCGTTAAGGCTTGCTGATGTGATTTGAAACTGGAAAATGATTTTCCACCCTAATCTGATATAATTGTTGCTCACAAAGTGATATTAAATTATTTTCACAACTTTTCATGCGACTCTTCTTAAGTAAGAGAAACCAAGTGCAAATTAATTGAGTGAAATAGAGAGACGTGTATTTGTTTATTTATATATTGCTTCATGCACTGAATAGTGGTGAAAGTTTTCAATGATAGACACACTGTTCTTGCGGAAATGTAATATGCGTGGAAATGAGATCTGACATTGAGTTGATGCTATCTTCTCCTCTTTGCAACAGTGTCGCCCATTGGCCAGGACTTTGGCTCATTTGGGGGATCGGGCAGCAACAATGCCCGCGAGTATGAGTCGATGAAGGATCAGTTTGACGAGGCAATGACTGAGATCTCCAGCCTAAAGCGCCAGTACATCGACAGCAAGAGACGCTGCGACAGCGCCCAGGAGCGACTGGAGTACTATCGTGAGCAGTACACGGCGGCGATGAATCAGCTGGAGACGGCCGTCCAAGAGAGCAGTTCCTTGCGTTCCAATTTCACGAAGAGCAACACCGAGAAGATCAGGTGAGGTGGCGTTTTGTAAGTGTTATGAACACTCTTTAAAGCGTCTTTTTTTCTGTAAAGATTGGAGCAGAAGGTGCACCACTTGGAGAAGAAACTCGCGCGCATTATTGAGTCGATGAAGCTGGAGAATGGCAATAGTCAGACTATATGTGCCTTTCTAGAGCAATACAATGAGCTGAAGAAGAAGTATGAGCAGAACAAGGCGGAATTTGAGAAATTATCGAAAGACACAGAGTTGTACAAGAAGAAGTGCGACGAACTCATTGACGAACACAATAATTTGTCAATTGAGAAGGACGAACTGAAGCACCAACTCTTGATGGCAATCAGACAAATGGATAGCGTTCAGAGGGAGAGAGACGAGCGATCGCAACAGCTGAAGCACAATGATGATGTTATAAAGGGTCTAAATCAGGTGCTAGAGTCAAAATGTATCGAGTTGCGACGCTCCACGGAGCAACGCAATGCGGCCGAGCAAGAATTATCGCTGATACTGAGTGAGAAGGACACGGTGCTGAAGGAGAATCAGAAATTGTCTGATGATCTTGTGATCGTGGTGAAGAAGTCCACGGAATTGGAGGGTCGCTTTAAGGAAGAGAAGCAGTCGATGTTGTACGAAAACGAGCGTCTCAAGAGTGACTTGCAGACGTCGCTGCACTATCGGGATGATTTGATGAAGGAGTGTGAAGATTTGAGGCAGAAGATCGAGGAACAGACGCTGAAGGCAGCTTCAGGCAGTGGAGATCACATGAAACGCAGTGACTTTAAGCCAACGTCAGATGAGAGTTGGAACAAGGAGTTGACAGAGGAGAAGGAGAAGATTGCGCAGGATCTTGAGGCGGCGAATCAGGAGATTGAGATCCTGCGAAAATCGCTGGATAAGGCACGCAATGAGGTGATGAAGGCGTCGCAAGACACCGAGTTGGCAAAGAGTCGTCGTGATTGGGCAATTACGGAGCGCGAGAAGATAGTTCAAGAGCGCGACAGTGTTAAGATTCTGTGCGACGAATTGCGAAAAGAGCGTGATACAGCAATTTCGGAATTGCTGGCAGCAATTCGGGATAGTGAGAATATTAAGAAGCAAAAAGATGAGGCGTGCAGAGAAATTGAACAGCTACGTGAGCACCTCGAGGCACAGCCGCCGGTCAATGCCCCGAGTCGTAATAGTGCGCGCTGGAGCTGCGCCTCCTACGACGTGGAGCCCTTCCGGAAGATGGACACCGAGATCGTGGACATTGACATCAGTGGATTGCCCACGGACGGAGAACTGGGCCTTGTGCTTGACGGTGGACGAGATGACAGTCAGAATGGAGGAGAGAGTGGCATCTATGTGGTGTCTGTGGTGAAGGATTCCGTGGTGGATGGAAAATTGCGACCCAATGACTGCATTATCCAAGTCAACAATCTCGATTGCACTTCTGTCTCCCGACGAATCGTGCTAGAGTCCATAAGGTCGAGTGCTCCACGATGTAAAGTAGTGGTGAAGCGACAACTCATGAATGCGTCACATCTCTACACTGCCACGCTGAATATAAAGATGGGCCGAGCGCACGGATTGAGTCTCGAGGGTGGAATTTACATATCGAAAATTGAACCTGGATCCCTCGCAGCTCGCGACAATAATTTAGCAATTGGTGATCGTATTATAAGTATCAATAAGAAAGCTCTGGATGCCACTAAGAGTATCAGCGATGCCTTAGTGCTCCTCGAGGAAACACGCAATGACACTCTGGTGATTGTGGCTCTCAAGCAAATTGGTCAGATGAACTCCAATAATCGCGCCCTGATGTACAATAAAATGGTGAATATTTGTACACAAACTGACGAACCACCGACGAGACTGAGTGACAAGGGTGGCGTTAAGAGAGGATCAATTCCTGTGACAAATATGGACTTTCCGTTCAAGCCTGCTGTTGCTCCGGCGGCAAAATCCACGTCCAAGATCACGGATCTGATCAAAATGACCTTCCGAGGGAAGAGTCAAAAGAGTCCAGTAGAGACTGAAGAGACCCTGACTCAGGAGAATGATGCTATTCTTCTGCTGGACTCTGTTTTGAACAGTGAAAACACATCAAAGTCCAGTGTTCTGAAGAGATCGAAGCGGAAGAAGGAGTCGAAGGAGAGCAAGAGTATGGGAACATGGCCAAGGGCCAATGTGATAGCTCATGAAAACATAAGTGGCACTATTGTGCAGAACAGGAAGAAGGAGAGACCGGCTCTGACACTCTTCACAGCGACACTTCAGTCGAAGGATGAGAAGATGCATGCCAATAGTCGCAACAATGCAGAGGACTATTTTGAGTCATATCCAGCGCCAACGCCAACTACAACCACTGTCAAATCCTCAGCTGCGAGCAACCCCAATAGGAATTCCAATCCGATCCCATATCATGTCCAATCGCCACCGCCAAATGTTCTGAATCGTCATTCTGTCTATCGCAGCATCGAGCAGGAGCCTTTGCTGCCGATGAGCAGTGCCGGCCCAGGACAAATACTGGGTGGTTCCGGGGGTGTCAATACATATAGCAGACCACTGAAGTATCTCGATTTTGAACGCTATCAACCCCATAATCATCACCATCCGAACAGAATGAGCCTCAACTTCACGCCGTCTGATAACAGTCTTCTATATAATTTGAATGAAAAGCTGCGCGGTGGGAATTTGCTGCAGAATCAACAGCAAGGGCAGCAGAACTCTCTGGACATCATTTCGTTGAAGAGTCAAAACTCTATTGACTCTTTCTTGGCACCCAAGAGTCCGCCGTCTTTGGATTTGCCAATGAAGCCACCAAGCCGTGAGGCTGTGGATTACTATGCGCTGAAGAAGATGACAAGGAATGTGTCCAAATATCCAAGCGACAGTGAAAACCTCAGTCCAGACCCGGTGACCATGATGGCAGCCGGGAATACCAGCACATTGCCATCATATTCTCGCTTTCAATCCATCAATGCGCCGCCATCTCGCAATCAGGCTCTCTTTCCAGTGGCACCCATTCATCCCCATCCGCATCACCATCATGGATACAGGCACGTGAGTCCCCTGACTCTGCCACCTTCTGCCCATTCAACAGACTCGACAGGTTTGCTTGGTGGCGGGGGAAGCATCCCGGAAAAGTCAGAGTTTGACAGCTATATTCCGACCTATCATCACTCCCATGGCGCGTCTATTGACTATCAATACAAAAATCGCTTCCACGCGACAAGAGATCGGGATGAGATACAGACGACCTATTCATCAGGGTGAGTTAACTTGCTGGTGATGTTGAGGTAGACAATAATGATTGTCTTGGAATTTCAGATACGAAGGAGGCACATTTCCGCGCAAGAAGGAGACACCTCGATTCCGCATTCCGTCGAATCCGAGTGTCACGAGCAAGGGAAGTGGCGTGAAGAACAGCACGGGTTCAATAGAGCATCATGGCAGCGAGCGTGGCTCACCGATGCCGACATTTCAAGTGGAAGTCCTGAGTCATGGGTCCAATCTTAACAAGCGCAACACCATGACAGACTATTGCTATGGGCAGAAGCCAAATCCTGGCGATCTTCGACGGGTGACTATTGACAAGAGCGTCGAGCCTCTGGGGATAACAATCCGGTGCAACAACAATGGTGGTGGCATCTTCGTGTCCACTGTTACTGAGAACAGTATTGCCAGCCAAGTGGGTCTCCAGACGGGCGATCAATTGCTGGAAGTGTGCGGGCTCAACATGAGATCAGCGACTTACGAGTTGGCTGCGAGTGTTCTGCGACAATGTGGCAACTCCATGACGATGCTGGTGCAATACAATCCAGACAGTAGTGAATTTCATGATGATTATCCAATGCTGGGGCATTTTAATGATTTCATTCTCTTGCAGAGTACGATACTGACGCTGGACATAGCACAGATGAGGATGAGAGCATAAGTCACTCGGGATCATCAACACCGCGCAATTCCCCGAGTGTGGCGAGGACGCTTCAATTGAGAAATCAATCTGCATCGAAGTCTGCCGCAACAACGCAACAATTGATGCAACGAGGCATATTTCCGCCCACTTCTGCAGTGTCGTCAATTCAGGGCAAGAAGTCCACATTCGCAGGACCTGTTGCAAGTCCCACGGTGGATACGATGATAAAGCAACCCACTGTGGCTTCGGGTGGGAATGTGTATCAAGAGGAGCCGCGAATGTTGATCATTGAGACGAAGAAGAAGGCTTTGGGCATTAGTTTTGTGGGTGGAAACAAGACGGGCATCTTCGTTCATCGCGTTCAGAGTGAGTCTCTGGGTGACAATGCAGGGATTCGCGTCGGTGATCAGATATTGGAGTTCAATGGAGTGGATCTCAGGGCAGCTACAGCAGAGCAAGCGTGGTTGGAGATTGCAAAGTCCGTGGATAAGGTATCTGTGGTGGTGCAGCATAATATGCAAAGTGAGTTGTTTTTGTGTGAATACTGTATTGAATATTTCATAGCAAAAGTGTTTTCTCGTGTTTTAGAATTCAATCAAATTGACCCTGATCAGGAGAGTATAGATTCTCTGTACATAAAGGTAGCCTTTGATCGCACTGGAGATGTTGGCGAATCGGATTTGCGCTTTGTCAAGGATGATGTTCTCTATGTAGACAATACCATGTTTACGGGAAGTCCGGGATTGTGGCGAGCCTGGACTCTTGATGAATATGGGCATCGCATATCGTGTGGTCTCATTCCGAGTCAAACCAAGTGAGTAAAAGGGTTGGAGGTGAAGATTGCGCTGTGGTATTTATATTTTATGTGCTTCTGTAGGGTTGAAGAGGAGTTGCGATTGCATCAAGACACTGCAGATGCTGATAACACATCAAGAAGGAGTACAACATCAGCCAGACGCTCATTCTTCCGACGCAAGAAACACCAGAGGAGTTCTTCGAGGGACTCGAAGGAGTTGGCGAGTTTTAGCAACACTCAGTTGAGTTGGTTCTCCGATTCAGGGATGCTCAATGATGAGACCACTCTCAATAGCTATCTTCGCATGGAAAGATTGGACTGTGAGTGGATTGATTGACACAACTGCTGAAGATGTTTCCACAACAAACTGTTAATTTCTTGCAGATCCATCATACAGGCCTGTTTTGGTGTTGGGGCCACTGGCTGAGTGTGTGGTTGACAAGCTTCATACTGACTTTCCGAAGGAGTTCGAGCGGTGCAAAGTGCAGCCGATGAATTGCTCTGAAGAGACTCTTGAGAAGAATTTGCACAACAATGTGTACATTGATTACAGGCGTCGTGGCAACATTTTCGAGTGCACGACTATTCAGGCAATCAAAGATGTGCGCGAGAAGAAGCGACACTGCATTTTAGACATTTGCATATCGGCAGTGGAGAGATTGCAGCGTGTGCAGATTTATCCCATTGTGCTGCTATTGCGCTTCCGATCGGCGAAGCAAATAAAGGAGGTGAAGGATTCGCGGTATTCCACGGATAAGATTTCCGCCAAGGCGGCAAAGGAAATGTACGAGCACGCGCTGAAACTGGAAACGGACTATGGACATTTCATATCTGGTAAGTTTAGGTGATTTTTGACGTTGAAATGCATTCTGATGATGTTTTTCGATTTCTCCAGCTGTAATTCCTGCGGGTGTAAATATTCACCACATGAGCTCTCAAGTAAAGGCAGCCGTTGAGGATGAGCAAAAGAAAGTACTTTGGATTCCCTTTGCCAATTCGTCGTCGCAGTAGAGTTGTAAGTGTGCCTTTGGAGAAACTTGAATGCCTAACTAAAATGTCTTCCACAAAATCCGTTTTCTATCTGATGTAACATTTTATACCCATTTGATATGCAAGAAAATTTTTAAAGGTTTTCAAAAACTCCCTTGAACGCGAGTCATTTTGCTAACTTTCAATTCATAGTGGTTAAGGGGATTGTTTTCATTTTATACTTCAGTATTTTTTATATCAATCTTTTATGCTATTCTACGTAAAGATATATAACTTCGTCGAAGATTGGACGGAAAAGGGTACCATTTTATATGAATTGAATTGAAATTTAGAAAGAATTGTATGAGATTTTTTTTTTATTTCTTACATCTCTATAATCATTTTATTTACAATGAAAATTTGTAAAATTAGCCTAAAACTACAGCTAAATAGATTTGTAAGTCAAAAGGATGATTTTATTTTTATTAATACATATATTAAATGTGTTTCGCATTACAAAATATATATTTTCTATTGATATTACGTATTCGTTTGTTCTACTTTATAAATATTACATAAATCACTAGCCTTAATTGGTGTTAGGATGACGAGAAGGAAGGAGAGAATATCGATAGAAAGCAGTGAAATGCGAATGATTTTTTGACTTTGAGCTGAATAAAGAGTCTATGAGGAATTTTTATACCACTAACTTCAGCAGAACATTGTTTTTCTTTTCTTCAATAACGATTGGGTGGGCTCTCAGTTGTTTTTCTCTTAACAAATCGACTAGCATTCCTGAATAAAGAGTCTCACACTCGAAATTGCTAGTCAAACTCATCGTGGAGCCCTTCGTCTATGTGATGGCGATACCAGTTCTCAGTCGCGTGTCCATAAATTGCCCTCTGCAGTTCGTTTTCCGCTCTCTCGATGGATTTGAGAATTGGCGATCGTGGACTGCGCGACGTCACGCGATATTCCCCGGGAATATCGTAGCACTTGCAGATGCAGCAGGAGGGAAAGCGGAACCAGTCGGAGAAGATGCCGCGGCACTCGTTGTGCGGATCGTAGGCGAGGAGTCTGTGCAGGCGATACTGTTGCTCACAACGACATCCCTCGCGGCAGTACATCTGCTTATGCTCGTGTGTGCACTTCTCCCAGTGGACGTACTGCTCAAATGGGTAGAGATTGAGCAGCGCCAGGACTTCGCCACGGGTGTTGTTGGCCCAAAACGGAGCAACGACTTCCTCCTTCACAGGACAGGCATTCCTGGATAGAAATAATCATGATAATTAATTAAATGTTAACTGAACATAGAAAACATAGGTGAGAGTTGGATAATCGTAGAATTTGTTTCTAATCGCATTTGAATTCAAGTCGGTGCACAAAATTCCAGCTTGCATATAAATTAAGCGAAACGACTGTTTCTCTAAATATATTATTCGTCTACTTACACTCCTCTGGAATTCACGATAGGCTGTTCTTTTTGCACGGCATCTTGGAAGAGTTGACTTTCCAGGGGTTTTGCTGTTGACTTCTTATTGAGATCAGGCTTGGTAGTTCCGAAATAGTTGGCTGTGGCATCGTTTTGCTTTATAGTTGATTTTATATCCAAAATTCCCTCACTTTCCTCCTCAAATGCCACATCCTCATCCACACGATCGTCAATCTTAAGTGGCGAGTCCGTTCGGAAGTTGTCGCTATCGGCAAAAGTGAAGGTATTTGTGGTGAAATCTTCAGCGTCTGATTTTGTGATTTTGAGGATGCTTGAAATGGTTGAGGATTCCGCAGTGGAGTTGGAAAGATTGGGCGCTTGGACGATCTTGATGGAGTCAAGTTGGTCCTCTTCTGTGACATTCTCATAAACACTGTTGATGTCCGCTTCGTCATCAATATTGACGATGTCATACTTGTCTCTGAAGCGATCAGCAGAGTTGTGTTGACTCGAGGGCATTTCGGTTGTTGTTGAGGTGGTTGATTTGGTTGTCGACGTGGGCCGAAAGTGTGGCTCTGTGAACACAACGTCATTCCCTTTGCCACTCAGTGAACTCTGGTAGTCGCTGTAGAGATACTTCGACTTCCTGTCGGCGTGGCGGGAATATCTGGCTGCAGCCAGCTCTATGTCCGAGATCTCGATGTCGTTGTTCTCAATCTCTGAGCGCAGGACAGAGATGTGTTTGATATCGCCGTACATGCGGCGCATCAGGCCCTGGTTCTCATGCACAAACCGACGAACGGCGTGCCAGGGATAAGCCGCTCCGGGCAAATTGCAGTAGGATTGCGTGCTGAGATCGCAGGGAATGGCGGTGAGGAGCTGCGCTCGACCGCGGCGTGACGCTTTGGGCCCACATGAGGTGGCCGAATCGAAGCCATAGCCGAAGATGGTCAACGGTGCCACCGCGACAAATATCAGGAAGATCTGAAAATGATAGCGAATGAGAGGCTTTTACTATCGATTTGGGACACTGATCAGCCCATCATCTTCCTTCATTGGGGACTTTCATTTTTTCCAGTGCACATACATTTCGCTTTCTCACGCGAGAACCACGCATTGATCCAATACACACTCGCATTCTGAAGATGCCATGATAATCACCGAGAGATTGACCCAAATCTTCTTGTTTGAAATGTTCACGAATACTTATGCCTATGTATCTTTGGGTCAATGATCACCGCGTCAAGATTCTCTCTTTCGCCGGTATTCACTATATAATAATAATACGAAAAGGGCCACAATTTATCGGTCATCCAGCATCTGATCTCTTCCATGATGTATTTCAAGTTCATAGAACTCCTCAATGGAATCTCACACGTTGTTTCCTCTCTCACTCACTCACTCTCTCTCCCTTTGCCTCATTAATAATCTCGGTGTTTTATTCGATCGCCCAAGAATGAAATAGAAAACAACCTTCGATGCATTTGTAATGCCTCAAGCTCTTCGAAAGTGGCCAAGAAATTGTGTCCAAAGCGCATTTTCAATTTTCCCCACACTATTTACCAATGCAAATCATGCTTCTCTTAACCCAATTCGCTTTTTTTCTGAAGCACTTGCAATCTGAATGATAAGAAGGGAAAGAAATAATTTTTCACACTCTCAAAAGAAAATTAAAGACACGAATTATGCAATGTTCTAAATATCTCTGAGTTTAAAATCTTTAAGAAAAAAGCCGCTCATCATATTACTTTGCTAATTTGAACTGGAAAGATGAATTTCATTACAGTAAAAGTTTCTAACTGATGTGTTTGATCTGGTTTTAGCGTCACAATCTCTGTATTGCCGAGCAGAATGTAAAGATTACGATGTGAGAAGCAATGCGAGATGTGTCTCAGATTAATATTTCACTTGATCAATTACGGGCAAATCGTCACAAATAGTCAGACGGAGTAAAAGTGCAACTGATGAAAGTTTATGTGCAATTTTAGGGTGTTGCTTTTGCCAATAACTCATTAAATTTTTTTTTGTATAATTCTTTTGGTGTGGAATTTCAGCAAATATTTGTCAAAGTTGTCTCTGAAAGTGCTTCAAAAATTGTGGTCTTGAAGACACACGGTGAAAGTCTCTCTTTCTCTCTCTCTTGGGATTTCTCTCTCACAATCTCTCAATGTCTAAACTTTCACTTATCTATATGGGAGAGAGGCGCAGAAATATTAATATTCACTTTGCATTATAGGAATATGAACAGTTTCATGAATGAAATTTTGCTACAAAATAGCAATTACTTTGCATGTGATCGTCATGTTGGAGTAATTCTCTTTTATTTTGTCGATGGGAACAGACTGTATGTGTTAAGTGGGCCGTTTGTACTTACATTTGTGCCACTTCTTCCGAAATCCATTTATCCTCTTTCTCTCGCTTGATCAAGAGATGCAAGACGATCGTGGCGATCGTGAAGAAAGACTGAGGAGAATTTTCGAGCTATTCTGTGACTCGTATTTTATTCACTTCTTTCCTGAGTACTCCACTAATTACTTCCTGCCCTGTTTTGGGGGTGATTTTGGTGCGTTAAGCCACTGTATTAGTTGTAATAATAATCACTCGTGGAGACACTTCATCTTTCGACAATGTGCAGAAAGCCACTAAACACTCTCGAAGTGATCAGTTAATTATAGAGGCCAGAAGACAATTCTTCACCACACATCAAATGCGGCCACCAACTTTCTGCCAGATCGATCAATATCAACTTGGCGAATGATCACTCAATGGACGACACGAGGGAGAGAACTGAGAGGTGATCGTCGCGCGAACGTCTTCACTGTTCGACTGCTTAACTGTTGTGTACAAGAAAAAGTGTGTGCGAAGACTCTTTGTAGGTCAGTAGTATTGGCCTGCATCCATCTGAAGTAAACCAGCCAATAAGGCAGTGTGAGCTCACCTTGGTACGACTTGCGAAGCAGCTGGGCAAAATCGACACACGAGAGAATGATTTTCGCAATGCTAAGAAGGATTCAATATCATCCTGCATTCATCAATTGATGGCACGAAAGTTGTGAATTATACTTTTGGGCGAGTCAAGAGATCACGGTGAAATGGGTAGAATTTTGTCCAGATAGTTTGGCCGTTGATCACCTCCCGTGAAACCATCTTGCTCTCGCGCACACACCCGAAGACGCTGGAAGAGAAAGAGTTTTCTCGCTGATGGCAGCAATTTCTAAACAATCTCGTATGAGTGTGAGATATAAATTCAATTAATTTTTCTTCTGATTTTTGTTGTGATCACCAAGTTTGGCGAGGAAGTGGAGGCGACAGAGAAGAGACACTGACTGTGGTGGCCAGGAAAGGTGTGTGCAGAGACAAGTTGTCTAATCTTGCCAGCATTCGCCACTCTTGGCATCAATTTGCAGGTGGAGCAATTTATGGCTAATTTGTCGCATCTTCGCGACGCAGAGCTTCCTGCACAATGCCAAGCACAATAATCTGCACATGGGATGTGTGTTTACATTGAATGAAAATATAATTCATATTTACCGTTAGTTTACTATTGAAAATTGACTCTCTCTCGCCCCGAGTTGGAGTCATTCAGTGGTGCAGCAATTAAAGAAGTGATATCATGATTGTGATTAGAGAGTCTTTCTTAATTCTTTTCTCTTTTACACATTTATTTCTCCCACAGTGCAAATACACTATTCACAAGACATCATGCACGCAATGACAATCAGTGGATCTTCCGAATGCGCTTTTTACATTCCCAGAGAAAATGCGTCAAAGTGCGTAGAGGTATTAAAAATACATGATGTATAATAAGATAAAATTAATTGGATTGGAAGAAGTCCGTTTTTAATTTTTAGGGTCTGAATTACTGAATTTTAAAGTGATATTTTTTATTCCTCAAAGAGGTTCAATTGGAATTGGATATGGAGTAATAGGTTATAGACGTAAAGTTACGAGTCCTTTTTGCACTTTGTGCTGAGAGCAGTAATTTTGAATTGAGAGCTTTTATGTTAAGAGATTTAAGAGAGAAACGACCAATGCGGCCCTGTTCTTCAAACACTATATTCTTCTCTTTCCTTTTTTCACGTTTTCTCTGTCTAACTGTCAAATATGTTGTCATTTCGGCCAACACGGCATTCAATGAGAACTTGTGAACTTTTATTAGTGAAAATTCAGTGAAAATCAGGAAAATGGAGTATGACAATGACAAAGTGTTGAAATTGCTCTATCCCGAAGGTGTTCCAGGTATGTTCAGCATGTAAATAATGCATTTGCGTGAGAAATGAGTGAGTTTTTGTTTGCAGGGAACCTCCAGGAAAATGTCGAGTTGATGGGTTACTTGGGAAAGCTGGGATCCTACAAGGCTGACCAGCTACGAAAGGAAGAGAATCGCCTGGTTGAGGAGAACAAAACTGTTGTGGAGCAAACTCAGGATCTGGCCATCAGCAACTACAAAACATTTATTCTCACCTCTGAGTGTTCGCGCGAGATCTTCCGGGAGTTCAAAGAGACGGAACAGAAGTTGGATGACTTGATAGAGAGGCTGCCGAAGTTCTTCACGGTGTGTGAGGAGTTTATCAAGAAGTCTGGGGACATCAACACAGCAAGGCAGCTGAATAGTGTTACTATGAAGAGACACTCTGATCTTATTGATATTCTGGAGTTGCCTCAGCTCATGGATACGTGCATTCGTGCTGGGAAGTACGAGGAGGCTCTGGAATTGGCTTCCTATGTCCAGAGAATGGGAGTGAAACACGGCAATATCCCTATTATAAAGGTGCGCAATGAGATGATCCAGGAAATCACAATAAATTTAATATTTCTGTATTTTGCAGTCAATTGTGACGGCGATTGAGGATTCCTGGCATACAATGCTGGGACAGTTGTTGGCACAGCTCAGGACAGATTTGCAGTTGCCGAAGTGCCTCCAGGTTATTGGCTATCTTCGTCGAATGCAGGCATTCTCAACGGCAGAACTAAAGCTGAAGTTCCTGCAGACTCGTGATAGTTGGTTCACGGGGATTTTGTCTGGAATTCCACGTGGTGATCCTCAGCAGCATTTGACAAAGACAATTGAGCTCACCCGAATTCACCTGTTCAACATCATCACGCAATATCGGGCGATTTTCACAGAGGACGACACACTCTATAATGGAAGCGACAGTCGCGACAGCAGTAAAATTTTCCACGGATGGCTTCATGAGAAGATCGAGATGTTTCTCAGGACATTGGAGGATGATTTGTCGCGTGGAGTGAACTCTGTGGACACTGTTTTGGGTCAGTGCATGTACTTTGGACTCTCCTTCAGTCGAGTTGGTGCCGACTTTCGTGGTCTGATGGCGCCTATTTTTGTCCGAGCCATTGGTCAGCACTTCCAGAACACTGCCAATGCTGTGACACACCAGTTTGAGCAGGACATTGAGAGCTACACGTTGATAAACAAGATATCGACGGGCCTCAATCGCGGCAAGAACGCTTCCGCGGACAATTTATCGCCTCCGGATTCGTTGCTGGACTTTCATCCGCTGGCGTCGTATTGTAACGGATTGTTGGGCGCTTTCAATGAACTGAGGCTGTGCGCTCCACTCGGAGTGGCGGATAGTGTAGTGAAGGCCATCCAGGCTTCGATGGAGCGTGTCTCGAAGGCTATCTTCGCATTCTATCGCCAGGAGCAACAGGCGTTTTCTCAAACTGAACGGGATAACTTCATCAGGCTGTGCTCCTGCTTTGCGTACGACCTCATTCCATACATACAGAGATGCATTCACTGCCTCTTCCCGCCCCACACAATCGCTCAACTTCTGGGCGTGAATGTCCAGGCCTTGCAGAAGGGCTCTCTCACCTTCCTCAATGCCACCGATGTGCTGAAGGCACTGCAGCATCTCTTGCCCGACCGAGTGGATGCAATCATGATGCAATCCGGAGTGGAGAATGTTGCTGTGAATTAGTCAATGGCATCGATATTGGAAAGAGATTAATTTTCACGGTCGGACAACTCCAGAAAGTGGGTAAGTGTCTTCGGCATGAGAGATAGGAACGGCGGGTGGACAGTAACTAATAATCCCGAGACTGGACTAAAAATGAAAGTCATAAATTAACGCCGGAGTCATTATCATTTATTCCTCAAATGGCTGAAAGATATAAATCGGATGGTATTAAAATGAAAATTCTTAATCCTCCTCTCCTCGGCGCGCACTCTTCCACGTCCTGTGCGACAAACGATACTGGAAAAAAGGACGCTATTTTCCGTACCTTTTGTTCCAGCACAAAATGAAGCAACAAATTGTAATTCTTAACTGTTTTTGAGCTAGTTGGGTCCCACTTCGGCTGCGTGCGACAATTGGAAGGCTACTTTTTCTCTTTCGATTCGCCTTATATCAGCTCAGAATGAGAAAAAAAATTACGAAAATACATTCTGAAACTGTATTCATATTTGTCCTTGAATCCTTTGAATCATATTTATCCAGGAGAAGGGGGGTTTCCCAGGGCATCTATCAAGTGTCTTCTGATGTTTCATGCTTGTTTGGAAACAAAAGATTTGAATTTATGGGTTTTTGAGTTAGCCGAGACACAAACCATATTTGGGTTCAGAGAGGTCAAATCAAAACCTATTACTTAATTTCTTGGGCATTTGTGGCATGAATCTGGCTCAAATTTTAGTATTTTATTATAGCTGCTCTCGAGTCCTTCTCAATAACTCTTCACTTCAGGCTGTATATACCCACAAAAGTTCTTGTAAACTTTTTTTGTTCCCATTTTATGGTAACGGTTATATTAAAAAAATGTTCAAAAACGAAATGTTTGGTAAAAACTTTGAGAGGCTGCTGTCATCATGGCCGTCTTATCCGGGTTATCCAGGATTGTAGAAATACGTCAAAAGGAAAACATAAGAGTGGGCATTGAGGTGAAAAAACTTTCGAACCAGTGTTTTCATACACTTTTCACGTATTTTCACATCACATTCCTCAGAGAAAATCATGCTAGAGAGATTAGTGACTGAGTTTAGTGTGTGAAATTGGCAGTGTAGTGATTTTTCACGCGAGAACAGCCCGCAAAAGCTACAAAGGTGAGTCCCTCTGGGCAAAAACAATGGTGGCTTGTGGTCATGCACTTTCTTCTGTGGCCCACAGATTGACACCGTGTGGGGGTGGGCGAGCGCCCCACTGCGCTTGGCGGCGAACAGGATGAGTGACGCACTGCTGGGGGAGCGCGCCCCCTCGCCAGCACGTCTGGCACACACATCAGACAAGCATCCGCGCGGTACTCTGGCGGAGCTCAATGTCCTACGGCGCCATCATGAGTTGTGCGACGTAATCTTGAATGTTGGCGGACGCAAGATCTTCGCCCATCGTGTCATTCTGTCCGCCTGCAGCCCGTACTTCCGCGCCATGTTCACAGGTGAACTGGAGGAGTCACGCCAGACGGAGGTGACGATTCGGGACATTGATGAGAACGCTATGGAGTTGCTGATTGACTTCTGCTACACATCACACATCGTGGTGGAGGAGTCAAATGTGCAGACCCTCTTGCCGGCCGCGTGTCTGCTGCAGTTGGCCGAGATCCAGGACATCTGCTGTGAGTTCCTCAAGCGTCAACTGGATCCCACCAACTGTCTGGGCATTCGCGCCTTTGCCGATACACACTCGTGTCGTGAATTGTTGCGCATAGCCGACAAGTTCACGCAGCACAACTTCCAGGAGGTGATGGAAAGCGAGGAGTTCCTGCTATTGCCCGTGGGTCAGCTGGTGGACATCATCTGCAGCGATGAGCTGAATGTGCGCTCCGAGGAACAGGTGTTCAACGCGGTGATGGCATGGCTGAAGTACAACGTCGCCGATCGACGCCAGCATCTCGCGCAGGTGCTGCAGCATGTGCGCCTGCCGCTGCTCAGTCCCAAGTTCCTCGTCGGCACCGTGGGCTCCGATCTGCTGGTACGCTCCGACGAGGCATGCCGCGACCTCGTGGATGAGGCCAAGAACTACCTGCTGCTGCCGCAGGAGCGGCCGCTTATGCAGGGTCCACGCACACGGCCCAGAAAGCCCACGCGACGCGGTGAGGTGCTCTTTGCCGTTGGCGGATGGTGCTCAGGTGAGATCCAAACACTTTTTACGCTGACATGATAAATGGGCCACAACTTCTCTCTCAAGAAGAGGCAGGGGGGATTCCGCGTTGTCTCTAGGGGGGCAGATATCCTCACACGATTAGAGGGACGCGAGAGAGAGGAGATCGCGCGTGATAAGTCACGAATTTGTTGTTGCACACTTCACTAGGGGAAGGTGCGCACGACGATTGTAACAACACACTATCGGAAATACTCTCCTAGATGCAAGAACTCTCCTGAAATTTTATAAGAGAATCCCACCCAAGTTATGGCATTCGTGTGATCACACGTTATACAATTTCCCAAAGTGTTATTAGCATTAACAGTCCGTTAATTGTGTTCACTCTTTCCAATTCCAGGTGATGCCATTGCGAGCGTGGAGAAATTTGATCCACAGACGAACGACTGGAAGATGGTGGCGCCCATGAGTAAACGGCGCTGCGGCGTCGGCGTGGCTGTGCTCAATGATCTGCTGTACGCCGTCGGCGGCCACGATGGTCAGAGCTACCTGAACAGCATTGAGCGCTACGATCCGCAGACTAACCAGTGGTCATGCGACGTGGCGCCGACGACTAGCTGTCGCACCAGCGTCGGCGTTGCAGTGCTGGATGGCTTCCTGTACGCTGTGGGTGGGCAGGATGGTGTGCAGTGTCTAAATCATGTGGAGCGCTACGATCCGAAGGAGAACAAATGGGCCAAGGTGGCTCCCATGACGACACGACGACTGGGTGTGGCAGTGGCTGTGCTGGGCGGCTATCTGTACGCCATCGGCGGCAGCGACGGTCAGTGTCCACTCAACACGGTGGAGCGCTTCGATCCGCGACAAAATAAGTGGTGCGCCGTGAGCCCCATGTCTACACGGCGCAAGCACCTGGGCTGCGCCGTGTTCAATAACTACATCTATGCAGTGGGTGGCCGCGATGACTGCATGGAGCTGTCGTCGGCGGAGCGCTACAATCCGCACACCAATACGTGGAGCCCGATTGTGGCTATGACGTCGCGCCGCAGCGGCGTCGGCCTAGCCGTTGTCAATGGACAATTGTACGCCGTGGGCGGCTTCGACGGCACGGCATACCTCAAGACCATCGAGGTGTATGATCCTGAGACGAATCAGTGGCGTCTGTGTGGCTACATGAACTATCGACGCCTAGGCGGCGGTGTGGGAGTCATGCGCGCTCCGCAAACGGAGAACTACATGTGGTGAGTTTTCGCTGATCATTCCGCTAAGCTTTCATCTTTACCCTTTGAAAAGGAATCGTTCAAGTTCTAATTTAAGTCATAAATACGTAGAGTGCAAAATTGAATGCAAATAATGATGATAGACATTTGCATTTTATCTAATAATTTCTCTCTTTTTCCTCCAATTGCAGGGTGCGAAAGGATTCAGTAGTGTAGTGATCAGCGCTGGAAGCTTAAATTATTATTTATTTGTCCTTGTCAAAGAAGTGTGTAGCTCAGAAAATCTCGTAATTATGCAGTATATTTAACGGAATATGTCTTAAAGTAATTCTCTATAACTACAAAACCATATTTGCAATTTGCCTATCGATTTAACATTTCATCACACGCGCACTGCGTAATCAGCCAACATTACAACTGCAACTTAAAAAAATTTTCAGAGAGATTGTTTGCTGAGGAAAAAAATGGAGAGGAAAAGTGTAGAGATAGTTTAGGATTCCATCTAAAAGACGCTTCAAAAGAACCTTTCTTGTGAAACTGTGGGAATATTTCTAAGTGATTGCTGTAGGAGATATATGCATATATAATAATAAATAATAATAATAATTTATTTCACCTCCTCCACGATTGCGGCTGCCGCCGACTTCACAGCCGACCTCCCCGAGAAAACGGCAGAAAACTCGGTTCATTGGTCGTGTATGTCTTATAAATGTTAGTTACATACATAAGAGCAGTTTTACTGTTTCTTTCTATCTTCTATAAACACTATATTCGTACAAAGTACGAGGAGGCTCTGGAATTGGCTTCCTATGTCCAAAGAATGGGAGTGAAACACGGCAATATCCCTATTATAAAGGTGCGCAATGAAATGATCCAGGAAATCGCAATAATTTTAATATTTCTGTATTTTGTAGTCCATTGAGGATTTATGGCATACAATGCTGGGACAGTTATTGGCACAACTCAGGACAGATTTGCAGTTGCCGAAGTGCCTTTCAATGAACTGAGGTTGTGCGCTCCACTCGGAGTGGCGGATAGTGTAGTGAAGGCCATCCAGGCTTCGATGGAGCGTGTCTCGAAGGCTATCTTCGCATTCTATCGCCAGGAGCAACAGGCGTTTTCTCAAACTGAACGGGATAACTTCATCAGGCTGTGCTCCTGCTTTGCGTACGACCTCATTCCATACATACAGAGATGTATTCACTGCCTCTTCCCGCCCCACACAATCGCTCAACTTCTGGGCGTGAATGTCCAGGCCTTGCAGAAGGGCTCTCTCACCTTCCTCAATGCCACCGATGTGCTGAAGGCACTGCAGCATCTCTTGCCCGACCGAGTGGATGCAATCATGATGCAATCCGGAGTGGAGAATGTTGCTGTGAATTAGTCAATGGCATCGATATTGGAAAGAGATTAATTTTCACGGTCGGACAACTCCAGAAAGTGGGTAAGTGTCTTCGGCATGAGAGATAGGAACGGCGGGTGGACAGTAACTAATAATCCCGAGACTGGACTAAAAATGAAAGTCATAAATTAACGCCGGAGTCATTATCATTTATTCCTCAAATGGCTGAAAGATATAAATCGGATGGTATTAAAATGAAAATTCTTAATCCTCCTCTCCTCGGCGCGCACTCTTCCACGTCCTGTGCGAGGGTTTATTTTCGCAATTACCGTAATAAATTTTCCATCTTCCCCCGCTCCAGTGACTCATTGCGAGAAACCCCCGTCTCGGAGCTGACCCTCTCCTTCGATGATGGTCAGGCGAGATGGCACGGGGCGGGGGCTGGAAAATTATCCTGGAAAGTTGAGGATGATCGTTTTGTTCTTTTTAATGGTCAACGTCCGTCACCCGCTCGATTGTGTACACGCACATTTCATCCCGATGGGCGACAATTAATCATCCTGGGTGGCAGGTAAAGTGAAGAGGGACCACCTTTTCCCGAGAGGTACATAATTATTTCGTTGGACCCAAAAATGTTATACATACATTATACATAATTTATGCACGTGTGTAAGTAACCCGAAATTGTAGGCAATAATGGCAGAGTTATGGCATTTGAGAGTTTTCATTCTTACATGTGTCCTGTTAGTGTTTTCCCGCGATCTAATTTCCGACTTGGATGATAATTGGATTTATTGCAAAGCTTTTGTGAAATGCAGCAACTGGTGTTATTGAAAAAAAAATGAACTGAATGTCGAAAATTTCCATTAAACCATTCCGAAAATGGATGCTTATAATGTTCTTTCTTCTTAAATTCATTTATCTAATTAAAAACTTTTGTCTACTGCAAAATAAACTGTTCTCGTGCTTTTGTAAATCATTATAAATCAAAAGTGTATTCTTTCCGACAGTTCGGTTGAGGCTGGAGCTATAAATTAAATTGATTGTCTTTAATTTGGGGTCATTTATCGATCCTCTGTTTCTTTCTTTAACGTTTTCCTCCTCTGTGTGTCTGATAGTCCCTTTTATATAATTTCATCACACACTAAATTCATCCTTTCGCTCCAATAGTGTGATGTTTTATGGCTGTATCAATGGAATGGGTGGAAAATTATGACCAAACATAAGAGAAATCCACCCAAAAGTGATTTTGCAGCTAGAGGAAATTGAAAGCGCTCCTCTCTTATTCCTACCCTATTTATGGGGTATCTCTTGATATTGTATTTTCTACAGTCTTTTTTTATGGTCACTAGAGATAGCAACTCGCAATATTATTGGTCCCCAGAACGCCTGGAACTTGAAGTTATGATATTTTCCCCCAATGCTCGCGTCGCACGTGTGGAGAAATTGAGGGCGGGAATATAGACGTGGAACGTGCTTCAATCATATTGATTCCGGAAATTTCGGCCATTCCTGCAGAGTATATAACTGAGAAAACTGCCCTGGGGTGGATAGAGCACATCTCCAAGATTGTTTCTTTCTTTCTCTTTGTGTTCGATTTTATCTCAGTGGGAATGGGGAAATTCTTATGGACAAGACGCTTCGCGTCTCATTTTGTCTGTAGGTGTGGTTATATGATAAAATTTTATTGCAATGGCAGCAATTGAAATTTTTAGAAGCATAACAACAAAAATTGTACGCTTCTGTATTCGATTGATATCATCGGTATTTAGCGTGTGTTCTCGTTGGCTTGTTTACTTGTCGCAGTGAAGAAGCTTTCACGTGAAAACATTAGGTATGTAATAGCTTTGAGCTGCCGGAATTTAGACTTTCAATTACTGGACATGGTGGGCTTTCAGAATGTCCAAACACATCAGCATTGAGGTTTCCTCTCTACAAATGCGGCGAATACATAACATTTCGTTATAGGTAGTGTCTTTATTCATGTGCAAATTCAGTCTCTTTACTCTTGCGTGTCCGAAATGTGTGTATAGAAAATTTATTCCCTCTAAATATTCCCATCGCCCACGCACTCAGCCCTTTCATCTGGACTGGATCACATAGTGGAGAGCGGCTGAATGGTAACGCAGAGGAAAACCTCATCTCGTCGGGTGCATCATGTGCAAACAGAAGTGGGTGGCGAGTCCTCCCTTATGCTACATTCCGCCAGATTTTCAGGGGGCGGACGTAGTGTGGGTTGCTTATCCGATTTGGAAACCACTCTCTGCAATTCTCGCCCACTTCAGTGCCATCAAGCATGGAATCCTATGGTGTATGAATTATATTCGAAAATGGATCCACCCTAGCCATTTCTGCCACTCATCGCATCACTCACGCTGGAGCGGACCCCGGACCGTCCCTCAGATCCACCGGACATACAGATACATAATGTAGGCTAAACGCAAAATGGGCCCCATCGAAATTTCTAAGCTCAATGGTCCCCGCATTGTAATATGAAATTCGGCAATTCAGACTCCAGTGGTTTAGAGTTGGAATTATCTGCCAAAGTAGATTTGCTGCAAATTCGATGGCGGCGCTTTTTGAGGGACTATAGAGGCATCATTTTTTGCAATGTCTATGAAGAAATTCATTGGATTTCAAGGGTGTTTCGAGCGCAATTGTGCAGGTATTTAACATGAAATGCATTAATTTCTTTCCTCTCGGCGCATCAACTCTGGTGCTTTGAGCTTGGGCATGGGGTTTGACGATAAAGGGCGGCGAGTGTGTTGAAAATTAATCGATTTAATTATTTCCATAATTATCATTTTCCAGCGCTGTGACAGCAATCTCATTAGTTATGGAAATCGATCTGCGCCTTGATTAACGACGCCCATTCATTTCTGAGGGTGTTCACGAGAGGTGGCGAAGCTCAGTAGAATTTTGATGTGTGTTTTTCAATGTCTTTTCAACTTCCATCTCCACCGTTTTCACCTCCTTAAATAATTGCACACAATCTTTCGACTCGTGGCAATCCCAGAATTCACGAAGGTTTGCTCTGGGGTGCGATGGTGTGGGTGTGGGAGCGACTAAAATGGAAGAGGTGAAAGTTTGCCGAAGAAATAAATTGTGGATATTCTCTGCGGAAGGAATCTGCGCGTCCAGAGTCTCAAGAAGCACTTTCATGCATGGCTGAAGATTTAAGTCTTGGGCAAGAGTCCATCAAGCTCTATGCAGATATTTACTCAAGGAAGTGAAGCAGAGATTCTTTTGGTAAGTTCAAAAGGAGCGACCCAGACAGTGACCATCAAATGGACTTTATAAGTAACTCTTGTATCCACCAACTTTCCTTCCATTTTCCTTCCATTCCCTGGGGCCATCGAGTGGGTAGTGGGAGAAAGTGAAATTCTATTGTGGGTGGCGGAACATCCACCCCCACAGCTCGACTGTTACCAGCACATTTCGAGAAACACTTTTGTGTGAGGAGGACCACTTGGCGTGTGCAGAGGATGGAAGAGAGAGAGAAAAATAAAATTTCATTTCGATTGTTATTCCTTTTTTCGTCCTCACCATCTCTCGCACTGCCAGTGTTTCTCCTCAATATTTCCTTTCCTTTCTTTCACATCATCTTGTGCTCGTTATAGGGAAAATATAACATCACCCTGCCCGTGGAGAGAAATGCGAGAAAGAAAGATTTCTTAGGCTCAACACCAATGAATTATTACCCAATTTCTGTGAATTAATCGCCACCCCCACAAGAATACTAATTCCGATTTTTCCAATTTTCTCCATCTCAAAAAATTCCACTAAGAAGGGATAAACACAAAGACGATGTCACAAAAGGCCGGAGGAAGTTCACAATAGGTGTGATTCCTGTGTTAACCTTATCGGGTTGTTGAAAAAGAGTGCTGAATTTCGAAACACTGGGAGAATTTCTCAGCTCAGTAGCAATATCTGGTGGATCTCACTTACATAATACAACAGGTTTTCCTCCTGTTACTCAATTCTTGGGTGGGAAAGTGTAGGACGAAGCGTGTGAGTGTGAAGTGTAGATGAGAAAATTACAAGGGGAATAATTAAAAATCTCCACTACTTTGGACATTCTCTTTCATCCATTTCAGAAATTTCAATTATGCTACAATTTCTAATAAATTTTCAATCCACTCCGCTGAGTCGGGCGGATCTGCCAAAGTGTCTGAGGGGAGATTGCAAAGATAGAGAAATAAATTTATATTTTGCGATGGCTGTTTAC